ACGAATTAAGTTAGTAACTAGAGGTACCACTGTATTATTAGGAAAATTGGGCACTAAACTGCTGGTGAATTCGCAAACCGTTGCAGATTTATGGAGAACTGAAGATTGGGAAAAGGAGACTGAGGTCCAGTGTGCTTCTGCTGAAATGAACCTAAATTTTGTTTGCCTTTGTGCAAATAAACAGAGAGAAACAGAAATGGATAGACTCACTCATCCGCTACCAACTGGGACCTCTTCCTCTGCTACTGTGTTGCACAATATTTCCACCCAGGCTGAAAAACTTTATTGGGGAGCAGAGGCCCTTCAAAATTCATACTCCCAGTTGGGCTGTAGGTCAGCCAGGGGGTAAATGTGCCATCTGGCCTTAGCCTAAGCTATCATAATGAGTGGATGTTTTTTGCACAATCTCCCACCAAGTCTTGCTCAAGGTGCGTGGTGGAGAAGTCAGTGCAATACAACCTTATCTATCCTCATTCTTTCTCCAATGCCAAATATTCCACTTTTGATTTCTGACTCATCTTCTTTCTGCTTCCTTCTTTTATGATGACCGTCCGCATATACGCATCCATTCGCCCTAGACATCTTGTTAGTTTCTTCCTCAAGTTTCTTTTAGCAGAAGTAATGTCTGTGTTCCCTCTGCTGGCCTGATGAGGAATCACATTGGTGTATATACAGTAGGGATGACAAGATGAAACAGCAAAACCTTTAGCATATTAACTCGGAAGAAATCTGGCTGTGTTCAGCAGGGCTTATGTTCAGGAAAGTGTGTGCAGGATTGCAGCTCCTGGTGCCATTAGTGCAGGAGCAAAGTTAAAGATCGGACCAAAATTTAGAGTGAAATTTGGTTTCAAAAAGTTCAAACTTGGAAGAATGCCACCGATAAATTAAAATTTAAGCCTTGATGTATGTCCAGGCAATCACGTTCGGTAACAGTTTACCAAATTCAAGACTGCTTCTAAAAAGCCCTTAAACCAAACAGTAAATGCTGAGGAGTATTGGTGCTCTAGAAAGTCACAGAATTTCAGCAGGAAGTTAGAGAGCACACGTTCAGCCCGGACACTGAGGTCCGGTTCCAAGGGCCATCTGGGGGTTTCCTCACTGCAAGAAATGAAGTTACAGGGAACCAGGCAGAGGGCCTTCTCGGTGGTGGCGCCCACCCTGTGGAACGCCCTCCCATCAGATGTCAAGGAGATAAGCAATTATCTGACTTTTAGAAGACATCTGAAGGCAGCACTGTTTAGGGAAGTTTTTTAATGTTTGATGTTTTATCGTGTTTTTAATATTCTGTTGGGAGCCACCCAGAGTGGCTGGGGAAACCCAGCCAGATGGGCGGGGTATAAACAAATGAATTATTATTATTATTATTATTATTATTATTATTATTTGTTATGAGCTGTTTGACAGTGGAACAGACTCCCTCAGACTCCTTGGAGCTCTTTAAGCAGAGGGATTTTGACTAGAAGACCTTTGGGGTCCCTTCCAACTCTCCCATTCTATGATTCCTGGACTCAGAGGCACCTGGTTTCTCAATTCCTAGCCACAATTTTGCACCTTAGGGGGGGAGCCCAGGGTTGCAGTAAAAACAAAAGAACAAGCCTGAGCACTTGGGCCCTGAGCCTTCCCTGAAAGCTCTTCCAGGCGACTGGCTCCAGTTATTGCCATTGGCCTTGTGCCCATCGCTCTGTGCACAGAGATCCATTTGCACCTCTCCTCTAGGCTGATGTGCACTTAGGCAACGCTGCTCCCGCGAGGTTATTAATAGGTTTCCTGAACATTTCCTGCCTTGAGATGCTTCCTCCCCAGCAGGCAGAGAAGGGCCTTGGGATTCTTCCTTCTTCTGGCTTACGGTTCACGTTGACCTTCCGTCTCAAGGTTGGTTCTTTCAAAGCTTGCAATGTGCAGTGCCAGTAACCAGAACAGCTTTTCAACAGGAACTCATCAGCTGTAGGAGAGTCGCATTAGTCCAACAGCAGCCCAGGAAGCAAACAAAGTAAATAAATGGTGAGAAGAACATTGAGATATGTTCAGACTTCATATATGCGGGTTGTGTGTGTGCTTTGCACAGGTTACAGACCCTCTGAGTGACCCTCAGTAGTGGCAGCGGCAGTCTCAGCGGCCCGCCCGGATCCAGCCTGGTAGCTTCAGGAGCTGCCCGCTGTCGTGGCGCCCGCCATGTTGCCTCGCTGGAGGTCCCCATATGATGTGCCCTGTGCCGTTGAACCAATCACGCACCATTCATGCCCTACTAATAAATCTACAACACTTAAAATATAAATCTGGGGACATCACAGTGGTACCTCAGGTTAAGAACTTAATTTGTTCCCGGGGTCCATTCTTAACCTGAAACTGTTCTTAACCTGAGGTACCACTTTAGCTAATGGGGCCTCCCACTGCCACCATGCGATTTCTGTTCTCATCCTGAGGTAAACTTCTTAACCTGAGGTACTATTTCTGGGTTAGCAGAGTCTGTAACCTGAAGCGTATGTAACCCAAGGTACCACAGTAAATGAAATCTGGGGACATTCCGGGGATGGATTTTGTCAGGGGACAGATTTGTGAATCCGGGGACTGTCCCCAGGAAACAGGGACGTCAGGTAACCATACCCCTGTTCCCATCCTTCCTTCCCCTGGATAAGCCACCTCAGGTGTCTGTTGTGGCCCTTTTGAGACAACTTGGAAATCCCACTTTACCCTCTCCTTAAGAAACGGTGTTGCAGTACGATGGCAGCTCTTGCGAAACATCACTGCAGAGCCATGGCAGATGCGTGCCCCTACTCTTGTTCATTGAGAAGCACCCCTGTCCGAAGAATTGGTGGGTCTCCTAACCACTCTCAGCATCCTTAACAAATAACAGTTCCCAATATTCTTTCTTTTTTGCAGGGGGGGAGGGGGGAGCCAAGAAGTATCATATTGCTTTAACTGGATAGTGCAAATGGAGCCTTAAGAGGCATCTAGCCTCTCTGTCCTTCCCAGATGGAGAAATGGGAAATTTCAGAAGCAGCGTTCAACAGATGGCGCTCTCCCTCATTCTTTGGGAACAACCTCTGAGATCCAAGCTCTCGTCAAGAAACCAGGGGTAATGGAGTTTGAAGTCTCAGACTGGAGGCAGGCAATTGAAATTAAAGAGATATGTATCATTGCACAAGGGAAACACATGTTTATTTGGGCCTGCGCTCACCACAAGCCAAACTCTCTCTCTGTGTGTGTGTGTGTGTGTGTGTGTGTGTGTGTGTGTGTGTGTACACGCTGTGCTTTTTTCTGGGGAGACGCAGGGGTACGCATACCCCTAAACATTTTGTGAATCTTTGTACTTTTGTCCATTTACTGTATTTATTTTTCCCGATTCGGACTATAAAACAGTGATTTTCTTGAGTCAAAATGAGAGTACCCCTAAACTTTTTTTAAAAGAATAAAAAAGCACTGTGAGACAAAATCAAGAACTCCATGAAGCTGGGGGGTGGGGGTGGGGGTGGCAGCGGGGAATGAAGCCAGGAAACATCACTAATTATTTTATTTTTTAACAAATTGCAAAAACTGTGTAAACGAAGCTAGAAATGCTACTGTCAAAACAGGACCCCTTTTTTAAAAAAAACCAAATGCCACCACAACAAAAACAGTGGCATTGTTGCACCTCACCCCAAACTTGTGCGACTCCAGGGGTCCCAGGTGCTAACCCAGGGTTCGTCTTTCCTTCGGAATGAAGCACAGCAGAGACGGCGGTGCATTTAGGATATACGGTTTATTTACACATATGTAAATACCAGCCAGTTAAGGGAGAGGTGCCCACCCATTTGTTGTCTGGCACAGAGCCACTTCCTTTGTTCCCTTAATGATCTGTACTTAGAGGATCATTATCACACCAGGAAACTAGCCTGGCTATTCCAAGGATTCCAGGATCCTTGCTTAGATTTTAAAACTTGCTGTATCCAGGAATTAGAAGGGTCTCGGCATACAGCCCACACCCCTCCCCAAATTATAACAGCATGTTGAACTTCATTATTTTCTGAAAGCTCTCTCTCATCAATTTCCCACTATAGTAAAGTCTTCCCAAGTTAAAGGAAACCATTGGCTAGGACCAGGAAGAGCTTTAAGGCAAGCTTCAGTTTTTGAGTTTTTGCTTACTAGAACAATCCTGTTGTCAAAGTTCTTCCTCCTTCCCCTTTCCACACTCTGAACAAAGGACATTCCTGGACAATGAATAGCCAGCAAGGATATTCTTTTGGTGCCCCAATGGCCCTCTTGTTAACATATTAACATCAGCTATTTGTGCCTCAAAGCTCTTAGAATCACAAACTGAGAACAGACCCAAAATAAATAAAATAAAATTCCTCCATCAGAGACAACTAAATTCTCAAACCTGGGTTCCCAGCTGTTGTTGGACTACAGTTCCCATCATCCCTGGCCACTGGTCCTGTAGCTAGGAGTGATGGGAGTTGTAGTCCATCAACAACTGGGGACCCAATTTGAGAAACGCTATACAGTGGTACCTCGGGTTAAGTACATAATTCGTTCCGGAGGTCTGTACTTAACCTGAAACTATTCTTAACCTGAAGCACCACTTTAGCTAATGGGGCCTCCTGCTGCCGCACCGCCGGAGCACGATTTCTGTTCTCATCCTGAAGCAAAGTTCTTAACCTGAAGCACTATTTTTGGGTTAGCGGAGTCTGTAACCTGAAGCGTATGTAACCTGAAGTGTATGTAACCCGAGGTACCACTGTATATGGTTTCCACACACAAATAGCTCAACCTGTACAAGCCAAGGGCAAATTTACTGTCAAAGAAGTAGCTCCAAGATAACTCAAGTAAGCCTTATGCCCAAGTATTCCACATTAGAAAGAAATTAGAGGATTAGATCGAAATTATGTAAATCCGTATTAGTTCCCATCCCTATCAAGTAGTGGGGTTTGCAGATCCGTCTAAAGCTCCTCCCTACAAGAAAACCCGAGCTTTCTCTCTCTCCTCTCAAGCTCTGCCATTGCTGTTCTCGAGGCCTAACTTTTAATGTTTAATTGGATCCCAAAGTCAGTGGACTTTGCCCACTTGGTTGCTGGAGCTAAACAGCCCAGACAAAAGACAAGAGGCTGGAACTCCCCACCAGGAGAAGTCTTCAGGATGCTTTTGCCGTGTTCCAGGGTGGGCTAGGAAACCAACCGTTGGCAGGTAAGTACCATGGTCTGTTAACCATCTTAAACAAATAAATAAATCGTTTCCTCCTGTGTCTATGCCAAACTTCCTCCAAGGCACTCAAAGCGGACCTCCAAAGGTTCCACATTAACCTCAAATAGCCGTCAGGGAGGCTGCGGGAGTTGCCTTGTAGCCCCCAAGCAACTTTCATGCCTGAAAGGGGATTCGAACTCAGACCTTCTTCATCTGAGCTCAAGGGTAGTCAACCTAGAGTCCTACAGATGTTGTTGCACTCTAGCTCCGATCAACCTTAGCCAGCAGGTCCAATGGTAAGAGATTGATAACGTTCTTGTCCATGGTTTTTGTCTCACCCTCTTCTAAAGCCATCCACATTTGTGGCCGCCAGTACTTTTTGCGGGAGCAAACTGGTTTTTAATCCATTTGAACATCTCTCCCCATCCCTTCTCCCCATTCAACGCACCTCCGTCAGCGCACAACCTTCCTTAATGTCTGGTTTGTTGGAATGTCTTGAATTCGCACCTTCAGAAGCTTCTTCTTAATGTACCACCAGGTGAGAGGATGCAATGATGCTAATTTGCTGACATGGACAGAAGAGCCAGCGTGAGATCACGGGCTTCCCAGAGATTGTCTAATACTTCGGAGTCTCCGGGGAGAAAACAGAATTTTGGAGCTGCACCTCTGGGAAGAAAGTCCGTTTTGGAATTAGTGGTTCAGTAAGGAGAATGCCTTTAGCTTGCTTTTTTAGTGTGGCTTTAATTACTTATTTCCTGGTGTTGCTTTTTTCTTTGGCTTTCTTTGATAGGTAAAGTGTTGTTTTGCTATACAAGCAACGCAAAGTGAAAATGAAAATCACTAAAGCCTAAGAAACGGTCTCAATAAGGGGCAATTCATCGACAACCCTCATGCCACCTCCGAACAGCAAGAAAAAGCATGGAAACTTTTAACTAACTGTGCAGGGGATCTCAGCTGAACGTTGCTTATTTTGAATAGCATTAATGGAGGAGCTTGGCCATGGGATAAGGAATTTCTGGATAAGACAGCATGATAGTAACCAAATGCTTTGCGGAGACTCTGTTTTAATCCCGGTTCCAGCTGACGGGGAAAACAGCCTCTGAGAAGTGAAAGATACTCCACACTCCACATACCTCCCAAACTGTCCCCCCATAACCTCAAACACAGCCTCTCCCTTCCCTTTCCACTAAATTACTGGTGGTCCAGGAACAGCAACAACAAATGGCTGGAGAGAGAGTGGGGTGGGGTTCAATTCTCTCCATTTCTCCCTTTCCCTTTGTGTTGGCTAATAGCATGCCAGGGTGCAGGGATATACAGTGGTACCTTGGGTTACAGACCCTTCAGGTTACAGACTCCGCTAACCCAGAAATAGTACCTCGGGTTAAGAACTTTGCTTCAGGATGAGAACAGAAATCGTGCTCCGGCAGTGCAGCGGCAGCGGGAGGCCCCATTAGCTAAAGTGGTGCTTCAGGTTAAGAACAGTTTCAGGTTAAGAACGGACCTCCGGAACGGATTAAGTACTTAACCAGAGGTACCACTGTATGGAAGATGTAGTTCTCATAAGGCACAGGTGGGGAACCTGTGGCACTTTGGATAGTGTTACCAGACATCCCCGTTTCCCGGGGACAGTCCCCGGATTTGCGAATAAGTCCCCGGACAAATTCCATCCTCGGAATGTCCCCGGATTTCATCTAATGTCCCCGGGAAATGCAGCAGCGGCAGTCTCAGCAGCCCGGAGCAGTCGGCTCTGGCTGGCTTCAGGAGCTGCTTGGAAGTCCCCATATGATGGTGGTGCAAGGGATCCAAGATGCAGCTTCCGGGCTGCCTCCATCTTCCCTGACCCCAGCAACTAAGCTGTGAAGGGAGGCGTCATGCTGCTTATCAGAGCAGCCCTGATCCCAACTCCTACTTGCGTGCAAGCAGGAGCGGGGCGGGGATCTCTCAGCTGTGAAGGGAGGCTTCAGGCTGCCTATCAGAGCAGCCTCCCAACTCCTACTTGCGTGCAAGCAGGAACAGGGTGGGGATCTCTCAGCTGTGAAGGCAGGCTTCACGCTGCCTATCAGCGCAGCCCTGATCCCAACTCCTACTTGTGTGCAAGCAGGAGGGGGCAGGGATCTCTCAGTTAGGCAATGGGAAGCCTCCCTTTTTTATATATATAAATATTTATTAACGTTTTCACAATATTACATAATGAAAAAGAAAAAAGAAAAAATACAAAATAAAAAACAGTTAAAAAACAATTCCATCTTTTTGTCACTTATCTTTCATTTGCTTGTTTCCCGGACCTCCTCATACCTCCCTTTTTTGTATTCCAGTTCAATTTATTAGTTCAGCAATTCCTTTCCCTCTTATTTTATCCTGATGGCAATGGGAAGCCTCCCTTCCCAGCTGAGGGATCCCTGCCCTCTCCTGCTTGCACGCAAGTAGGAATGGGATTGGGGCTGCTCTGATGGGAAGGGAGGCATCGTGCCTCACCACCGCCTCCGCTCTCGGCCCTCCTTCTCCACCTTCCATGCCTGACCCACCACGCACCGCTTCCCCTCCACCACCGAAGAACCAATAACTCAGGGGCTGCCCAGGCTCATGGAGAAAGGAGATAGAATCATAGAATCATAGAATCATAGAATCATAGAGTTGGAAGAGACCACAAGGGCCATCGAGTCCAACCCCCTGCCAAGCAGGAACACCATCAGAAGAAGAGTTTGGATTTGATATCCCACTTTATCACTACCCGAAGGAGTCTCAAAGCGGCTAACATTCTCCTTTCCCTTCCTCCCCCACAACAAACACTCTGTGGGGTGAGTGGGGCTGAGAGACTTCAGAGAAGTGTGACTAGCCCAAGGTCACCCAGAAGCTGCGTGTGGAGGAGCGGGGAAGTGAACCCGGTTCACCAGATTACGAGTCCACCGCTCTTAACCACTAAGCCACACTGGCTCTCAAGCCTCGGAGGAAGGGGAAACGTGGCAGTTGAGGTCAAGGCAGCTGCCGCCCCTCTGCCATCGCTGCAGCATCAATGTCCCAAATGTGTAGTAATTAATTACTTTAATTAATTAATTAAAGTGTCCCCGGATTCATTGAAAAAAAATCTGGTAACCTTAACTTTGGGTGCTGTTGGACACCATCTCCCATAAACCCTAGCCAGCACTGGTCAGAAGTGATGGGAGATGTCACCCCAAGTGGCCATGAGTTCCACAGGTCGGCCAGTCCTGTCCTAAGGGCTCCCCAGGGAGGTGGTATGGCTGGTTCATTTTTGTTTCCCTGAGGTACCTGTTTTCCTTCTTGCAGGTATCAGAATATATCAGAAAATGCTTCCACAACTGAAGAGAAGCCAAAGGTGAGCGAGAAGGCTGAAGAGGTTTAAATTAGACTGTGAACTGAGATCTTTGGATGAAAGGCGGTATATAAATTTAATAAATTGACCTATTCCTCCCTCACCCCAACAGCATACGAATCAATATGGCTATCCTGACCCAGCAATGTCCTCTCACATACAGACGAACCACACTGGAACCGGAACTCTGCCTCCATCTTGACATTCTGCTTCTTTTGCAGAATATATATTTAAATAAAACTTCCTCTTCCACAAAATTCAAAGGGTGCAGGGGTTTCGCTTCAGAATTTAGAAGACATATAAAGGCAGTTTAAAAAAACTATTTAAAGTTTCATTATGTTTTTTCAGAAGCCGATGGGTGAGGTACAACTATTATTATTATTATTATTATTATTATTATTGGCACTGGTATCTGAACAGAGGCACCAGGTTGTCCCCAAGATTTAGGGGGCCCAACAGCCTTTAAACAAATATTGAGGGGACCGAGGTGCCTTTGGCCCCTAGAGCTGGCACACCTGGACCCAAATATGGAGTTCAGGGGGACGGATAATGTTGAAAATAAATGGGTATTGCATTTTTTTAAAAAAATAGCTGTCCTGATCATGAATAATCATGGCAAGGAGAGTCGTTCAAGTGTAACAGGTCACCTGACTGGAGAGTGAAGTTCGAAGCGAGAGAAGGTTAAACATTGCCGGACGAGTCTTTTGCCCCAGTGCTAAAATAACAGAATATATAGATATATGGTGTAGCTGATAAGTCCGTTCTTTGTTACAGTTTCAGGTCCTAGAGAGAAGGCTTCTGCAGAAGGCCCCAGCGGATGGGTCTGGCCCCGAATCAGACATCATCCAAAGCAATGACCGCAGAGCCCCCGGGAGCAGATCCGCGGAGAATTTCAGCCTCCGACAAACAAAAGAAGTGAAGAACAAGAGCTCTGATTCCCAGGCTAGCATTGACTCCCCAAAAGCTGCATCCTCACCAAGCCTTGGCGGATTCCTTGCCAGAACATCAGCTGCTGACCTTCCTAGGAAAAGCCAGATCGCGTCCCGGAAAATGGCAGCCACCCACCAGCTGAGCGCTGGGTCCAATCCTGCTTCCTTGCTTCTTTCCCAGGGAAAAGGCAGAAGAGAGTGGAAGTGCCACGTCGTCACCCACCTGCAAGAAAACAAATCGGACGGCGAGGTGGGTGGCCTTTCTTATTCCAAAGAGCGTGAGGCAGGGGCAAGAATCCTGAAAGATACTCAGAGTCGAGTGTGGATTTCATGCTCTTTATTCAGCTCATAAGGGACGCGGGTGGCGCTGTGGGTTAAACCACAGAGCCTAGGAGTTGCTGATCAGAAGGTCAGTGGTTCGAACCCCCGTGACAGGGTGAGCTCCTGTTGCTCAGTCCCTGCTCCTGCCAACCTAGCAGTTTGAAAGCACGTCAAAGTGCAAGTAGATAAATAGGTACCGCTCCGGAGGGAAGGTAAACACCGTTTCCGTGCACTGCTCTGGTTTCGTCAGAAGCGGCTTAGTCATGCTGGCCACATGACCCGGAAGCTGTACGCCGGCTCCCTCGGCCAATAAAGCGAGATGAGCGCCGCAACCCCAGAGTCGGCCATGACTGGACCTAATGGTCAGGGGTCCCTTTACCTTTACCTTATTCAGCTCATAGTAGCGAGGGAATGAAAGTTTCCCCAAAATATCTGCTTTATATCCATTATTTACACAATGGGCCGCACGTGATTGGCTAATTCTGGGATTCTCATGTAGGCCAATCAGGTTGCGGATTCACTTCCACCTGGAGCTGGATTGGGTGGCTCCTGCAGACCAATCATACTGTTGCATTGTTCTAGGACCAACCAGACTGCTGCATTCTGAATCCTATTGTTTTAGGACCAATCAGACAGCTGCATTTTGGATCCTATTGTTTTAGGACCAATCAGACAGCTGCATTTTGGATCCTATTGTTCTAGGACCAATCAGACTGCTGCATTTTGGATCCTATTCAACTTAGTACATAATAAATCCTTTCTGAAATCTTGGAAAGCTACGGCCAGTTAGTGTTTACAGTACTGAGCTAGGTGGACCCAGTGGGCTAACTTATATTAAGGCAGCTTCCCAGGTCCCATTTTCAATCATAGCTCAGCTCGTAAAGCATGAGTCTCTTTAATCTCAGGGTTGTGGGTTCGAATCCCATGTTTGGTCAAAGATTCCTGCATTGAAGGGGGTTGGACTAGATGACCCACGTGGTCCCGTCCAACTTCTATGATTCTGTGAATCCCTGGCCGCTTTAAATGGTTTGTCAGCCATCTTGATTCAAAATGGCGTCCAGTTGTATCCAAACGGAGACGGAGACCTGCTCCCTGATCCCACGAGCCATCGTCCAAATTTGGTTACTATGGACGGTATTCCTAAATGTTAGACCTGTTGAAATCAACACACCTCGCTTAATGTGCTCTGTTTCTTCCTGAGGTCTTGAGACTTCAGCAAGTGACTTCACATCATGCCTATTGGCCTCGTAACACACCTTGTCTTGTCACTTTGTCACCATCTAGGAAGCGCTACTCACAAGGAGAAAGAAGGCATCTCCTCTCCCTTCGACAACGCTTGGTGCAGCTGCTACCTGCGCCTCAAGAAAAGTCAACAGCTGTGAGTGAACTAATCTGTTTTGGTCGCTGGGGGTGGGGAAATCCTTTCTTTTCCCAACCACAATCCGGTCAAGATTTGGCATAATGACATGTCCCCAAGCAATCGTGTCACCTCAAGAACCTTAAAAGGTAAAGGGTAAAGGGACCCCTGACAGTTAGGTCCAGTCGTGGCCGACTCTGGGGTTGCGGCGCTCATCTCGCTTTAATGGCCGAAAGAGCCAACGTACAGCTTCTGGGTCATGTGGTCAGCATGACTAAGCCGCTTCTGGCGAACCAGAGCAGTGCACGGAAACGCCGTTTACCTTCCCGCCGGAGCGGTACCTATTTATCTACTTTCACTCTGACGTGCATTCGAACTGCTAGGTGGGCAGGAGCAGGGACCAAGCAGCGGGAGCTCACCCCGTTGCGGGGATTCGAACCGCCGACCTTCTGATCGGCAAGCCCTAGGCTCAACGGTTTAGACCACAGTGCCACCAGCGTCCCTTACCCTTGTTTAAATCTCTTCTCTACTTTTGCATCACTTGAAGATTTTTATAAACTCATTAAAAATACCAAGGTGGGGAGGGGGAAAATGAAAATCTTGGTGTTCCCACACACTGCACAAAAACCACAGATCTTGCTAGAAAAGACAACAGGACTTTTATGGTTGAAGTGCTATTCTATTCTCACCAATTTATCGGCGGGGTTTCTATTAAAATATTGTTAGAGCAATCACCATTGAGAAAGCTCGGAGTGCCACCTGGTGGGCCAAAGTGCTGTTTGCTTTTCCTGGAAATCCTAATTCAGGAATGGAGAACTTGTGGCCTCCATAAATTGTTGGGCTCCAACTCCCACAATCCCTGAGTTGGCCCGTGAAGGCAATAGCCCCCTCTTCTGTTTGGCCCCCTCTTCTGTGGCTATGAGTGTGGAAGAAGATTGCACCTCCCAAATGCATCCATTCATCGGAAGTGTGTTTGCCTCCCTGTTCACAGCTACTGAGGAATGTGTGGAGGTCGGGCACGATTCTGCTGCTCCTTTCCATGCCATCAGGGCAGGACTTTGGGGCAGAGGTCCAGAGGTCCATGTAGATCTTCCTTCACCCCTTCTTCCATGGCAGGGAAGGAAGGGAAGCCATTTTGTTGCTTGCCTCAGGTGCCAAAATGTCTTCGGCCAGTCCTGCAACAGAGTGAACAGGGGGGCCCCCAAACACAGCAAAGTGCAATTATTATTGTTATTATTATTATTAAATTTATATACCACCCTTCATCAAAATATCTCAGGGCGGTTCATATTTTGAAGTAATCGTGAAGTAATAGACATTGCCATCTATTGGGAGGCGGGGCATGAGACTATTATGTCCGGAGTCTAACATTATCGTGTTTAGGTAAGTTTTTAATGTTTGGTGTTTTATTGTGCTTTTAATTCTCTTGGGAGCCTCCCAGAGCGACTGGGGAAACCCAGCCAGATGGGTGGGGTATCTATTTATCTATCATCTATCTATCTCTATCATCTATCTATCTATCTAATCTATCTATATCTAACTATCATCTTTCTATCTCTATCATCTATCTATCATCTATCTATATCTATCTATCTATTTAACTATCTATCATCTATATCATCTATTTCTATATCTATCTGTCTGTCTGTCTGTCTATCATCTTTCTATATCATCTATCTTTCTATTTATCTATCTATCTCTATCATCTATTTTATCTATCATCTATCTATCATCTATCTATCTATCTATCATCTATCTATCTATCTATCTATCTATCATCTATCTATCTATCTATCTATCTATCTATCTATCATCTATCATCTATCTATTTCTATCTCTAGCATCTATCTATTTCTATCTCTAGCATCTATCTATCTATCATCTATCTATCTCTATCTACCTTCTTCTCTTTATCTTTTCTGTCTCCCTATTTCTTGATTTTTTTCCTTTCTCCATATTTTGGTTTCTCGTTATTCTCCGTCTTTAACGACAAAAGTTTGGCTTCTGTTGTATTTTATGTTGATAACCTGAGACGGGCCCAGGCTCTCTCACCCTGGGGGGACGGGGGGGGCGGACTGCTTATTCATGGCTCTTTATTTAAGCTGCGTTACGGAAGGCGAAGGGAAGATGGCTATGGTCTCAGAGGCATACCTTTTATGCAGAAAGGCGATCGACGCACCACATCCATAAATAAGCTAATTGTCATGAAGGAGGCATTTCTGTGTGCTGTTGTTTAGTGTCCGGGGTGAAGGTGAATGAATCTGCAGGGGAGAGGGATCCACTGGCATGAGGTCACCCTTTCCGTCCTCGGGGAAGCTCCATTTCCCAGCCCCCAGGCCTCTAAATGTGCTTGCCAGCTATGACATCTGACACTGGGAAAAGCCATTCCTTTCCCAAGAATGCTCCTCAAATGTTTGGTCACCCGAGTGTCACCCAGAGCTCGGCTGTCACAAGCCCGGGTGACACAATGACACATTTGTGACATAGCTACGAGATGCGTAGGGATGAGCGGACTGGACAGTTTTTGCTGCCTCTTCTGTTTTCTCATTTCCCCAAGGCTTATTTATTTATTTGATTTAACAAAATGTATAGAACCAAGCTTTTCCAAAACAAAATAAAACAAAGCAAACACGAAAATTGTACTAAAGGACAAATAAATAAAAGTTTAAAAACTGATATTTTTAAAAATCGACATGTAATTAAAATCAGGAGTTGATATAAAATCAGATTAAAACAGATAGCCTAGGCCAGGCATGTCCAAAGTCTGTTTGGGGGGCCTAATCCGGCCTGCCGGTCGGTTTAATCCATCCCCTGTGGCAGTTTATTTCCTGGGGTAAAATCCTAAAAAAACCTCAACATCTTCAATCCTTATAAAAAGCCCAATAACTTTGGTAGGCCCTTTGGTTGGTCACCACGGCCCTTCACTTCATCAAATCTGGCCCTCTTTGAAAAAAGTTTGGACACCACTGGCCTAGGCTATCTGAAGGATCATATTCTCCCATACCTGTCTTGGTCCTGAAATCTTTGGGGGAGACCTTTCTCTTGGTCCCCCCACCTTCACAGGAATGCTTGATGGGGAAGTGGGAGAGGGCCTTCTTGGTGGTGGCTCCCAAACTTTGGAATTCACTCCCTAGAGAAGCCAAATTGGCTCCCTCCTTGTTGCTCTTCCTTTGGCAGGTGGTGACTTTTATTCCAACAGGCCTTTGGGAACTGACCGTTTTTGAAGGAGGGAGCTTTAATAGCGCTGTGTTGTCTTTATTATTTGTAATTTAATCAATTGTTTGTGTAATATTGTTTTAATTCTGTTAGAGTTTAATTACTTACTGTCAGGGAACTGCCATCAGTGCCGGAGGGAGAGAGCAAAAGCCAGAGGGATTCCAGAGAGCGTCCAGGGATTGGGAGAAGCAGCCCATCTTCTGGGGAAGAGAATCAGCGTAGCACCAGTGGAGAAGGGGGGCAGATGGGGAAGCGGCGAGGCGGTCCCATGACTCCTTGCCGGGGACCAGCGGGGAGAGTAGGGGCCCTCCGTTGCCCACGCCCTCCTTGCGCAGAAGGCTTTCGCACAGAGAGAGTAGGAGGAGACTAGGCGTCAAAGAGCTTCTTTGCTGGAAGAAGTTTAAGAAACGCCCACTGACGGATTCTGCCAGTGATTTAGTCAGCCACGGGTGAGTGGCTGTCCGGACAGAAAAGGTTCACTTAGGCAACCCAGCCAGGTGTTTGCACCCAGCCGGGGAGATAAGCACCGGCTTACGCACGAGCAACCCCTAGAACCATTACACTTACTAATGGTGATCTTTTCTATGTTTTTAGCAGTTTGTATTTTATCTGTGTTGCTTTAGTCTATGTATGGACTCACCTTGAGTCCAGCTCTGGGAAAAAGGCATGATATATTATTATCATTATTATTATTACATGTCACACATACACCAGGAAAAGAGCACATACCTGTCAACTACCTCATTTGGGGCTGAGATCTTGCCTTTTCATATCCACAGTCTCGTGCAGCACCCCCAAAACATGTGTTTTGGGGCACTGTGCCCGAAAAACTGCTTTTTTGGGTCCACGATCTCACCATGCCCCCCCAAAGTGCTTTTTTTCTGGGTCCGCAATCTCATGTGGGTCATGCGATTTGCGGAGGATTTTGGTCCCAGAAGATGGTGTCCCATATTTGGGCCATATCCCTTCGGAGGGTATGAGATCACCGGTCTTGACATATTCAGAGGCACCTTGCCCGTGCCTGTCTTACAGCCTATATTAGTTCGAGGGACCCTTGAAATGAGGGTCCAGAAATGAGACACAGACCTTCCATGGCCTGGGCTAAAGGTAAAGGTAAAGGTACCCCTGACCATAAGGTCCAGTCGCAGACTACTCTGGGGTTGCAGCGCTCATCTCGCTCTATAGGCTGAGGGAGCTGGCGTTTGTCTGCAGACAGCTTCTGGGTCATGTGGCCAGCATGACTGAGCCACTTCTGGCGAAACCAGAGCAGGACACAGAAACACTGTTTACCTTCCTGCCGGAGCGGTACCTATTTATCTACTTGCACTTTGACATGCTTTTGAACTGCTAGGTGGGCAGGAGCAGGGACCGAGCAACGGGAGCTCACCCCGTCGCAGGGATTTGAACCGCCAACCTTGTGATCGGCAAGCCCTAGGCTCTGCGGTTTAGACCACAGCGCCACCAGCGTCCCAATGGCCTGGGGCTGGACGGAGGCAAAAAACAAACAAACAAACAAAACCACTGCAGGCCAAGACCTTGGGCTTAACTGGGCTTTAGATTGAGCTAATGGTCTGAAATTAGTTTCTGATCTCACGAGGTGCGTTTGACGTGGTGCCGTCGTCGTCATGACACGACATCTCAGAGCATGACTCAGCAAAGCGTCCCTAGTCCCCGATGTGCTTCTTCCCTTACCGAATTACGATTTACCGAGGGTGGAGGCGGCAGTGGGGGCTTCGTGGACTGAGTCAGCCCTCTTGGCACCGCGGATTTTGCAGGACGTGCTCCTTCGGCTACTCCCATACTGGCGTACAAGAAATCATGATTGACTCAGCCTGATGGAATAGCAGCGCCTGCCCCCTAAAAATAGACCAGCCTTTTCACCCTCCCAACATAGCTCAGGATTCCAAGATATAATCAGCTGTGAGGGGCCGGCTGGAGACACTCAGAGCCAGGATCGGAGCGTGGAGCAGGTCTCTCCTCCCTAGGATATTCCAACAGCCCGGCCTTTCCAAGACTCCAACCCAGGACTTGCCATTGCAGATTGCTGGGAACTCTCTGTAAGTCATTTCTTGAGATATTGCAAAGGGAAGGGGAAGCTAACGGAAGCTAAATCTGTGGATTTAGGTGGAGTTAGGGATTGTCAAATATCTTGTTGAGCGAAGCCAGATTAACGTACTTGGCTTTTCTTCGTGGAGCCAAAACTTCTGCCGGATGGTGGTCATTGTTATTTTTCTGTAGTCAGGCATGTGTTCCTTTGGCCTGGTGAACAGTCATATCCAGATTGTGGCCTGACGCTTTTGGAAGCTGGTCTATCTTTTGATGTGGGCATAACTGGTCCCAGTTGTGAAGGGTGGACCTAGATTCAGGTCTCGGGCAAATCCACTGAAAAATGGATAAAGAGAGTATTTCCACAAACGTCTCACCCCACCCTCCAGACACACATTTTGACTCTTCCTGAGATCTTGGAGGGGTTTCTGCCATTCAGAGCCTGAAGCTACAGGTCTTTCTGACATACACCTTTCCCGCCTGCCTCCATTGTGTTTTATCTCATATTGTGGTTTTAGGGTGTTATTTTAATTGTCATTGTTGTGATTTAATTACCTGGGTAATGGTGGCGTGGAATTTTAAAGTTGGGAATGGGGGATCTTGGAAGGCGACTAGTCGAAACCTCTTGTGTGATGGAGTGATCAGACCGAAGAACTATAGAATGGGAAGGGACCACAAGGAGCATCTAGTCCAACCCCTACAATCAGCTAAAGAATCCAAAGGGCTGCTCTGTATACCCTAGACCAGGATTCCCAAAATTTAGGTCTCCAGCTGTTGTTGGACTACAACTCCCATCATCCCTAGCTAGCACGACCAGTGGTCAGGGATGATGGGAACTGTAGTTCAAAAACAGCTGGAGACCCAGGTTAGAGGAACCCTGCCTTAGACCACTCTTCCCCAACCAGAGATTCTCCAGAGACTATAACTCCCATCAGTCTCAGCTGAAACAGCTACACACGGAAACTCCCTGCAAATATTTGGTCTAGTCTAGAGAGTGGATAAGGGACACGGGTGGCACTGTGGGTTAAACCACAGAGCCTAGGGCTTGCCGATCGGAAGGTCGGCAGTTCGAATCCCCACGACGGGGTGAGCTCCCATTGCTCGGTCCCTGCTCCTGCCAACCTAGCAGTTCGAAAGCACAGCAAAGTGCAAGTAGATAAATAGGTACCAATCCAGCGGGAAGGTAAACGGCACTTTCGTGCACTGCTCTGGTTCATCAGAAGCGGCTTAGTCATGCTGGCCACATGACCCGGAAGCTGTACGCCGGCTCCCTCGGCCAATAAAGCGAGATGAGCGCCACAACCCCAGAGTCGTCCGCAACTGGACCTAATGGTCAGGGGTCCCTTTACCTTTAGAGAGTGGATGGTTTTGCATCAAATGGGTGTAAACCTGATCTGGCGGTTGGGTGACTTCAGGTGCTGATCATCATGACTTCAAAGCACCGCCCAGGGCTTGGAAAGACCCTGTATGGTGCTTTGAAGTGCCATGGTTCAGCCATCTTGAAGGCAGCACCTTGAAGGCGCTTCAAGCCTGCATGTTGCAGGGAGTGGCCTTCCAATCAAGTTTTGGGGGAAACGGCTTCATGGGTCAAAGTAGAACCCAACCCGGGCCAAACTGAATTATCCACAGACAAGAGAGGAAGGTGTGGAGAGACTTTCTACTCTTGGGGCATCACACAGTCTTTTCGTTGCTGGCTTCAGAAATATATTACATAGCAAGATGAAAGAGTTGGTGCCCAGCGACATGGGGGTGCTTATTATGGAACGGACCCCCTATTCCCCTCATATAATCACAATTCCCAGAGCTCCCTGAGAAGAGAGACTGACAGACCTTCCAAGTGTCCCTATGTTCCAGGGACTGTCGCAGATTTACAGAAGCCGTCCTGGTTTCTGATATGATCCCGCCATGTCCCGCTTTTCCTTAAGACGTCCCTATTTTCATCAGATAAAAGTTGGTGGGGATGTCTCTATATTCATGGGAGGAATGTTGGAGGGTATGGGCTGACTGTTAAACCACTCTGATAATTTCAGTTCTGTGAGGGGAATAGGGGCTTCGTAAGAACTTTCAGCACCCTTGGCAAAAAACACCTCCCAGAATTCTTGGGGGGGGGGGGCATGGCTGTTTAAAGCAATAGGGTAGTGCTTTAAATGCATGGTGTGGCCTGCGTAAAACAAAGGTGAAGAACGAAAGGGAAATGGATCCGCAGTTGCTTTTCACGTTTGTTTTGATTCCTCCTTGCCCCCTGCAGCTACCAATTCATTTCAGCATCTGTAAAACAAATCTAGGTGCATTACATTTCATTTTCCATTCATTTTTAGTTAAAAAAAATGCGCAGCCTTAAAATACCACCCTCTGCCTGTCTGGACAACTACGCTCCGTTCAGCGCCAGCAATGCGACGATAATTCCAAACAATACCACCGGCTCACGCATTGTATTTCTGAAAGCTCTTTAACATTCCAAAGGATCCCTCCTGCAACCCCCTGGCCTTTTGCACAGGAATGAAACTGGGCTTCTCTCACCAGCTGCCCGCGGGAAGGCAAACCTCCTCTCGCCCCCACATCCCAAAATGCCACCGGCAGTTGTCACTCGCCTTTGCATTTTTGAACCAGGAATAGCAGCTCGGCATTCTTTCAAACGCGATTATCTCCCCTGCCTGCCCACTCCCCTCCACCCCCAATCCTGGTTTCTCTCTTAGGCCAAATGTAACAAGCACAATGACTTTTGTCTCAAACAAGGGGCCATTTGCAAGGAATGTGTGCGAAAGAGGGTGGGGGGAGAGAGACTGCCCCTTCCGAGCTGTCAAAACTCCAGGTTCAGCAGAAGGAACGTGTTAATTCTGCACCACCAGCTATTCAGTGGACAATCGTATTTGCCTGCTCAAAAGTAAGCCCCACAGAGCTCAGTGAGGGATAAGATTGCAGCCTAAATGGGCTTGTATGTGTCATGGAATTACGGTGCAAGCCCGGAGGGTAGGACTCAAACCCATGACTTCAAGAAAGGAGATTCCAACTAAACATCAGGAAGAACTTTGTGACAGTAAGAGCTGTTTGTCAGCAGAACTGTCTCCCTCGGGAGGTTGTAGACCAGGCATAGGCAAACTCGGCCCTCCAGATGTTTTGGGACTACAACTCCCATCATCCCTGACCACTGGTCCTGTTAGCTAGGGATGATGGGAGCTGTAGTCCCAAAACATCTGGAGGGCCGAGTTTGCCTGTGCCTGTTGTAGACTCTCCTTCCTTGGAGGTTTTTGAGCAGATGTTGAATGGCCACCTGTCACGTATGATCTAGCTAAGATTCCTGCATTGCAGGGGGTTAGACTATAGGACCTTTGGGGTCCCTTCCAACTCTATAATTCTGTGATTCTGCTATTCCAAAGACCATGCGGTTGAGGTGAGGGCGGGGAGCCATTTCTAGCGGCTGTGCTAGATCTTTGAAGCTGCCCCTTCCATTTGCATCCGCCTTCAGACTTCATTGCCTGCCTGGACCAGAAAAAGCCTTGCAGAGAGAGAGAGAGAGAGAGAGAGAGAGAGAGAGAGAGAGAGCGCTGGGATGGTGTTGCTTCATCAGGAATGCAGACAGGATCAGGGTCCTGGCAGCAGGACAATGGCATTGCCAGCACAAAGATGAAAAGGGGGCGGAGCCAGGGGGCGGAGCGTACACCCATTGCCTGAATGGGGCTTGCAGGCTTGCATATATAGCTGGACCCATCACCCTCCAGTTAAAAGGATGCATTGGCTCCCACCCCCACCCCCGGGGCTATTATTGCTGCTTATCCATCTATGAGAATCCCCCGAGGCCGGGGGCACGAGCGGCGCCGGCGCTTAGCAAGCCTTTTGTCAAGGCCCGAATTATCTTGCAGCGGAGCAAAAGGGAGAGGGATTAGGGGAGAAGCCACGCGAGTGAATTCCTTAACTTCCAGCCACAGATACGCAGGCCGTTGGAAGGCAGGGCTGGGATGCTTGACGTCCTTGGTCCAGGCCAAGATGCCTCTCCGTAGAAGCTCAGGCAGGGCAAAGACAGATTTGGTGGGTCGTTCTAGCATTTTGGCAAATTTATTCAGTCTTAAATAGGTTTTTGGGTGTGAGGAATTCAGATCTGCTTTTATTTTGTGATTGGGCAACACTGGAAAAATCCCCTTGGAATGACACCACATCAAAATGTCATGAATTCATGGGGGTGGGGAGAAAATGGCACTCAGGGCCTTTTTGCAACCAGAAAGGTCTCTGTGATCATCACTGCTGCCACATAGAACTATAGGGTTGCAAGGGACCTTGAGGGTCCCCTGGTCCAACTCCCTGCCATTGCAGGAAACTTTTCCCCAACATGGGTCTCAAACCCACAACCCTGAAAATAAGAGTCTCATACTCTACCGACTGAGCTATCCGAGGTGATGTGGCAGTCAGAATGTTTTATTATTATTCTTCTTCTTAAAAAAGGAATTTACAAGGAACTTCCACTGCTTCCTAAGGAATCAAAACTTTGAGGGAATGTCACCCCTCCCCACTTTACTTAAACCCCCTCACCGACTTTCAAAGCTTAAAGTTCTTCCAGTTCAGCACTAAATAAAATAATAATAATAATAATAATTTATAACCTGCCCATCTGGCTGGGTTTCCCCAGCCACTCTGGGCGGCTTCCAACCGAATACAGTGGTACCTCGGGTTTAAGTACTTAATTCGTTCTGGAGGTCCATTCTTAACCTGAAACTGTTCTTAACCTGAAGCACCACTTTAGCTAATGGGGCCTCCCACTGCCGCCGCGCCGCTGGAGCACAATTTCTGTTCTCATCCTGAAGCAAAGTTCTTAACCCAAGGTACTACTTCTGGGTTAGCGAAGTCTGTAACCTGAAGCGTATATAACCTGAAGTGTATGTAACCCGAGGTACCACTGTATTAAAAACAATACAGTGTCAGACATTAAAAACTTCCCTAAACAGGGCCACCTTCAGTTGTCTTTTAAAAGTTAAATAGTAGTTTATTGCCTTGACATCTGGTGGGAGGGCGTTCCACAGGGCAGGCGCCGCTACCGAGAAGGCCCTCTGCCTGGTTCCCTGTAGCCTGACTTCTCGCAGCGAGGGAACCGCCAGAAGACCCTCAGAGCTGGACCTCAGTGTCCAGCTTCCCCTTGCTTCCTCCCCTTGGCTTTTCCCTTGCAAAGACAGTTTAGGATTCCTAAGATTCCATGACGTTCAGTGAAGAAATCACAAATCACATCAATGAGGGCTTGGGGTATATTCCAGGTGAACATTTCTACTATGGCATGACTGCATGGTGGGTTGGAATGCAATAGCAGGGGCGGACTTTGGTAATCTTTCGTAATATGGTACCCCGTGCAAGGGCATAATTTTGCACCCCAAAATTGATCTTCTCAATTATGGGGCTTCTAAATTTGCACCCCCTCGGCTCAGCACCCAGCGCGGGGGAACTGCCCGTACCACCCTAAATCTGGCGCTGGCAACAGAAACTAGTCTTAAAGTCGACTCTTATCAGGGTTGCTGGTCTGTACAGGCCCTTCTCATTAGAGATGGGGGCATTGTGACCCACAAGAAAGAAAGAAAGAAAGAAAGAAAGAAAGAAAGAAAGAAAGAAGTCTGTTTTTTCTAGCACCTGCTTTGCCTCACTCCCAGTAATTCCAGTACTGTGCAGGATGGAAAGCAGGGAGTGGGGGCGGGGCTTAGCCTTAGGCTGGAGACAGACAGACAGACAGGCTGAAGCAGGGGAGTGAGTCATGTGGCTGTGAGGGGGATGGCTCTCTTCTACTCAGAAGTAAACCTAGGAAGCTGGGGGATGTAGAGGCCACCAGCACAAGGTGAGGCAACGAGCGAGCAGCAAAGTATTTGCAAGTTAAAGAAGTGGTATTGCATGCTCTAGTTATCTCCCGCTTGGACTACTGCAATGCACTCTACGTGGGGCTACCTTTGAAGGTGACCCGGAAACTACAATTAATCCAGAATGCGGCAGCTAGACTGGTGACTGGGGGCGGCCGCCGAGACCACATAACACCAGTCTTGAAAGACCTACATTGGCTCCCAGTACGTTTCCGAGCACAATTCAAAGTGTTGGTGCTGACCTTTAAAGCCCTAAATGGCCTCGGCCCAGTATACCTGAAGGAGCGTCTCCACCCCCATCGTTCAGCCCGGACACTGAGGTCCAGCGCCGAGGGCCTTCTGGTGGTTCCCTTGCTGCGAGAAGTGGGATTACAGAGAACCAGGCAGAGGGCCTTCTTGGTGGTGACACCCGCCCTGTGGAACCCCCTCAGATGTCAAAAGAGATAAACGACCTGACATTTAGAAGACATCCGAAGGGAAGTTTTTAATGTGTGACATCTTAGTGTATTTTTGGTCTTTGTGGAAGCCGCCCAGAGTGGCTGGGGAAACCCAGCCAGATGGGCAGGATACAAATGATAAATTATTATTATTATTATTATTATTATTATTATTAATGACGCTTGAGATCCCTCCCAACTCGACAATTCTATGGTTCTATGACTTTGGAGGACTGGAAATGGCCAGCAGGCAGCAAGAGGGAAAAGGATGCAGGAAGGGGAAAGTATTAGTGGTGTGGTCCAAGGAGATACGGTGTGAAAGCTGGGAATCCCAATATAACCCCAAAACTGTAGTATGCCAGACTCCTGCTGCAGGGCAGAATGCAACGTACCCATTCCAGAAATCCTTTTCACGCTCCTCCGTTAGGAGAAAAGCAGGATTTTGCTCCAGGGCTTTTCAGCAAACATCTCTCTCCTCTTTGTCGTAATCATTCAGTCACATGGGGCACCCCTAGACTTGTCAGCATTTTTGCAGATACTGGGATAAAATTTAGGTTGGTGCAATTGATGTGTCCTTTCACCCACTTGAAAAGAGAAACCAAATAGTTGCAGTTAGGAAAGTGACAGGGAAAGGCATTGAAATTTGTGGGACGTCTGAAAGATGAATGGGAAGTTGTCTAAATAACCTGCAACCCAATCAGGACGAATGCTGAATAAAGACCCAACGAAATCGAAACTCCGCAGGAGGTTTGTGCAAGCAAATTAGGAAGAACTCTCAGCCAATAGGTGGTCTGGAGAACGGGCACCAGGCTCAACTCAAAGTGATCTGGTGAATTCTTTTGCAAGACGCGTCTCAAGGAAACATCTGTAAATCCAGTGATGTTTGCCAGGGTGGTGGTTTTTTTTGTACACCCATCGAGCATCGCTATAACTTGCCCACTGTTAAATTCAGGCCCTGGGTTTGCAAGTTCCTCCTTAGGCGAAACATCTGAGAAATTTCGAGGGAAGCCAAAAGGATTTCGGCAAGGGTAGGGAAACTCCTCGTTGTGGCACGCTGTTAAGGCAGCAATGCTGATGAAAATAATCAAGGCTTGGTGCGATCAGTGCATGGATCTCTCTTCTCCCAAGGAAGAAAGGCAGGCTGCGATGAAACGCAGCTCACGCCAGGCTAGACTGGGTGCTGTGCCTCTCTGCTCCTGCAGAGAGAGAAATCCCGCTGGCATTTGGGGCAGCCACAGCAGGGCTTATGCCGCGACACACAATAGGGTTTTTTCGCTTAGCAGGCCTCTTTGTCCGGGGCAGATGGATTCAGCAGCAAAGCTGACGACACGCTCTTGGCCACCTCCGACGGAGAGGCTGGGCGCTGAGCTTGCAGCTTTGCCTTTTTTTTAATAGGCGGTTGCGTCCGTCGGCAAGCTAGGGGTGGATGGTGGCACTCAGCCGGTCTGGAGAAGGAAGCCATCGATGCTAACAGGTGGGTGGCACTGCTGGACGACATGCTTGCCGTGGTTTTAATGTAGCGGCAAAACGGGGCAGGGCAGGAAGGGGGAGAAGAGATGGAGTTGTCTATTTGACTATAGATTCTGGATCTTGGAGCAAATCTGGGTGTTGCATGAGCATTTTTAGTAATGACGGCTACAGTGGAGAAAAAAAATGAGTCAAGTGTAAAACAGCCTCTGCCGACCTCATGCCTCCAGATCTTTTGGACTACCTACTGCTGATGGGAGTTGTAGTCCACAACATCTGGAAGACAGCCAGTTCGGCAGAGATTGATGTACCGGATGCCGCAGGTTGAGCTTTGTTGACTACTCAAGAGTTTGAGCTATTTGTAGCAAGGAAGGAAAAAGGCAACCAGGGCAAAGTAGCCGATCTCACCACAGAGAGGTTGCCAGCTTTCAACTGTTGGGTGTGAGGCTGTGCTCATATTGTACATCTTAACATTTAGACATTAACTATGTTTTTCAGCATCAATGGGAAGCTTTCCTCCAGATGCAATAGCACTTATGGGGTGGGTGGGTGGGTGTATGAGAGAGAGAGAGAGAGAGAGAGAGAGAGAGAGAGAGAGAGAGAGATCCAGATTGGAACAGAGGTGGAAGCAAAGGGTTAAAGCCCTCCCCCAACCATGATCCCAGTTTGGATCAGTGCCCCTCCCATACGGCTGCTATTTACAAAACACCAGGCATCCACTTGCATGATTATCGCCAAGTCATATCATGGGCGTAGCCAGGATTTATTGGGGGGCATGGTTTATGTTGGGGGGGGGAACTGAGTTATCTGCGACACAACTGGTCAGTAAGTTAAGTATTTTTATTTATTTACTTAATTTGGGGGAGGGGCAGCTACCCTCCTCTTTGCCCCCTGGCAACACCTATGGGCTATATAGGATGCCGTGAGTTGGGAGGGTGGGCGTGGCTTGAGAGAAATGGCCTTGCAGGCCAAATTGGAAACACTACTGGGTCAAATTAGGTCTGCGGGGCTGGAGTTTCCCCGCTCCTCTTTTGAAGAACGGGAAAGCCTGTCTGTTTTTCATTTTCCGCCAGAAGTGCGTGGAGTTTGCAGGCCTGGTCACCCCTTCTGACTGCCGCTGTACTGAGGACATGCATCTGGTCTGATCTAGCTGGCTCCTCTTATGTTCTTATATGCAATCAAAATATTATTATTTCTTCTTCAAAAAACCCGTCGTTGGCATTTCGAGGCTGAGAACCCGCCACTCTGGTGGCCACCGTGCTTTGCTTTGCTTTCTCACAGAGGAACTGGAGACTCCTGAACATACAGTAGCTGTCAACGTTTCCCTTTTTTAAAGGGAAATTCCCTTATTCCGAATAGGATTCCTCGCAAGAAAATGGAAACATTGGCAGCTATGCTCCTGAACGCTTTCTAAATTACCTTCTGTTGCGTTTCATCCACCTCACTCTCCTATGATCTGTGGCTTCCTGACTCTGTTCTATAGTCATAACTCTCGGTTCTCGCTGCTGACAATCTCTCCCTGCTCTCAAGTTGCAGGCTTACCCAAAAAGTTTGCTCTCACCTGCTTGGTTTGACACTTCAGTAGACCCATACCTCACAAGCGTCCTGGAAAAAAACAGAACACCCTGCTTTTTCCTGCAAGAGCACTGGTCACTGTGATCTCGCATGGTTTTGCACTGAGATCTCACCTTGAAAAAGCACATACCGTATTTTTCGCTCTATAAGATGCACCAGACCACAAGACACACCTAGTTTTTGGAGGAGGAAAACAAGAAAAAAAATATTCTGAATCTCAGAAGCCAGAACAGCAAGAGGGATCGCTGCGCAGTGAAAGCAGCAATCCCTCTTGCTGTTCTGGCTTCTGGGATAGCTGCGCAGCCTGCATTTGCTCCATAAGACGCACACACAATTCCCCTTACTTTTTAGGAGAGAAAAAGTGAGTCTTATAGAGCAAAAAATACGGTATTTTGGAGCCGCAATCTTGTGCAGCGCTCCAAAACGTGCACTTTTTGATGAGAGCACGCCCCCCCCCATGTGTGTCTTTTGGGCTCTGTGATCTCGTGCAGGTCACATGACTTGCAGGGAGCACAGACAGGAAGTTCTACGTCGCTGTTTGGGGACTCTGTATGTTGGTGGGTATGGGGACCTTCCCTTGTCCGGGACAGAGCGTGATTCTGCTACAACTTCCCATTATCCCTCCCAAGAAACACATTTCTCCACTTGGAACTCAGGGCTGGGGGAATTTCAGGGACGCACCCAGAACATCTGAAACAATGTTTGATTCTCAGTCTGGATTGACTACTAATTTGGATGCCACATATCACAGAGGAGCATTAATTCAGTTGCCAAGCCACAGCAGAAATTGGTTGCTTGCTACTAATAATGTGTCCACACCTGCACACTCAAGTTTAAGGACAGACCACATGATAAACACGAGTCAGCAGTGTGATGCAGCAGCAAAAATGCCAAATGCAATTCTAGGCTGCCTCAACAGAAGCATAGCATCCTATGGTATTGTTGCGTTCTGCTTTGGTCGGACTGTTATGTACTGAAGTTCTCACCCTGGGCCAGCAAGGGGATACTGTAGATAGTTTTCACTCAGGTCCACATATGCAAATAAGGGGTTGAAAATGACATTCAGTGATTGGATAGTTACAGAAAGTGTTACAGTTGCGTTGCAGTTGAGCTCTATATAAGCAGGCTGGCTGAACTCTTCAGTTCAGTTCTGTTATGGCCTGTGAATAAACAAGAGCTGTTTGAAGAATTGCTGTGTCGCCTGATATCTTCACCCACGACTTAACACAGACTTTGGCGGGGATGCTGTACATACTTCTGGGCACTGCGGTTTAGAAAGGATATAAAATAAATTGAATAAAAGACCTGAAGAGCTGGAAGGGACCGCAAGGATCATCTAGTCCAGCCCCCTGCAGTGCAGGAATCTTTCAGCCAACGTAGGGCATTGAACCCTACGATTAATCTCAGTGACCCTGAGATTTAAGGCCAGAGGAGGGTGGGAAAGACGAAGAGGGGAGATTGAAGCAGTTGGGAATCTTTAGCATGGGGAAGAGATAAAATACAGTTTGAAAGGATACATCCAAAACCAATGCAAATTTTCAAGGTGGTTTTTAAAAGACGGATGAGGGGATGAGAAGGTGCTTGCGAATGGACATATGTGAATCGGACGCAGGGCGGAAATAGACTGATCCGTCCTACATAAGCGTGGCCTTGGGATGTGAAGTGGGGGTTATAAAAATAGACCCCTCAAAGGAGCATGTTTCTCAGTAAAAGATGCGAACTCTGTATTGTGGGCATCTGCACAGCGAGAGTCAAATGCCTAGACTGGCTGGGGCCGCCATGCCTGGCTGGCCTGTTGCATCAGTTGTGCGCATGATAGATGTGTCACGCACTGGAATAATAAGTGCAAGGCATCCCCGTGGTTCAGCATGGCATTTTCAGCTGTTTGAGATGTTTAAATGTCAAGGCCCATCATAAATTGGTCTCTGAAGCAACCTCTCACCCGACGCTGTACTCTGGGGGAAGGGCGCCTTGCATGAAGAAAGCCGCAGGTTCAAAGCCCAGTGTTAAGTTGTGGGTGAACATATCAGACGACACAGCGATTCTTCAAACAGCTCTTGTTTATTCACAGGCCAGAACAGAACTGAACCGAAGGGTTTAGCCAGCCTGCTTATATAGAGCTCCACTACAACGCAACTGTAATCACTTTCTGTAACTATCCAATCACTGAACGTCACTTTCAGTCCCTTATTTGCATATGTGGACCTGAGTGAAAACTATCTACAGTATCCCCCTGCTAGCCCAGGGTGAGAACTTCAGTACATAGCACCCAGCATCTCCAGGTAGGGCTGGGAGAAATCCTGCCTAAAACCCTGGATAGCCACTGCCAGTCTGTACAGACAATACTAAGTAAGATTGACCAATGATCTGACTCAGTTTAAGGCAGATCCCTATGTTCCTGGTGCAAGAGAGCACACAGGGGTATTCTTCACAACTTCTCTTCAAAACACACAAAAATGGGCACTGGGCATGTGCTGGTCCCCCCTTTCCAAGTATTTTAAAAGTGGTGAAGAATACACCATTCCTGACCAGTCCTGCATGTGTATAGTCTGCCCTATTCAAATATCCACTTTTATTGAATTTGGAGCTTGAGTTTGCTTCTCTTCCTCTTCCCTCCGCCTCCTCTTTTCCTTTTGTGTTGTGTGTTTTGCCATCTACCCTGCACGGAGCTGCTATCCCAGCGCCTTTAACAAACCACAGTTCCCAGGATTCTTTGGGGGGGGGAAGCCATGTGCATTAAATGTGCTTTAAATGTATGGGGTGAATGTCACCAAGGCACGTGACTCAGGCTGCTGTCTGTAACTCCTTTTCTCGGAAATGTTGCTTTATAAGAGCTGATAAGCCAACAGTGGGCTGAGAAGTATCAAGCGCAATAAAAGCAAGGGGAGTTGAGCATTGCAGTAGATTAACCTACACAGAAAACCTTTCACCTTTAAATTGCATCTCAGTTTGGCAACCCCAGAGGACAGGGAGCTAGAGGCATCAAAATGGCGCACAGTTGCACTCATAAAATTGGGTTTTAAGTGACTTGCTCTAAAACAGATCCTATGAAGCCTTTTTTTAAAAAGTGACAATGATAATATCAGGCAACATACCTGAGATTTTATGACTACCAAAGTTCATCTCGGAAAAGGTGTTTTGAGAAGAAATCTGCCCTTTAGTCTCACTGTTATAGATCTGCAACAAATAACAGCATTGTAATTATTTGTGAAAGGTATCACAGTGTCCCCCCCCCCTTTCTGTTTTCTTTGGGGATTTGGGACTGGGTTTAGCAATCCCTAATTGCTGGAAGCCTCTCTCCCGTCTTTGGAATGCCATATCCATCAGAGTTGGGGAGATGGTCAGAGAGACTGCTTGAAGCAACTTTGAATTTAGGCAGAGCAGAGCTGGGCGTTTAAGCTGAGCAGGAAGCAATGGGGCTGTGAGGGGTCCAAAATAGGAGATCAACAGTGAAATCTTATATCTGTCTAGGAAAAAAAATAAGCCCTGTTGAGTTCAACAAGACTTCTTTGCAAGGGCTCACCCTCACTGTTCCTTTGCTTTCGGGGTTAACAACCGCAGGGCTTGTTTTTAGTACTGTGCGCAGGTGGCGCTGTGGGTTAAACCACAGAGTCTAGGACTTGCCGATCAGAAGGTCGGAGGTTCGAATCCCCGTGACGGGGTGAGCTCCCTTTGTTCGGTACCAGCTTCTGCCAACCTAGCAGTTCAAAAGCACGTCAAAGTGCAAGTAGATAAATAGGTACCACTCTGGTGGGAAGGTAAACGATGTTTCCGTGCTTCTCTGGTTCGCCAGAAGCGGCTTAGTCCTGCTGGCCACATGACCTGGAAGCTGTACGCCAGCTCCCTCGGCCAATAAAGCGAGATGAGCGCCGCAACCCCAGAGTCAGCCACGACTGGACCTAATGGTCAGGGGTCCCTTTACCTTTAGGCCAGATTTAGCAGTGTGGCCATCAGTTGTTAACCAGGATCATACATTATCTGGACCCTGAAGCAGTAAGCTTCCTAGCAGGAGGGTAAGGCTTCATTCCACAAATGGGCAAATGCTGGGATAGCTCAGCTGGTAAAACACAAGACTCTTAATCTCAGGTTCGCAAGTTCGAGCCCCTCATTGGGCAAAAGATTCCTGCATTTCAGGGGGTTGGACTAGATGACCCTCGGGGTCCCATCCGACGCTACAGTTGTGTGATTCTGTGAAGTAGTATTTCTACTGGTGCTGGAACTCTGGCACACATCTTAGCGTATCTATCTTTGTCCCTGTTGCAGATGAGAAGACCCTGGGAGTTTTAAACAGCTCGGGCCACAAAAGCCACATACTTTGTCAAGGACACAGGACGGCCTCATTCCCCTCTGTGAAGGAGCGGTCAGTTCTCTATCTGTCTCAGGCAGCAGCTGCCGCTGCAGATCTCCCCGGTGGTCTGACAGAATCCGTAAGTTTCTCAGCCTTGACATTCCTCCCATTTTTCTGAGCTAAAAGAAGTATTTGAGCCATGCCTTCCTCCGGCAAATGGTCATACTGAAGTAGAGGAGAATTGGGGCACAGGGTGGGAGGGTGGATGCTATTATGGGAGTGTGTTTTTGTGGTCATCTCCCTCTGTCCAAGTAGCTAATGTACAATGCATAGATCTGAAAAGGCTGTAGGGCAATTTTAAAAGTCCAAATAGTTGCAGACACTGTGTTCAGATTGGCATCAGCTTGTTTCAGGGTATAGCCATGCGATTGCTTAGTTGGTTAGAGCATGGCGCTGATAATGCTAAGGTTGCAGGTTCAATCCCCATATGGGATTGAATATTTCTGCATTTCTGGGGGTTGGACTAGATGACCCTAGCTCTACAATTCTACAATTCTATGATAACTAGCATGAATTAGGAATGGTGGAGAAATCCAACCTGGTTCACATTTCAGCATTAACCATCCTAATTTGAACTTCCAACACAATGTGTTGACCGAAGCACAGCTCTCCTTCAAAATTTGTTCTTCTGATTTTGCAATGCAGGTCTCCAACCAAATCATGTGTGCAAAATTAATATATTAGGGGGGTGGCTCTTTAGAAATGGATATATTAGTGAAAACAACAAAAGCAAAAAATGGATTTTATTAAGGAAAATTTGCTTGCAATACAAAAATGTATATATTAGGAGAAATTTGCACTAAAACGCTGGTGATTTTTTAAATGTCTTTTTAAAAATGCCTACTGACGAACTGAACTTACTACTGGAAAAATGAGGAGACAGAAATTGAAAATGATAAAATACAGCCAACCCAACATGAATCCAGAGTGCTCTTGATGCAAAACAGATCAGGGCTCCTGCACATTTAACAGTCATATAGAAGAGGACCCTTCTAGGGGTGCAGCAATAAAACCGCTAGCACATTTGAAAAAGCTAAGCAGGGTTCAGTGTGACTTCAAATTGGATGGGGGACCGCATGTTGAGATTCACGCATTGCGTGGGGTTGGACTAGATGACCACCGTAGTTCTCTTCCAACTCTACAATTCTATGATTTTATTAAAGAGCCTGGTTGCCAAAGGTGGCCAAATGGCCACCTAGCATCCTTTTCTCCTGGGGGCCAACCAGGTGCTCCACAGGGATAATAATAATAATAACAACAACTTATTTATTACTTAAACCCCGCCCATCTGGCTGGGCCTCCCCACTCTGGCTGGGCCTTTCCCACTCTGGGTGGCAAAAAACACGATAAAATCTCAAACATTAAAAACTTCCCTAAACAGAATTGCCTTCAGATGTCTTCTAAAAGTCAGATAGTTGTTTATTTCCTTGACATCTGATGGGAGGGAACGCAATGAGGGAACCGCCACAAGGGCCCTGGTGCTGGACCTCAGTGTTCAGGTTGTATGATGTGGGTGGAGACGCTCCTTCAGGTATACTGGGCTGAGGCCGTTTAGGGCTTTAAAGTTCAGCACCAACACTTTGAATTGTGCTCGGAAACGTATTGGGAGCCAATGCAGGTCTTTTAGGGAAACCCTCCAGGAAGACCTGAGCACATCAGTATTCTGACCACCTGTGAGTCCGAGCAACTGGTACCCAGAGGTGAACTTTCCCTGACACTGGAAGCAGTTGTATAACCATTGTGGCTAGTAGAGATTGATTGCCTTACCCTCTAATTCGTGTTAAAGCCATCCAAGTGCGTGTCCAGCACTGCATACTGCCTGAATTTTAACAGCTGGAATTCCCTCTTCTACACAGCTGTCAAAAGTGCAGGACCCCTGCTCTCTTTTTCATGTGCCCACCCTGCCAAAGAACCTGGGGGATAACAGTTGGTGAGAGTGCAGAGGATTCTCTTTTGGGAACCCCCATCTCCCCGATCCCATCCTATGCTGCTGCCACAGTGAACTACAACTCCCAGAATTCCATGGCCAGTGGCAGAGGCGGGTTTGGGGCAGGGCCCAAGGGGACGTCTTCTCATCTCCTTCCCAAAGCCTAGTTAGCTCTTGCCCAGCTTTGGGAAGGAGGAGGAGGGCTCTAGGACCCTGCCAGAGCCACATGCCTCCTTCCCAAAACCTGCTCCTCCCTTACCCGGCTTTGGGCAGGCAGCTTTGGGCTGGAGGGTCATGTGTCAAATTTTGGCCCTGCACAGGGTGCCAGATTACCAAGGTCCACCCCAGGCTCGTCAAACCAGTCTATGCATGTAGAGCAGGATAAATACGCCTTCACTATGGTGAAACTGAAAGATCAGAATATTAAGATAAAATAGCTTTAGTGAAATGCACCTATACACTGACATTGAATTTGGTATTTCCATATTTGTAGCTTACAGGCCTACCAATATGTATTTAGTGATGTGTGTGTGTGTGTGTGTGTGTATGTATACATATATATATATAAGTATAAATCTACTTTCTGTGTTTCGTTCAGAATTTCATACACAAGATCCCTTTGTAATTCTCCGCATAACCAGAAAGCAAATAAGGTAGGAAATGCTACAAACATAGGTGTGGTTGCCTAATCCAGTATCTGTAGGCGGTTGTGCGGTTTATGCTAACAATGAATGCAGGCTTTGTGTCTTACGCTGAGCTTCAACATCACCTTGTGTTTTAAACCTCACTAATGTGGAATTGGCGGAAAGCACTAAACGGCAATTGAAACTGGAGTGATTTGCAGTTTGGTTTGCAGTGTACTGATTTCTGTTGTTGTTGCGTTGCTGTTGTTTACTAATACGCTGTCCATCCAGACTTTTGTTTACTGGAAATGCTTGTGCATCCAATTGAGGGACTCATCCTGTACAAAAAGCGGGTGGGACTCACCTGTTTAAATTCTGAGCTACCCATTGCATTCTCTGCGATGTCGGATTCCACTCAATGGCACCCTCTGTGCATCAGTTTCAAACACGGAAGGCGCAATATACCAAAATCCACACTTTCCAAATTGAAATACAGAGCTTCTTTGGGAGGGACCTCCTCTAAATTTTGCAGTGCGGTTCCCCAACCAATGAATGCATACAAAATGTGTACATTAGCAAAAGCTGCATGCATTAAAAGAATGCATTTTTTAAAATGTACAAAAGTGCATTGAATTGAGGGGAATTGATTGCCAAATTTAATTAACTGTGTGCCAAGAAAAAGTGTCTATTAGGACCAACGTCCATGGAGAGGCGTATGAATTCTCATGCAAACATTATTTATTTATCGCATTGCTATGCTTCCTTTTCCTCCAAGGAACTCAAGGTGGGGTACATGGTCCTCCCTCTCCTCATTTAATCACAACAACAACCCTGTGAGGTAGTGAGAGGCAGTGACTCCATGGCCATGTTAGGATTTGAACCCTGGTCTCCTAGGTCCTAGCCCCAAACTGTAGCATACTGGTTCAAAAATTCACAAATGTATGTGAAAATGGGGCAAACCGAATTCAAGACTGGGAAAACGTGTTGTTCTCTAACCATGTGGTGCTCTCGGGAGCAATGGTACCCTCAAGGTCTTCCTTTGCTACCCATGAAGCCTTTGAACCACCACTCATTTCCCCCTCGGTCATGAGGTGGTGAGGTTCTCTTTTCCTGTCACAAAAAGGACATAGAGTTGAAGAAGGAAGTGGGAAGACTGACACTCCTTCCCACTTCCTCTTTGAGCTCTATGCACTTTCCAAGGCTCAGATTCATCTACAAGATTCAGCCTTTATTCAGATCTCTTGGAAAAGCAAAGCACGAATACGTCCCTTTCTCTCTTTCTGCCTCTTTGGCAGGGTATTGCAGATATTAATATTGTGTAGCTTCAAGCGGTTGGGTGCATGAAAACAGACTCATTTTGGAAATAGCACATTACCAAGGCCCATAAGTTGAATTAAAAACTTTACTTGCAGAACTTTGTTCAAAGCATAACAAAAACATCAGATGATACATCCAAACAGTTCTGTAAGACATATTTCAGTCCAAAGCATAGGCTCAGCATCTTACAAAATATGAAATAATTCCAGCAGAGGTCTGTCTCTTCCCACATCCTGCATTCCTGCCTGGGGCTGTGCTCCTGGAGAACTTCATTTACATCCTCACTCTCACAGAGCCTGAGAACAAAAAGCTCCAGCCACCACCCTTCCAAGATGGTGAATTTGCAGTTCAATGTCTCTCATATGATCTAAAGTTAAACACTCATGTGTTAGCTAGCAGAAAACATCAATAGTTAATTGTCAACTGAGTTAAAGCTCAGTCTCTTAGAATGCTGCAGTGGAATTTTCCAATGTTAAACCTTTCAGCAATACGCAGGCATTCCCATACCAGTGTGAATTAAACAATTATACTTAACACAGGGGAGCTGATCTTGGAAAGGGAGGAGAGAAGTGACCAGAGGTCATGGCACCTGCACTCGCTCAAAAATCGAAATGCACCCATGGACTTGAAAAGGTTGGCAACCCCTCTTCTAGCTAAATAGAAACATAGGACTTAAAAACTGAAGAAACAAGCACCTGGGAAGAGTTTGTGTTGTAGCTTCTCACTGGAGTTACGGGTGTCTTTAGCACCACTAACCGGAAACTAGTCGTGGTTGTTCGAGTTTGCAGTGGTGTGACCCTTGTTGTGCTTTGCAGGTATGGAATGAACACGCAGCTAGGCATATTAACCCAAGTTGCTGCATGGATTTGACCTTTCTCACTAACAAACTGACGAAGGGATTATGCTGACTTTAAAAAAAATAAAATTGTTTCCTTAAAGATGGCAGAAGCTCAGAACGAAAAGTCTTCCAAGGCAAACATCAAGTCGGATGAGGATTTGCTCCCACCTCCTCCTCCCCAGGATTCTGCCTCAGCCGCATCTTCCGCTCCCGCGACTCAGGATACTAACCCTCTGCCTCCACCTCCTCCCAAGGAGTCCTTCTCCAGGTTCTACCAGCAGCGTCAGGTGAATGAGCTGAAGAGACTTTACCGCCATATGCACCCAGAGCTGAGGAAAAACCTGGAAGAGGCTGTGTCAGAGGACCTGGCAGAGATGCTGAGCACCGACGACCCTGGCGCACAGGCCATAGTGAATCTAGATGCGGTCCTTCCAGGAGAGGTACAATCCATGCGCTGGATCTTTGAGAACTGGACGCTGGACTCCATTGGAGAACGCCAAGCCGCCAAGAAGGTGACCGAGGAGGAAGGCATCCCGAGCGGAGACGTGAAGAACAGGTCCATGAGGTTTGAAAGCCAGCTGTTCAACGGAGACAACCTGGTCCCTTCGGCCCAGGCATCTGAGAAGGAACAAGCCAAAGGGGATGTACACACGGCTCGGTGGTTGTTTGAAACCCAGCCGCTAGACTCCTTGAACAAAATGTATTTGGATGAGACCGACTTGCAAGAGGCAGTCCTCAAAGAGCCCGTGCAGAGAGGGGATGTGAAGGGGGCTGCCCGGCTCTTTGAAACCCATTCCTTAGACGCCTTGGGCCGCTGCAGTTCGGTGGAGGAGCAGAACATCTTGCAGCTGAAGTCGGAGATTCAAGAGCTCAAAGGCGACGTCCAGAAAACCGTCAAGCTCTTCCAAACCGAGCCCCTCTGCGCCATCAGGGACAAAACAGGAAACATGCACGAAATCAAATCTGTCTGCAGAGAGGAAATACAGAGCAATGCCGTGAAGACGGCCCGCTGGCTCTTTGAGACCCAGCCTCTGGACACGATCAACAAGGACACCTCCAAAGTGCAAGTCATCCGAGGGATATCGCTGGAGGAGGTGGCCCCGGGGAACGTCAGCGGAGCAAAATGGATGTTCGAGACGCAGCCCCTGGATGCCATAAGGGAATTTACCGTGGAAGAAGCAGACTTCAAGGCTTCTCCAGACCTTATCCAGGGGACCGATGTTAGTAAACAGTGCCTCCTTTTTGAGACACAGCCTCTTGACGCCCTGAAAGGAGAAGCCTCCGACAGCATCCCAGCCAAGGAGGAAGTTATCAAAGGCGACGTGAAGTCAACCCTTTGGCTGTTCGAAACCCAGCCAATGGAGACGCTGAAGGATGACTTTGAAGTGGGTCATTTGAAGAAAGTAGAGCTTTCAGAGGAGGAGAAAGGAGCGGTGAGGCAAACAAAGCACGTCTTCGAGACCTGTCCTTTGGGCAGCATCTCCAAATCTCCACCTGAGGACTCCTCGGCCACCAGCGTACAAGAGGTGGAGAAAGGCGACGTGAAGGCCTTCAAGAGCCTCTTTGAGACCCTCCCCTTAGATAGCATCAGGCAAGCGAGCACCGAGGAGGCTATCAAGGAAGGAGAGGAAATAGTTCCAGGGAACGTCAAAGCCAATCAGCTTCTGTTCGAGACGACGCCTCTGTACGCCATCAAGGACAGCTTTGGGAACTTCCACAAAGTCACCTCTGTGAGCAGAGAAGAGGAAGTTGTGGGCGGAGATGTCAAGAACTACAAGTGGATGTTTGAGACCAAGCCCTTGGACCAGTTTGATGACAGCATCCAAAAAGTGGACCTTATCAAGGGGATCACTAAGCAGGAGGTGGTTGCCGGGAACGTGGAGACAGCCAAGTGGCTTTTTGAGACACAGACCATCGACGTTATCCACAGTCAGATGAACCAGGCAGAGCAGAAGGTCTCCGAGAAAGGAGACTCTTCCCAAGGGGGTGACGTGAAGACCTGTAGGTGGTTGTTTGAGACACGCCCAATGGACACCCTGTATGAGAAAGGGGAGGAGAAGAAGCAGGATGGAGAAGAGCCTGTGCCGCGAGCAGATGTCAAGTCTTGCACATGGATGTTTGAAACACAGCCCTTGGATTCCCTGAAAGGCCAAGAGGAACAATATCTGCAGGTCAGCAAGACCTTTTGCCAGGACGAATTGCAAGGGGTGGATGTGAAAACGGCCAGGCACCTGTTTGAGACGGAACCCTTAATCAATAACGTCACTAGTGACGCAGATTCAAAGAAAATAATCCGGTACTCCAGCCGTGTGGAGATCCAGTCCGGTGAAGTGTCCAGGGTGAAGGAGTTTTTTGAAGCGAAGCCCTTAGATTCAGCTGGTAAGTTCAGCCCGTCCATGAAGGCCATCAATATCCCAACAGATGGGAACATCGAGGCAGGAGCAGTGCACAAGTTTACCTGGCTCTTTGAAAACTGCCCCATGGATACCTTGAAAAGCAGCACGGAGGGCATTCAAGAGGTGCCCCCTGAAAAGGACATCCGAGGTGGAGATGTCGGAGGCAAGAGATTCGTCTTTGAAACCTACTCCCTGGATCAGATCCACAACAAAGAGAATGAGATGCAAATCAAGAAAATCCAGGAGGAGACCATGAACAAAGACAGCGTCAAGTCTTGCACAATGCTATTTGAAACACAGCCTCTTTACGCCATCCAGGACAGAGACGGAGGATACCATGAAGTCACATCTGTGAAGAAGGAAGAAATCATGAAAGGGGATGTAAAAGGCGCCCGGTGGCAGTTTGAGACCAAACCCTTGGACCAGATCAAGAAAGACGAAGAGGTGTTTGTGATCAGGGCTGTTACCCAAGAGGACGTCAAGAAGGGAGATGTCCAAACAGCCAGGTGGAGGTTTGAAACAGAGCCTCTGGATTCCATCGCTGATGAGAAGAGGCCTGTCTTGAAAACTGTTGATGACGTGCCAAAGGGGGACGTCCAGTCCAACAAGCAACTCTTTGAATCAGAGCAAGTGAGTCAAAAGAAGTACGTGAGGATGGTCAGTGTCAGTGATGTCCAGCAAGGAGATGTGAGGACATCTACCTGGCTTTTTGAAAACCAGCCTATTGACTCCCTCAGAGGAGAATCTGAAAGCACCTCCAGCCTGAACACAGTACAGAGGGAGGACATTGCCAAAGGGGATGTGAAACGCTGCACGTGGCTGTTTGAGACTCAGCCCATGGACAGCCTGAAAGACACAGAGGCTTCTGCGAGTGCTGAGCCCCAAGAGCTGGTCCCTCAGGCCGACGTGAAGAGCACCACGTGGTTGTTTGAAAGCACGCCTCTGGACAAGCTCAGCGCTTCTCAACACTGCACAGAAACAGAAGTTAGGGAGAGAACCATAAAGGAGACTTTGGAAGTTCTCTTCTCCTACCAAGTGATCCAACACGACGGCATCCTTATCGAAGCCAACGACATTGAGAGCGTCAAGATGGCCAAGTATCAACTCAGCAGCCAAGGAGCCCCCGAAATCCAGAAGGAAGAGGTCATGGGAGGCAACCTGCAAAGGATCTTGATGCGGCTGCTTCAGAGGCCCAACGTGGAGAGCCAGGGGATTTTGGTGCAGGAAAAAGAGAGTGGGGATATCAAAATCAGTGCGGTGCAGCTATTGGAGTCTGGCAAGGCTGAAAAGAGCCAAGAGGAGTTGAGCAGCAATGCGGCAAAGGCTCTCCAACAAATTCTTAGCCAAGACGCCTCAAGCAAGAAAGGGATCGTTATGCAGGAGACACAAATGGGGTCAGCAAACTTGACCATCTACTCTCTCCTTCACCGCGTTGCTCAACAGCAGCAGTTTGTCAAGTCGACGATTGGGAATCTGCTGGCTTCTGCCCAGGAGCAGAGGGCAAGGGCCACCGTCCGGCGAGAGGACAATGAGAGAGGCAATGTCCAGCTGTACACCAGCTGCATCGAAAAGGGAGACTTGGATTACTTAAAGAACCTCCAAAGGGATTCTGAGATAGAGGGCCTGGTTTCCTCGCAAGCAAAAGAGGAGTCCCTGAAAACGGTGGAAGAGGTCAGAGTATCTCCTGCCCAGCTGCAGGAGGGAAAAACTGTGACAGCAGCAGCAGACATTGTGCTGGGGAATAGCAGTGGGGCTAAGCGAGTGGTCTTATGTGAGAGCAAAGAAGGTACATTAGAAAGGAAAGCGATGCATGCAAGTGACCTAGGTTCCTCTGCGCATTGCCCTGCGCAAACCCCGCCCCCTGTGATAGTCAAAGAAGGTCTTGTTTCTGGGGGTGTTAATTTGCCCATGGAGTCAGTGCAAAAGGCACAGAATGGTAGCCACAAGGTAGCCAGAGAAGAACACATTATCTTGGGCAACAGGAGAGAGGGCACAGCCGTCATCACCACCACCACCACCACCAAGGTGGCAGATCAGGAGGATAATACAGCTGGGGTGAGCCACTGTTCCACGGTCGGGGAAGCCAGCCAGATGGCAGCACAGCCCAAAACGCAGGTTCTGGGGAGTGACCTTCAAGCAGCGATGCAAAGCCTACGGCTAGCCACAGCAGAGGCCCAAAGCCTCCAACACCAGGTCCAGAGCAAGCTGCAGAAGACGACCGAAGAGATTCACTTGAGCCCCGCGCAACCCCAGGCTGCCGTGCAATCCATTGCAGCAAACACAGAGGGCTGCGTGGCCACCAAGCAGCAGCAGCAAGCGAGCAACGTCACCTTCCTCCGCGTGCAGGAGGCCTCCAGGTCCCATGCAAGCGTGTCTCAGAAGACCATGGTGTCCCACGCAAAGGTCAGTGCTTCTGAGGAAGTCCAGGGAGGTGCGCTGCCCCTTGCAGCCTGCCCGGACGGCCGAGCTGCGCCTAGTGCAGGTCTTAGTATTAAGGACGGCCTGTATACTGCCACGCCAGTGAAGTCCTATGTAAACCCGTTTGTGGAGTCTGATTACAGAGAGCACTGTTCCGTTCCAGAAGAACGAGAGCAAGAGGCGATAATCAGAGGGGATGTAAAGACCGCTATCCGGGCCCTCCAGAGTGCCGCCACAGAACAAAGAGACAAAGTAGACAAAGAGGACGTTGTCCGTGGCAACTTAAAAGCCGCGCTCGAGTCCCTGGAGAAGTCTAACGTTAATGTCTCCAAAGGAGATTTTAAAGCGGCCATGATATACAGGAATGCAGGGCTGTCCCATTCCACTTGTAAAAAGAAACACGAGTCTCAGTCTGTTAGTAGTCAGGCAGCTGCTGTAGCGGCTTCAGGCTCGCAAGCTCTTAATGACTTTCCTCCTCCTCCTCCAGCTTCAGCTTCAGTGATGGCCGAAGGCATCTCGCCACCCCCAAGCAAACTGAGAGAAGCAGAGGCTGTAGAGCATTGCCTACCCACCCCACCCCATGTTCCTCAGACTCTCCCTCCTCCATCTGCCAAGCCCAGCAACCAGCGTCATTTAGAGAAGCCGCAGCTTCCCCCCAAGCCCGACGTTCTCGCCCCACCAAGGAAGAAACCTGTCCCACCTCCGAAACCAGACTTCCTTTTGAAGGAAGCGCCGCCCCACCCTCCCTGCTGCAGGAAAGGGCAGTTGGGAAAAGCGGTGCCTCCCCTTTCCCCACCCAAACCTCCAGCCACAACTGAGCAGGACAAACCTATGGCTTCCCCCACGAACCAAGCCAGGGCACCTGGGGAGGCTGACGCAGGGAAGAAATCTGCATGTGGAGACGATTCGACAGGTTGCCCCGTGCCGACTGTCATCACGGACGTCGCTTTTGAGAAGAGGGCCACGAAAAGTACCGTCAAGACCCCTCTGCAAGTAGCGGAAGAAAAATATAAGGCAAAGAAGGAAGAGCAGAGCAAAGTGGAAGTGTCTTCATCAGAGATTAAAAATGGGTCGGTTGCCTGCGGAGGAGGGAACTGCCATCCTACTACCCAAATCCAAGGATCCCTGGAGTTGGGCCAGCAAGAAAAGAGTTGTTTGCTGGCTGACAAGCAAGACTCTCTCTCGCCTCTTGGATGCCAAATGGGTCTTCCTAATTTGGAGGGTCAGAGGAAGCCATATCTCTCTGCAACATGCGAGGCCAATATTCTGAGGAAAGGAACCGTCACAGCCCATGTCTCCTCATCGAAGATAGAAAAGGCAACCGTCATTGGAGCCTCTGCTACAAAGAGAATGAGTCCAAGGGCACAAGAAGAGACACCAGGAACTTCTGGTTCAATGTCTTCACAATCAAAGCAGTTCTTTAAAGGGCACCAGTCTGTGAGCAGCAGGGGGTTAGGAGAACCGGAAGCGAAGGCTGAACAAGAGACGGAAAAGGAAAAGCCAGTTGTGGTCATGCGGGAGAAAACGTGCAGAGAAACCGAAGACGAACGTCGCAAGAGGCTGTCTGTTCACAAGGAGGAGATCATGAAAGGGAACGTCAAGGAAGCCATGGAGATATTTGAGAACCTGCGAAGGCAAGAGGAGCTCCAGGAAATCCTAACCCGGGTGAAGGAGTTTGAGGAGGAAACCTCCAAGGTGGATGTGAAAGCCTTGAGAAGTCTCTTCGAGAACGTCCCTGAGTGGGTGGTGTATCACAAAGCTCACCTGGCGAAGCAGCCCAAGGCGGAGAAGGCTGGGCAGATGAAGGAAGCACGTGAAGATGCCGACAGCGTTTCTTCGGTGGAGTTAGCCTTTGAAGATCTGGAGAGAGCCAGTGCTGAGATCATTCATCTAAAGGAGCAGACCCTGAGCAGGCTGCTAGACATTGAAGAGACCATCAGGAAAGCCCTGTATTCTATTTCCAGCCTGAAATCCGAATCAGACATAGCTGGGCTCTCCGGACTTCTCAAGGAGTCTCTTGGGAGTTCCCAGGGCCTTGCAGCCGGCAACAACATCCGCAAGATCAGCATTGTCTCCAGCAAAGCCAAACAAGAGAGAGGGGTGCAGAACTCATCCTGTGAAGAGGAAAGGAGGCACGAGGTGCCCAAAGTGGAGCTAGGGGTCCCCTGCATTGTTCAGCCTCGAGCCACTTCTCCTTCCTCCCCTTCCTATATCTCCATTCAGTCGGCTGCACGGAAGACCGCAGAATCCCCCAAAATGGCGCGTTCCTCTTCCTCAGACTACTTGGACAGGGCAGCAGAAAGGGACACGTTCGCTCAGGATATTTTTAGCTCCTTGCCACGTCACTCGGTGAGGTCTGACGGCTGCAACTTGACCTTCAGTGAAGGTGAGCAGGAACTCATCAAGATGAAAAAAGGGGGGAGCTTAATTAAGCAGCAATATCTCCGTAGTCCCGACCATCTCCAACATCACCTTAGCAGCAATGGTGATCAGGAACGGGAGACACCCCAAAGCTTGACCCAAGGAGGAGTAGCTCCCCTGAGCTCTTTAAGCCCATCAAATCCACGAAGGCAGAAAAGCATACTAGAACTTCAGACGAGTTCCGATGGATCCAAGCTCTATGGGGCTACTCGAACCGTAACAGAACAGTATGAGGAGGTGGACCAGTTTGGAAACAAAATCATCACTTCTTCCACCACCGTCACCAAACAGTCAGAGACTCAGACCTCCTCCACATGCGACATGGTCTCCTGCCCTACTAGATATGAAGTGACCGCCTCTCCAATCCTTCGTAGGTACCTGAACAGCCCAGCAGAAGACTTCCACTCCAACGGAGGCAACCAGGAAACAGGGGTGGTCTATGTCACTTTCAGCAACTCCAAGCCTGCCAAAAAATGAATCAGATAACAGTGAAGGCGGGTGGTCTACCAGGTAGCTAACCTCACCCCAGGGCTGAAGGTTAAGCCGGCTGGTTTTAATAAGACCCAAATGTCTTTAATCCAGTATGTTCAAGATAAAGGAACTGTAAATTACGGAAATTGCATGACAGGAGAAGCTCTTCAGCTTCGCAAAACTTTTGCAGAACAGTCTTAGGGTTTGTGTAAGACTGTGACTGATGAACTCCAAACCGGTTCTTGAAGAGGATGGCTTCCTGCCATCACAATACAGACCTGGATTTCAAGCTGAAGGGAAAGAGATTGGGGCAACTGCTTTTAAGAGTGGGCCCTGTGTTTAAGACTTCTTCTAAGGCTTGCCCTGCTGTCCTAGGCCAACGGTCCAACAGTCTTTCCCAAAAAATAGACAATCAGATGTTCAAAGCAGAGGTCAAAGAGACAGACACTGGACACAACTAAAGAACCAGGGAGCCAATATTTTGGGGGGATCACCAGTGTCGAAGCAATGATTCTTCAACATCAACTTCTTTGGACTGGTCATGTTGTGTGGATGCCTGATGATCGTCTTCCAAAGCAACTACTCTATTCTGAACTTAAAAATGGAAAGCGTAATGCTGGTGGTCAACAAAAGAGGTTTAAAGACTGTCTCAAGGCAAATCTTTAAAAAATGTAGTATAAACACCAACAATTGGGAAACACTTGCCTGTGAGCACTCCAGTTGGAGAACAGCCTTTACCAAAGGTGTTATGGGCTTTGAAGACGCTCAAACTCAGGACGCAAGGGAGAAACGTGCTAAGAGGAAGGCACGCTTGGCAAATCCACACCGTGATCAACTCCCGCCCGGAAACCAATGTGGAAGGACATGTGGATCCAGAATTGACCTCCACAGTCACTTAACGGATTCATTGTTAAAACCGTGTTTATGGAAGACAATCTGACTCGGCTACGAGGGATCGCCAAAGAAGAAGAAGATACTCAATCTGCGGTGCCCTTCCCCCACCTCTTATTTTGATTGACAGAAGCCCCCCAACCTATTTTGTCCCCTTACTCTCACTTCCCTCCATGCCATTTGCCCACAGACACACCCATGACTTCTCTATAGCTAGAAATTGAAATAGTTTTTATCACAGCTGTCAATAGCTTTGGCATTATTACATTTCCAACAGGATATTTAGAGCTATTCATATGTAGCAAGAGATCCGTATCAGGATGAAATACATAAACCCATATTTAAGAATTCCTATCATTGTTTTTCCCTCTTAATGAGAAAATGCAGGGAGGGATTCTAGAAAATACCAGGGTGGTTTTTTTTTGGCATATTGATGGTTATTGCTTTCCTCTTTTTTAAAAAACAAACTAGAACTGTAATTTATTATTCATTGTTAACATGTCTTTTATTCTTAGACTCCTCACTTTCTTACCTGTTCAGTATTTAAATCAATTGTGAAACCATGTAAGAACAATTTTATTACAACGTTTTGTATATTCTCAAGTGAAGGTTTTAGGTATTTTGTGGTTGTTTTTTTAAAAATTTGCATTCTGAAGGTAAATTTGACTTCTGAAAAATAACTTGAGTCTGTTTGTTTGTCTGCGTGGGCGCGCTTAGCCAAAAGAGTTAATTCCTTTGAAATCACGCATCAGATCATTTCTCTTCATGAAGTAGTTAAACCTGTCTATTAAAAGAGCCAGGTGGGTTTTAAATGACCATGAAACAACAATGAAAATTCCTGAACACTTTTACAATGTGGTGTGATGGGGGTGTTTTTTTCTTAGCCAAAGACCTGTTTGTTATTTTATTTAAACTGACCATTTCAACAGCAGTCAGACATTCTTCATTTCCTTATTTCTCTTCCAATTACAGCAGTCTGGTGTACAGAAGTTAAGAAAGTAAAGAGAATCACTTTTACTAGCTGAGTGATGGGGAAAACTTCCACATTCTTAATCCCTGTTCAAGGTTGCCTACATTTCTTTATGTCAGACTGCTATTAAAGAAAAGAGGATTAAGATAATACATATCTTTTTATGTATGAATCAAATTTATAGACCTCTGCATGGCATAAAGCCTTCAAAATGGTATACAGGGTGAAAACAGAATAAAACAGAAACACAAGCTCTAAGGACATCAAAATCGATTCAATGAACTTAAAAATATATATAAACCATCCATACAAACCTTAAAAAGGAGATTCATTATAAAGGAGATTCTGACCAAACACCAGGAATAACTTTCTGACAGTAAGAGCTGTTCAACAATGGAATGGACTCCCTCAGAATGTGATGGACTCTTCTTCCAATGGAGGTTTTTAAGCAGAGGTTTGGATGTTCATCTCTCATGGATGCTTTAGCTGAGATTCCTGCATTGCGCGGGGTTGGACTAGATGACCCTTGGGGTCCCTTCCAACTCTTAAGATTCTATGATTCTATGACTTCCAGCTCCCTGTCCTGCAGCTACATATAATATTCATTCCTTAAAACCCAACCATTCTGTCTTCTATAACCCTGCATTATTCCAATATTCAAACCCCGATATTACCAGTTCATTTTCTGTTTCACTCAAAAAGTCCGTAAGAAATTTCCATTCCTTAACAAATGTATTGATTTCCCCCCCTGTCTCTAATCAAGCTTCGCCATCTCAGCCAGATCCAATAATTTCATCAGCCGTTCTTCTATAGCAGGGGTCAGCAACCTTTTTCAGCAGGGGGCCGGTCCACTGTCCCTCAGACCTTGGGGGGGGGCAGACTATATTTTTTGGGGGGAAATGAACGAATTCCTATGCCCCACAAATAACCCAGAGATGCATTTTAAATAAAAGGACATGTTCTACTCATGTAAAAACACACTGATTCCTGGACCGTCCGCGGGCCGGATTGAGAAGGCAATTGGGCCGGATCCGGTCCCCAGTCCTTAGGTTGCCTACCCCTGTTCTATAAAAGGTAAAGGTAAAGGGACCACTGACCATTAGGTCCAGTTTTGGCAGACTCTGGGGTTGCGGTGCTCATCTCGCTTTATTGGCCAAGGGAGCCAGCGTACAGCTTCTGGGTCATGTGGCGAGCATGACTAAGCCTCTTCTGTCAAACCAGAGCAGTGCACAAAAACACCGTTTACCTTCCCGCCAGAGCAGTACCTATTTATCGACTTGCACTTTGACGTGCTTTCGAACTGCTAGGTTGGCAGGAGCAGGGACCAAGCACCGGGAGCTCACCCTGTCGCAGGGATTCAAACCACCGACCTTCTGATCAGCTAGTCCTAGGCTCTGTGGCAGCGCCACCCGCATCCCTCCCTGTTCTATAGCTATGATGAAGTTCTTATGACTTTCTGGGAATAAGCAAAACCACCTTGTTCCTCCTTTTCAAGGGTTCCTGCCAGATTTCCAGAGTCAGTAGCGTGTGATGGTTATAGTTAGAAGATCAAACTAGACCAGGGTTCAAATCACCACTCATCCACAGAAAGCCTTAGGCTAGTCCCTCTCTCAGCCTGGCCTACCTCACAGGGTTAGTGTGAAGATAAGAAATGGGGAGAAGGGAGAAATTGAAACACAGAACATCAGAAAATAAGAACTTTATTTAATTTTTTTATATATATAAAAGTTTCTTTCACCTTCTGAATTCAAGCAATCACTCAATGAAAAGTGTACAACATGGAGTGTTTATTTGTGCAGAGAGCTTCCAAGGTGTTCTGGGCCAGCCGATTGTTCTGGCTGCTGCGGATTAAAATTCTGGATCCAAAGGAAACTTTGCTGACTCTTCATCTCTCCTGAACGCCGCCAACAATGACCTCATCGTTTGTGTCACAGGCATGTCCTAATGCCCCGGGGAAGCTGTTTATAGCAGGTGAAATAATAGCAGATGTGTGATCCTTTTCGCAAAGTCGGTCTCATCTAGGGAACTGACGCACCTCGTCTCAGATTACTCCAGCTCCACAACATGCCTCCAGTTTGTGGCTCTTGTGGAGCAAGAAATGAAATTGCTCAAAATGCAAATCCAGACCAAAGAAAGGGCAGAAAAAACACTCTTGCCACCTCCCTTTTCAGCAAGCTTTCTCACTGTGGAATGTAAGCGTTGCGTTGCAAAATTTGGAGGTTATAAATTAAATTGCCGGCTCGCCAAATAGTCATTGTGGAAGTGTTGCCTTTCTCCAACCATTCTAGAATATCATTTCAAAAAGCAAATCATATTATGGGGTGTTTGTGTTAATCCTCTAAAGTGGGGGTGGGAGGAATCGCTCTAAATAGCCAGATTAGGGAGTCCAGCTCTGCGTGGCACTCTCAGTTCTGCCAATTCTACAAATCCATGGTCACTTTCTGAAACCTGCTCATCGCACATTCGTCCTGTTTTGTTTGCTGCGGTTCCCAGGACTCTGTGAGAGGAGCTGTGACTGTTTAAAATTGTTTGATACTGCTTTAGGTGTTTATTGTAGATAAAGGTAAAGGGACCCCTGACCATTAGGTCCAGTCGTGGTCGACTCTGGGGTTGCGGCACTCATCTCGCTTTGTTGGCCGAGGGAGCCAGCGTACAGCTTCCGGGTCATGTGGCCAGCATGACTAAGCTGCTTCTGGCGAACCAGAGCAGCACACGGAAACGCCGTTTACCTTCCCACCGGAGCGGTACCTATTTATCTACTTGCACTTTGACGTGCTTTCGAACTGCTCGGTTGGCAGGAGCAGGGACCGAGCAATGGGAGCTCATCCCGTTGCGGGGATTCGAACCGCCGACCTTCCGATCGGCAAGTCCTAGGCTTTGTGGTTTAACCCACAACGCCACCCGCGTCCCTTTATTGCAGATAGGCCCATAATATTACATCAAGCAAACGTTATTCCACACTTCGCAGTGGATTTTCTATTTACAGTTGTACCTTGGAAGTTGAACAGAATCCATTCCAGAAGTCTGTTTGACTTCCAAAATGTTCGGAAACCAAAGCGCAGCTTCTGATTGGCTGCAGGAAGCTCCTGCGGCCAATCGGAAGCCGCGCTGGATATTCGGCTTCCGAAAATTCTCCGAAAACCGGAACACTCACTTCCAGGTTTCAATCGCTCGGGAGCCGATTTGTTCAGGAGCCAAAGTGTTCGGGATCAAAGGGACGACTGTATTGGAAAAAGTCAAATTTGGAGGGAGAAGGGATGTTCCGCAAGAGCTCCAAATCGGTTTCAATTGCTCAGCTTGAATTTGCCTGTATGCAAATGCATCTCTCCTGAAAACTATAAAAGCTTGGCGCTTGACCTTTGGGGAAGGGCCATAGTTCAGGGGCAGAACATCTGCACTGCATGATGCAGAAGGTCCTGGGTTCAAATCCTGCCCAAAACCCTGGAGAGCTGCTTCCAGTGCGAGCAGGCAGCACTGCGCTAGATGGACCAATGGTCTGACTCAGTATAAAGCAGATCTCTATGTTCCTATGGCAGTGCTCCTTGCCTGCTGCAGCTGCTGCTACAGCCTCCCAGACTACCCAAGATAATTTCCCAGCAAGAGAGATGATGGGGCATCGTAAGCATCAGTTCTCATGGACATTAAAGCAGTTTGGTCCAGCCTTCCTCAACCCGGTGCCCTTCAAATATTCCTGGGCTCCAACCTCCCATCATACTTGGCTGTGTGGGGTAGGAGAATCCATCAATTTCCATTTTTCTTAGCTTGTCGTTTTTCCAAGTACAAATGCTTACGATTGCAGTGTAAGACTGCACAGTCTTGACCCAGTTAGCTGGGAGTAGACTCCATTGAACACAGTGGGACTTACTTCTGAGTAGACAAGTGTAAAGCTCCATTTACAATAAAGGAACAAACACTCCACACATTTCCTAAGAAGTGGCTGGCTGCGGAAGCATTGCAATGAAAGAATTTAAAGTGGATTGGTGACATTTTCCTTCAAAATTATAGGAAGGCCTTTGCGTGCCAGCTTTACCATTCCCTACATATATTATTATTATTATTAATAATAATAATAATAATAATAATAATATTTTAATACTGTATTTTAATATTTGGTTGGAAGCCACCCAGAGTGGCTGGGGAAGCCCAGCCAGATAGGTGGGGTATAAATAATAAATTATTATTATAATTATTATATACTGCCCTATACCCAGAGATCTCAGGGTGGTTCACAGAACAAAATCAAACCACAGAACCACAAAATACACAATCAAAATAAAAACAACTCAATAACACACACCCCCAGGGGGGGGAATGTAAAAGGGCATAAGTGAAGGTATTTTATTTTCAGTATAAACAGGACTCTGTTTTTGCACCTACACATGGACACATACGGGACGCGGGTGGCGCTGTGGGTAAAACCTCAGTGCCTAGGACTTGCTGATCATAAGGTCGGCGGTTCGAATCCCCGTGACGGGGTGAGCTCCTGTCGTTCGGTCCCAGCTCCTGCCCACCTAGCAGTTTGAAAGCACCCCTAAGTGCAAGTAGATAAATAGGTACCGCTTTATAGCGGGAAGGTAAACGGCGTTTCCGTGTGCGGCGCTGGTGCTGGCTCGCCAGAGCAGCTTCGTCACGCTGGCCACGTGACCCAGAAGTGTCTCCAGACAGCGCTGGCTCCCGGCCTCTTGAGCGAGATGAGCGTGCAACCCTAGAGTCGGACACGACTGGCCCGTACGGGCAGGGGTACCTTTACCTTTATGGACACATACACACACACCCCTTTTAAATTGCTCTCCGAGACGTGGAGGAAAAAGAAAAAGCGGGAGATTCCAGGATCAAAACAGAAACCAGGAGGGCTTCTGTAATTCTCAAGACTGTCCCTGGAAAATCGTGAGACTTGGAGAACATGCTGTAGCTGCTGTCTCTGGCTTAGTCATCACCTTGCAGGCCTGCGGTGCCCAAGAAAGTCTTATCCCATGAGTGCTGCCTCATTGAGAGCAAGTCATGGCCAAACTAGTTATTTAGACAGGGCCAGTTTTCTCGGGAGGAGGGTGGGTGGGTTGGTTGCCATAATCTTTGTTCCCACCCTGACCCCACCCTCAACCACACTGCATCGCACATCAGAAGTGTGTTACATTAAGCACACACCCAGAAAATTTCGAAGGATGCCATTAGTGCACACCCACCCATTTTGAACAAAGGAGAGGTGCAAAGAGCTTCTGTCTGTAAGCAAGTAGCTAATGTAGGTGCTTTTCCCCCCATTGGATGGGATGAGTTGATCATTTGGGGTGCTCAAACCACAGTGTGATTCTGTCTCTTTCTCTGCCCTTTGAGACGTGTAAGCCCTGTATACCTGAAGGAGCGTCTCCACCCCCATCATTCTGCCTGGACACTGAGGTCCAACTCCGAGGGCCTTCTGGCGGTTCCCTCCCTGCGAGAAGTGAGGCTACAGGGAACTAGGCAGAGGGCCTTCTCGGTGGTGGCCCCCGCCCTGTGGAACGCCCTCCCATCAGATGTCAAGGAAATAAACAACTATCTGACTTTTAGAAGACATCTGAAGGCAGACCTGTTTAGGGAATTTTTTAATGTTTGATGTTTTATCATGTTTTTGATATTCTGTTGGGAGCCACCCAGAGTGGCTGGGGAAACCCAGCCAGATGGATGGGGTATAAATTGTCAGACCTTGCGTTTGACCGAGCTCCTCGAGTCCTCCGACGTGATTAACAACCTGAGCCTTTGATGAGGCTCCAGGCATGTTCCCTCATTATGCAGAGTATCCAGCACGCAGGGAAGGACGAGAAATGTGCGCTACATGGCAAAGAGTTTTATTTCTAACTACGCAGACAGAAAAGAAACATCTTCTCTCTGCGAGAGCAGAGAGACAACAGAAAAACAAAGGAACAGGAAACCAGTAACATCACATCCATCTCCTGTCTTCCGTGAGACTTCCAACAGCCTGGAATCTCTGGAGTGCAAAACAGAGTCTTGTGACTCCAAGCACTGCACAGTGGCATAAACAGAAACCAACATAAATATATTATTATTATTATTATTATTATTATTATTATTATTATTAGGCATTATGCCACTCCCATTGCAGCCATTTTGTGACAGGCGCCCACGACACTTTGTCCCCTCTGGGCCCAAGAGGTTGGAGACCTCTGCAATGTAAGAAAGACGCTCTCTCACTCTTCAAAACAGAGAGAAAGAGTGTGAACAGGAATGGGAGGGGGGAAACACATGCAGGAATAAAAGGCAAAGCGATGCCCCCATTGCAGCTCCAGAAGCCAGCCTGGGAGTTGGGGCAGAGGAAATCCCAGGAGCCCATTGCTACCAGTCAGAAGAGGAAAGTGATATTTGCAGTTTACAGGTGACTTCTGCAAAGCGAGTGTGTCGGTGTGGGTGTATTTTATAGAAGCAGTCTATCTACTGCAGATGAAACCATCGTCTAAAGTGCAGTAGCGCATTGAAAAGTCACTACAGCCTGACAGACCTAGATCCTGCCTTCCAGAGGCCCCAGGAGGCCCCAAGGAGAGGAGAGGCGCTTGTGGGATTTTCCTGCCTCAGCTGCCAAAATAAATGGGCTGGACATAGGGATGGGTGAACCAGGCTGTTTTGGTTTCTCTCCATTTCTCATTTTTCCAACCTTAACTTCAGTTTTCCATGGCAGTTCATGACTGCTATTATTTTTAAATCCTCACAAAAATCCATCAGCCTTTTAGTGCACGTAATCCTAATATACACATTTATTTATTTATTGGCAAAGCACGTTTTACTGAATACAATGCAGTTTTCTTTAGTATGCTCACTGACATATGCAGTTTTCTGCACGCTTTACCTCAGTGTGTGCATTTTTGCACACGTTACGTGGCTGGAGAACTACACTGCAAAAACTGGGGAAGGGCAGATTTCGAAGGACGGCTGTGTTTTGGTTCACATAATGTTCTCGAAGTGAGAATTTGGGAATGGGAACTGAAATTAATTTCTCCCCCACCCCAGCTGATAAAGGGGGACTGCCCTATTCCTGGTTTAGAGCCTTCTTGGGAGTGTGGGAGTTCCTGCTAAGGCAGAACTGCTCAACATCCTCCACTCTTGCCTTCAGGAGAGTAGAAGAGAAACCTTCCCATTTTGGGCAGACGTTCTGATTTTAAGCTGTGAATTGCTCATTTAACGCAAATATTTAAAACGTGTGAACTGCCCAAATAAATTTTTGTTAAAGAACAAATCCAAAGAGTTGTTTCACACCACCAGAATCACCTTTTCTGTCCCATTCCTCCCCATAAGAATCGCCTTGTTGGACGGACATCACAGGCCAACAAAAGCAAGACAAACAGATTGAATGCACTAGCTAGCTGATGCTTTGTAATTTCAGGCTGGAGTGAAGGAAGTGTGCGCATCATGTTCCAAGCCTGTCTACACAGCGGAGTGCATGGCAATCCAGAACGTTCCTCTGCACCACGCATGTTTCTGCTGTAAGCACTGCAGAAGGAAGCTGAGGTGAGACATGAGAATCGAGTGAGAAAACCATGGGGTAACAGGCCACGCTCAAAGAATGCAAAGATGTATCAGGCCAAAGGCCCATCTAGCCTAACTTCCTGTTCCAACCAGATGGCCATTATGGGAAGCCTAGAACCTGAGTCCAACCAGATGCCCATTATGGGAAACCTAGAATCTGAGTCCAACCAGATACCCATTATGGGAAGCCTAGAACCTGAGTCCAACCAGATGGCCATTATGGGAAGCCTAGAACTTCAGTCCAACCAGATGCCCATTATGGGAAACCTAGAACCTGAGTCCAACCCATTATGGGAAGCCCAGAACCTGAGTCCAACCAGATGCCCATTATGGGACGCCTAGAACCTGAGTCCAACCAGATGCCCATTATGGGACGCCTAGAACCTGAGTCCAACCAGATGCCCATTATGGGACGCCTAGAACCTGAGTGCCACTTATGATACTCAGCACCTGGCATCCAGATATGGGGTGTTAGGAGAGGGGTAGTACCTCTGGTGGGGGGCATGTCATGTTCCTTCTGGGGTAGCTTGTCCACCTTTCGTCCCCACTCAGATCTCACCATGTGGCTCCTAGAAGCTGTCCGGACGAGACAGCGGCCACACCCAGGGAATGGCTTTGACTGGTCAACTAAACCAGGTGAGGGTAGCTGATGGGACTCAAACCCTCAGTGCAAATACAGGCTCCAGTGGATTGAGCATACGAGACCAATATTGGGTCCATCGGCCAAGAAAGGGGTTTCTGCAGGTGCTGTAGAGGGAAGTGAGAGGCAGATGGGGCTCGTCCACCTGGGAAGGGAGCCCATCTAGGAGAAGGAAATATCTGATCCTAAACCTACACTGCCTTGTGGGATATCTCTGGGGGAACAAAAGGCTCAGGAGTAAATCCTACACAAATCCAGAGTGGAGTCCCTAAGATATTTGGATGGTGCCCTGCACGCCTCCTTCCAGCAACTCCTGCAGCCAAGCTGGTGCCAAACGTCTTGCTCTGCTTTCCTTTGGACCACATCAGCCAGGCCAAGAGGGGGATCTTGTCATCTGGGCAGGCCAGGACCTCCATAAACACTGCCCAGGCTTGCACCTCAGGGAGGTCGCTTTGATGCTGCAAACACAGCCATTTGACTTCACCCCTGAAGGTGTACTCCATTTTCTTTTGAGACAGAAGGATGCCAATAGCAACTGCTTCTGACAGCAGAGGTAAACAAAGCCGTTACTGCTGGTACCCACCAATAGCACATGTGTCTAAATTTATTTCAAAGCTTAAAGTAAAGGTAAAGGGATCCCTGACCATTAGGTCCAGTTGTGACCGACTCTGGGGTTGCGACGCTCATCTTGCTTTCCGGCCGAGGGTGGCAGCGTTTGTCTGCAGACAGCTTCCAGGTCATGTGGCCAGCACGACTAAACTGCTTCTGGTGAACCAAAGCAGCGCACGGAAATGCCGTTTACCTTCCCGACGGAGTGGTACCTATTTATCTACTTGCACTTTAACATGCTATCGAACTGCTAGGTGGGCAGGAGCAGAGACCGAGCAACGGGAGCTCACCCCGTCGCGGGGATTCGAACCGCCAACCTTCTGATCGGCAAGCCCTGGGCTCTGTGGTTTAACCCACAGTGCCACCTGCGTCCCATTTCAAAGCTTAGATGTCTCTAAATTTATTTCAAAGCTATTCAAGTTACTACCCAGCATAGCTGCAGCAGCAGAGCAGGAGATGTGCCTTTTCCCTTCTTCTGGTGACTCCATTGTTTCACCTCTTCCCCATTGTCCCTCAGATTGTAGCTCATTTATTTTGCCCCACTGAACCAAATGGGGGCTATTGATAATTCAGGCAGCTCTGATCTGCATAGCCCCACCCCTTCATCTGCATGGCCCAACCCCCTTCACCTGCATATCACCACTTGGCTTGTTCTTGCGTGATGCAGTGGAACTCTGGGAAATGATGGGTGTTCCTGCATACGCGACAACCGTAACCATTTCCCTTTTGTATGTCTTGCAGCTTAGCCAACTATGCCACCTTCCAGGGCACATTTTATTGCAAATCTCATCACCAGCTGCTTGCTGGGGTTAAAAAAAGGAGCCAAGAGGAAAACGCCGGCATCCACCAAAGAGATCAGCAGCTGCAGATAGCCGTGCAGCCAAGTCCAGGACTGGGGACCAAGAATAGAAATAATCGCCCAGGAAAGCTCCTTGCCAGAGAGAAAATGCAACCGCCGTTTTCTGGTTTGTACTCTCAGGCTAAGCTGAGACCGCCTAGCCAAGCCAGGCAAGAGAACAATCCCAGAACTAACTGGCCCCCTTTAAAGGAAGCGGCTGGGAAAGAAATAGGTCGAAAATATGGCAGCCCTGGACCATTGCAAGATGCCGTATTGATTCTGCAATGCCGGAGTGGAGCAGATGGGAGCCGCCGCGAGGCCCCGGGAGGCAAATCGATAGCAGAAAGTGCTCGGGCGGAAAAGAAGCAAAGCCAATTACCCAGAGTCCCATTGCCAAAGCACGGTTCGCACTGGATTAAAACAGCAGGTGGGAGCGGAGACTTGAGAGTATCGGGAAAGAGACAGTTGTTCACGGGTGAAAGCATCCCAGGAGCTCAGGGAAGGAAGAACGGACTCAGCATAGCAGAAAGGGCTGTGATGTTCCAAGGCAACCCGCTCAAAATGAAGAAGAGCGTTCCTGTAGTCTCACCTTTAACATCAACCCCTCTGGAGTCTCCTTCTTTTGGTTCACTGCCCTCCCGTTCAGAAGCACTCAGAACTAGTAAAGCAACTTGTTTTGCCGCTTCAGGAGGTACTGTAGCTGATGCTTCTAGTCTTGCAAAAGGTTCTCTTGAGGGCAAGAGGCTTAGTAGTGGATCTTCCTCCAGCACAAGTGCGTCTGATGAAAGGCGTGCAGATCAGATTTTGCTAAGAGCTGAGCTTCTTCCTAAAGCCAGGGTTCCACTGCCTGCTTTGGCACCAGCAGACAGCAGACAGAAGCTTCCAGAAGCAAGCAAAGGTAACATGTCAATCACTCTGGCATGCGAAGAGGCTGGACAACTGAGTCACATCAGTGCTAAACCAACAGAGGACCACAAGCCCTCCCAGGCAAAGGCTGAATCCTCAGTATATCTACCTGAGCACAAAGGTGAGCAAAGCAATGATGAGGAGATGTTGGGTTCTTCTCTTGATTCAGTGGAGACAGGCCTGGTGGCTGACCAGGTAAGTGAGAATTCATGGGAAGTCAGGATTGAGTTCCCCAAGAGAGAAATGCAAGTGGTGATAGACCCAGCAAGCTTGCAAAGGCCAGAAAACCAACTTTATCCTGAAACCCACAACAGTATGGAGGCAGAGAACAGAAGGGAGAAAGGAATGCAGGCAGGAGGAGATTTCGACAGCACTGAGACACAAAATGGCATTCTTCAAGAGGTCTCCCAAAATAGCAAACCTGAGGAAAGAGCCACCAATTCAGACGAGGAAGCAGAAATAGAAGGTCATTCAGCGTCCAGCTCACAAGCAGAAGAAGCTAAAAAAACGAGTGTTCCGCAAAGAAATAACTCACAAGACTCCACTTTGACATCCAACACAGCACCATTCACTCGTGAAAACCTGGAACCAAGTGACCTACTTGCAGAAACAGCCAACACAAATGAAGAGATACCAGGAAAGGCTAGCAGTGACAGTAATATCCAGCTTGAGGAAGAGACTGTCAGAAGGACCATCCTTCAGGCTTCCAAGCTTCAGGTCAAAGACCAAGAAACATTCGACTCCTGTGAGGTCCCACATTTGACTGAAAAGCAAGAGATGGGAAGTATAAAGGTGGTTATGAAACCTCAGAGCGAAGATGGCTCAGGTCCACAGGCCATCAGCAGTAAGGAGACCACCAAGGAGTCTGCTAGAAAGCAAAAGGAAAGGAACCCTTTGGCTCGACTTTTTGCTTCCAAAACTCAAGGCAGAGCATGCAAGCAGGAAGAACCAGCAGTGACTAAGAAAGCACTTAAGACTCAATCTGCCTTGGCCACACTGTTTGGATATTCTTTGGAGAAAGACAAGATCCCAAAGGCTAAACCCACAATGAAAACCAGCAGTGAAGAAGGATTATCACTTGTGTGTTTCTCAAACTTACCAAAGCTGGGCACCTGCAAGGAAAGTGAGACCTCAGGTCTTATTCAAGCAAAAGGTTCAGAAGCAGGCCTTCAGGATCCAGAGGAGAATTATGGAAGCCACACAAGGGATGGGCAGAGAGAAAGTTCTCCATCCTTGGACAGCGCCAAAGCCTTCAGTGGTGGTGCGCTTCCTATAGAGCTGAGCACAGATATTTCAAGTAGCACTGAAGTGGCGTCTGGAATGAAGGGTCTTGAAGTTCCCAAACAATCCAATTTGCAATTGGAAACAGTCCTCTCGGACAACAACAAGTCCTCACTATTTTCCAGCTTTCAGGATTCTCTGGCAACTCCTACAGAGAACCCGTTGCAATGTTCTACAAGCTCCTTGATGGAAACAAAGACAGAAATCACCTCTAGAGGTGATCCCTATGATCAAGATCTACAAAACTTCCCTAACCAAGCTGCCATGGATGCTCAGTGTTTAGAAATAAAGGCTGAAAATGTTTCTTTATTGGGCCCTTCAAGGGAAGACAAGGCTCAGTGTGACTATCAAGTTCCTGACATGCTTCTATTTTCTATGGGGGTAGACCGAGCAGCAAGCATGGATGGAAGTGGCCTGCAGTCCAGCTCTCTTGATCTGGACACAGGAAGCATGAAAGTCAAAAATGAAGCTTGCTCTGGTTTAAGCGGTTCAGAAAACATCTCAGAGGTAAGCAACCTGCACCAGTTTTCAGAATCTGAGCCCATTAGAGCAATCACTCTTAATAACAGCAACACTCCAGGAACTGGAAATTCTGAGATGTTTCAGAACCCACAATCCTGCCTTGAGCTGAGTGAAGATGTTCTCCTCGGACTCCATGTTGAAAAAGCCACTGCTGATGGTTACTCCACTGGAAAAGTGGACATCCCTTCATTGCTTGGATCTCTCCAGCATATTCCAGAGCTCCTTAGAGATACCATTCAGCGTAACACTGAAGGAACTACGGCTGCAACAGAACAATCCCTAGAAGAGATGATGTCAGCAGAGAAGAGTGATGGGTCATCAGGAAGCCTTCTGTAATGCATCTTGAAATGCAGTGTGTTCTACTCACAAGGCAAGGTTATGGGGGCAAAGTCCTAGCAGAGGTGAGTCTGTGGCTAAGAGCAGCAACCAGCAAAGTCCGCTCTCTAGGGTGCTAACTGGCTTGACTGCCTATAATTTCCCAGGTTAGGGACTGGCAACCCAAGAGAGCCCCCCCCCCAAGGTCAAAGGTGCAATCCAATGACCTTTGGCCTACAACTCCCATCAGCCTCTGCCAGCCTGACCAAAGGTGAGAGAATATGGGAGTCAGGAGTTCAGTGGGTGGAAGAAGGCTGGGTTTTTTTACACTTCATGGCTCTGTGACTCTAGGAAACCGTTAAAGAACACATTATCTGATTCTCTCCACGTTCTCCTTCCCCTCCACCCCACCACCTTCGTTCAATCATCCCCAAACTCACAAACAACCAATTTAGTGCGTTCCCAATTGTCTCCCCTCCTGCTCTGGAAAGAAAAAAACCCTTAATGAGCATCACTCTGCGAAAAGGAAATTGCTCTCTCCAACCCCGGAGGGAGGTGAAAAATTCGTTTCCTCCTCTTTCCCTGTTCCTAAAATAACTCATTGCAAGATAGGAGGTCTGAGGATTAATTAGATTTCCCTTTGCCTGGGATTGAATCCCAAGGAATTAGTAACAACACCAGGCAGTCGAAAACATGCTTAGCATCTGTTTTTGGGTACCACGTTAGCCATCCATTTTTTTCAAAGTAAAGGAATAACATTTTCTGCTCACTTTTCCTTAAGACTGAGGAATTTTCATTTGGGGGGACCACACTTGGAATCTCGTTGTGTCAGCAAAGCAACGACCTATTTTTTCCTTACAAAGGAAATGCTTCGCCAGTGCATGGAGTATGGCTTGCTTAAGGATTTGTGGCTGTTTGGAATATCATTCGGTCTGATGTTGCATTGACTGAGAAAATTTGTATCTCCCCGACCTTCTTGCTTGATGGCAATAAAGACAAGAAATACGTAAAAATGTGTTTGATGCTAGGGGGAAAACCCACACAAGTTAAATGCTTGCGCAGCCATTAAAGGAGTACATGCGCCATCCCGCAGGCAGGCAGAGTTCAGCATGTTGCCTTTCCCATTCACTTCAATGGAGGGGCTCCATTCAAGACTCTTGAACTGGAAAGGCTCCAACTTGGCTATCACTTCGCAGGCAACGGTTCCAGGAGAGCAGAATCAGAACTGCACATTTTAACTGAGAAGCACCTTTTGCATCATCTTTCCCATTCAGTGGGATCAACATTGCTGCTACTTCGCCTCCTCTAGAACAGGGGTCAGCAACCTTTTTCAGCAGGGGGCCGGTCTACTGTCCCTCAGACCATGTGGTGGGCTGGACTATATTTTGGGGAAAAAAATAAAATGAATGAATTCCTATGCCCCACAAATAACCCAGAGATGCATTTTAAATAAAAGCATACGTTCTACTCATGTAAATACACCAGGCAGGCCCCATAAATAACCCAGAGATGCATTTTAAATAAAAGCACACATTCTACTCATGTAAAAACATGCTGATTCCATTTAGACGGCGATTGGGCCGTATCCGGCCCCCGAGCCTTAGGTTGCCTACCCCTGTTCTATAGCTATGATGAATTTCTTACGACTTTCTGGGCATAAGCAAAACCACCTTGTTCCTTCTTTTCAAGGGTTCCTGCCAGATTTCCAGAGTCAGTTGCGTGTGATGGTTATGGTTAGAAGGTCAAACTAGACCAGGGTTCAAATCACCACTCATCCATGGAAGGCCTTAGGCTAGTCTCTTTCCCGGCCTGGCCTACCTCACAGGGTTAGCATGAAGATAAGAAATGGGGAGGAGGGAGAAATTGAAATACAGAACATCAGAAAATAAGAACTTTATTTAACATATATATATATTCTTTCACCTTCTAAATTCAAGCAATCACTCGATGAAAAGTTCACATTAGACCAATTATTAGACCTGGGACTTCCACCATGTTTGTGCAGGTGGATATTAGATTTTCTATCAAACCGTTCCCAAAGGGTCAGGTTGGGTTCCCACGTCTCTGCGGATCTCATCACGAATACGGGGACGCCTCAGGGGTGCGTGTTGAGCCCGCTTTTATACACGCTCTATACAGCTGACTGTGCCCCCAAATACCCCACTAATAAGATCATTAAGTTCGCAGATGATACAACGGTGGTTGGTTTAATCACAGCTGGAGAGGGGGAGGCGGCCTATAGGAAGGAAGTTGAGCAGTTGGGGGAGTGGTGCAGGAAAAACAACTTACTCCTTAACTTAAAGAAAACAAAAGAGATCATTGTGGACTTTAGGAAATGTAAATTGAATATTCAGCCACTTATTATTGAGGGGAAGTGCGTGGAACAGATCTCGGTGTTTCAATTTCTGGGAATGGAGTTGAGAGATGACCTAACCTGGGGAGAGAACAGCAAAGACCTGGTGAAGAGAGCACAGCAGAGGTTATATTTTCTGAGAATCCTCTGGAAAAACAATCTCTCAAAGGACCTGTTGATGGCATTTTACCATTGCACTGTGGAGAGCGTACTAACTTATGGTCTGTGTGTGTGGTTTGGGAGCTGCACGGTCAGGGGAAAAACAATGCTATCCAGGGTTGTAAAGACTGCAGAGAGAATAATTGGATGCACTCTTCCCACCTTAGATCAAATCTATGCTGCCAGGTGCCATAAGAAAGCGGCAGAGATAGCACAGGTTAGTATGCACCCCGGAAATGATCTCTTTCAGCTTCTGCCTTCTGGAAGAAGGGTTATAAAGGCCAGGACTAGCCGCCTGAGAAACAGTTTCTATGCAAATGCAATTCTGGTTCTAAACACAGCATAAGGGGTCTATGTAGTATAGTGTATTTTAGAATAGGGTTTTAGAGTTTTTTAGGGGTTTTTGAATGTTTTATGTAGTTTTATGTAGTTTTTATGTAGTTTTATGTAGTTTTGTGGTAGTTTTATGTAGTTTTTATGTAGTTTTATGTAGTTTTGCAATTTCATTGTCCTGCATGGGACAATGACAATAAAGATATATCATATCGTATCGTATCGTACATCATGGAGTGTTTATTTGTGCAGAGAGCTTCCAAGGTGTTCTGGGCCAGCCGATTGTTTTGGCTGCTAAGGATTAAAATTCTGGATCCAAAGGAAACTTTGCTGACTCTTCATCTCTCCTGAACGCCGCCAAAAATGACCTCATTGTCTGTGTCACAGGCATGTCCTAATACCCCGGGCCTTAGGTTGCCTACCCCTGCACTAGAACATCCACATCTTTGGTCTCATAGTTGATTGTTCTTATTTGAAATAGATGGCCACCTAAGGTTGCCACCGTCTTTTACTGGCCCTGCTCCTGTGCCTTTATCTGAAGCCTGGGACAGAGAAATGGAGCAAACTACTCTTTCAGGAGTAGAGTCTCAGGGAAAGCTTCCCCTGATAAATTTCTGTGCGCTAGGTTGAAGCCGCATGCAGTTAAAGTCACAGGAGCAAAGCCAGCCCTCCTAGGATCAGCCATTAAGCCCCTTCACAGTAAAATCAACAGGATGGTGGGTGGAATTGTTGTTTTCTTCTTAAATCGCCTCTCTTGGCAGAAAGCCCATCAGCAATTTGATTGCCCCTTTGGACTCCGAAGTTTATCGTTCCTGTGTTAGCAAGTTGTGCATTAACTTCAGAGCCATGGGCATAAATAAGGACACAGAGAGTGTCAGTGCAATTGCCTGTGCAGCAAGTGAAGGCAGCATGACGACCATCCATATTGCTTTTGCCACATTTATGTCTTAAAGGTAAGGTAAAGGTAAAGGGACCCCTGACCATTATGTCCAGTCGTGGCCGACTCTGGGGTTGCGGCGCTCATCTCACTTTATTGGCCGAGGGAGCTGGTGTACAGTTTCCGGGTCATGTGGCCGGCATGACTAAGCTGCTTCTGACGAACCAGAGCAGCACACGGAAACGCCGTTTTCCTTCCCGCTGGAGCGGTACCTATTTATCTACTTGCACTTTGACGTGCTTTCGAACTGCTAGGTTGGCAGGAGCAGGGACCGAGCAACGGGAGCTCACCCTGTCGCGGGGATTCGAACCGCCGACCTTCTGATCAGCAAACCCAAGGCTCTGTGGTTTAACCCACAGCGCCACCCGCGGCCCTTTTACGAATGCACAAAGCTGCCTTATCGCTGCTTCAGTGCCAGATGATGGGCACGTCTACCAGCCCAGTAATGTCTATTGAATCTGACAAACCACACCTCTCTAGAGTTTCAGGGGCATTCTCCCAGAAGTGCAGCAAAACTTTATTTTTATTTTTTTTAAATAACCTGAAGGTTGAAAAAGGGACTTGGCGTATGTACAGAACACATGTCACCCAAAGAGCTTTCTAACTGCAAAACCTGGTAACTGGGCCTGGAATTTGAAGCATTGCAAACAAAATAGGTGTTTCTCCACTACTGAGATTATTTGGGGAGTTGATCTGGTGGGAACGTATTTGCATGCGCTTCAACACTAGACGTGAGGGAGAAATGCAATTCAGTTCACATTCGAAGTGAATATTGCACTGTCTGAAACACATTCATCCTTGAACATTTGCACTTCTCCAAATTCTGAAACACATTTCTAAGGTTTGCATATATTAGTGAGAACAACATACAAAAATGAATTGTGCTGGAGAATGCTGGATGAAAAAAAAAAGCGTATATTAGGAGAAATTCACACTAAAATGCTGGTGAATGTTCACGAGGACTTAAAAAGCAGAATTGCAAATTGGTGTGAAAAGGTAGAGAACTGATCCTGGAAAAATGAGAAATGGAGGGAAATAAAAACTGACCACGTTACCTGTCCTTACCTAACTCGAAACTCTGTGGCCCCTCTCCATCTTGTCACCTGCTTCTACCATGTCTGAAACTGCTTTCTCATCAACAGTTTGTGGCTAATTTATTTTTAAAAATGGTGGAAAGCAGTAATAGCAGTGGGTCAAACTTGCTTGGAAGTCCCCATCGTCTATGTACCCCTATAATCAACAGTACCATTCACAAGGTCCATTCTGTCAGGGGTCCTTTCAAATATTTCCCAGCATCTTCACCTATCCTTCACTTATTTTTATTTACAATATTTTTAGACCAGTCTTCAGCAGAAGTGTCTCAAAGGAGCGTACAAAAAAGAAAGAGAGAGAGAGATCATAATATGTTAAAATTAATTAAAAACCAGGGACACAGATAAAGAAGAGCAGCCACAAAATGAAAACAGTGAAGCTGTAAAAAGCTACCATTTTACCAAAAGTGCCGTGTAACATAAAGGTCTTAATTTGCATTCAAGAGGACCAGATGGATAGAAACTGTGTGAGCAATCTGAGGGAGAACATTCCATAGTTCTGGGGCTACAACAGATAAGCCCCTGTTCTTTGGGGGGGGTTGTATCAACCTCACCTTGATACAAGATGGAATTTCAAGTAGGATAGATATTAAAGGTTGGACTGTGTCTTTTGGATCTCCTTGAGATGGTCACCCTTTGGGCTGCTTATGGCTTTATTGGTCCAAAACAGCTGATGAATTGGGCAAATGGATAGCCACACACAGGTGTTTCAAGACACATGAAATATACCAGCCTGAACCGGTCAGAAAAAGAGACTTTATTTAACAGGGATGGGGAACCTGTGGCTCTCCAGAGATTGCTGGACTTCATTTCCCATCAGCCTCAGCCAGTATGACCCTTGGCAGGGATGATGGGAATCGAAGTCCAATAATATCCAGAGGGCGACTGGTTCCTCATCCCTGCTGGATGAAAAGGAATGGCAATCCTGACTGGTGTGACTGGGAGGCCGTTTTAAAGGGGCACGGCACCTGCCTTCCCTAGGTAGACATCTGGATCACTGGGACTTGCAGGGCTGCATGTTTTCCTAGGCAACCTGAGCACGGCAGGTGAACAATCGAGAGGTACATCCACATCATCTGCCTGCTAAAATCTTCCGCAGATGTCCCGCCATTCCTTTGGACTGCAAAGAGATGTGATGTTTCTGCTAGAGGTATGTGCTGTTGGTATGTTCTTTCGTTTCGCCAGCTTCTTTCTGCGCGGGTTTTTCCCCAAGAGCGTTTTTGGACCTAAGGGAAAGGAACACAAATAAACATCACGTGCAGCAGCCCCCAATTGCCCCCCTATGCTCATCCCCACCCATTGCCATCTCTTCCGTGGAGACTTCCAAGCTGTCACTCTTCTGTGGTCACCTGGGGTGAGCAGAAATGATCACCAAGCGATATTCGCAAGCCAAAATAAACTTGCCTCTTTCGCCTTTCCTTTTCTTGTTTACAGTTTTGTAAGCTGGTTCCTCTCACTGGAAGTGAGAGCTGGACCATAAAGAGGGCTGATCGCCGAAGAATTGATGCTTTTGAATTATGGTGCTGGAGGAGACTCTTGAGAGTCCCATGGACTGCAAGAAGATCAAACCTATCCATTCTGAAGGAAATCAGCCCTGAGTGCTCACTGGAAGGACAGATCGTGAAGCTGAGGCTCCAATACTTTGGCCACCTCATGAGAAGAGAAGACTCCCTGGAAAAGACCCTGATGTTGGGAAAGATGGAGGGCACAAGGAGAAGGGGACGACAGAGGACAAGATGGTTGGACAGTCTTCTCGAAGCTACCAGCATGAGTTTGACCAAACTGCGGGAGGCAGTGGAAGACAGGAGTGCCTGGCGTGCTCTGGTCCATGGGGTCACGAAGAGTCGGACACGACTAAACAACTAAACATCAACAACAAGCTGGTTCCTAGCCTAACAGCGATTTCATTCATTCAAGTCCTACCCATCAATCATAGGCACGCTCAGGGCTTAGTTACAGGCAATTAACAGCATAATTAGTAATCACATTGGGTGTTGTTGTTTTTTAAATTACCTATTGCACAGGGGTGGGGATTGTTATCAAGATCACAGTGCAATAATAATAATAATTTTATTATTTATACCCCACCCCTCTGGCTGGGTTTCCCCAGCCACTGGTTTCCCCAGCGTGTAGAGAGGGGATTTCAAACTTTCTCTCTTCTGCCACAATCTCCATGAAATTCTTCGCCCGTTCCACTCGCCCCCCTGCATGTTAATACAAACTTAAGCATAGGTGCTGACGCCTAGAAGCCATGGGGTCTTCAGCCTTCTCCCCAATACAATATTTGAGGGACCCAAGTTGATGGGCACACGACATCATGTGATTGATTATGCATGGAGGAGCTTTCCTCCCCCACTAATATTTTATTCAAGTTGGCCCTCCTGATTTAAGCTTTCCTAGCATTTTTTAAAATACTATGTGTGGGGTATGCGTGGCAAATTTCACAAACATTGCTGGTCAGGAAGAAAAGCTTAAACTGCAATTTCAATAGCAATGATATTGGGGAGGGGGAACCACCTAATATTTTATTTCTTAAAACACTGAACTCATCCACCATTAACCCTGTCACATGGACTCAGGTCTTGGGAGAAAAACCCATTTTACTCAATGGACTTAACCAAAAAAAGAGACAGCACGCTTAATTGTTAAGCATGTAAGGACAAAAGAAGTAATTATAATTTATTAGTTTTCATGTTATTTTATTCTGTTAAAGCAACTAGAAAAAAAATTATGTTGGGACGATCTCACAGAGATGAAAGGAAGCCGTGGGGAGGAGGGGAGGGTTAGGTTGAATTTGGGAAATAAAATAATATATGGGACAGCAAAGGATATAATAGATTCTTATAGAATAGTAATATATTGTAACCAGAATAGAAGTTCAAAAGGGGAAGTAAATGTATTTTTAGTATATTCATTATTGTAATAGTTATTATTATTTCTTATTGGTAGAAGGCAATGTTAACTTAGATGTCTTCGTTTTGCTGTCTGTATAATTTTCTTAAGTCAATTAAAAAAGAGAGAGAGAGAGCACAGAGGCAGGGGTGGAGGAGGCGAGAATGGAGCAGACTTGGTGTATGCAATGTGCAAAAAATGTCAACCTCTTAACTTCTTACGCAGAGCTGTTCTAGAATCCCCTGCAACTCACCTCTGAGTGGCTGGGGATTTGCCAGTGTCATCCTGGAGATCTTGGTTCCGTGTCTCAGGAAGGAAGAAGCAGAGGATTCCCGCGGCCAGTGCTATGCCCCCAAAGATCACCATGGGAATCGCAGGGTGGAACTTGTCCAGGAGACCCACAAGCGGAGCAAGGATGCCCCCTATTCTGGCAGCCATGGAGCACAAGCCTAAGCTGCTTTGCCTGGTGGAAGTAGCAAAACACAGAGAGCGAGGCCTGAGAGGAGGCGCAGACAGGTGCACCCTGCCAGGGGCAAGTTTCCAGAAGTAAAGAAACTGCCCCGTGCATAAGGATCAACAAACATATCTGTTTTGGTATCTCTGACCTTCTCATTTTCTTCAATCTCAAATTCACTTCACCGCAATGCTGCACCAGTTTACGATTTTGTCATTTTTGTGCACTTTTTCACTTCATTGCATGCAATTTTGCCCAGCACACAATGTTTCGCCGGCTATTTTATCAGTCACGATGCATTTTTAAAAATAAACAAAAATCCTTCTGGTAGCACCTTAAGGTAAAGGTAAAGGGGACGACAGAGGATGAGATGGCTGGACAGTGTTCTCGAAGCTACAAACATGAGTCTGACCAAACTGCGGGAGGCAGTGGAAGACAGGAGTGCCTGGCATGCTCTGGTCCATGGGGCCACGAAGAGTCGGACACGACTAAACGACTAAACAACAACAACAAAGGTAAAGGGACCCCTGACCATTAGGTCCAGTCATAGCCGACTCTGGGGTTGCGGCGCTCATCTCGCTTTAATGGCCGAAAGAGCCAGCGTACAGCTTCCGGGTCATGTGGCCAGCATGACTAAGCCGCTTCTGGTGAACCAGAGCAGCGCATGGAAACGCCGTTTACCTTCCTGCCGGAGTGGTACCTATTTATCTACTTGCACTTTGACATGCTTTCAAACTGCCAGGTTGGCAGGAGCAGGGACCGAGCAACAGGAGCTCACCCTGTCGCGGGGATTCGAACCACCGACCTTCTGATCAGGAAGTCCTAGGCTCTGTGGTTTAACCCACAGCGCCACCTGCGTCTCTAGTAGCACCTTACAGACCAACAAAGTTTGTTATTGGTATGAGCTTTCGTGTGCATGCACACTTCTTCAGATGCACACAAAAGCTCATACCAATAACACACTTAGTTGGTCTCTAAGGTGCTGCAGGAAGGAATTTTTTAATTTTGTTTTCAACTACGGCAGACCAACATGGCTACCTACCTGTATTTTTTAAAATGTTATCTTCACCATCGGGGTCACGTCCAACCCAGACGCTGGCGAGATGCACCGCCACTGTCTTCACCTTATTTGAGCAAAATTTGTAGAGGATGTTTTTTAGAATACAGTGTGCTTTGTGTAGTAGATCCTCACCTGACAACAGTGGGAAAGACTTCCGCAGAAAACACATAGGTGGTTGAAAAGGAGGCAGCCAACGCAGACTTGCCAATAACAGCCAGGACCGTCACGATCACAGGGAAGTCTGGGCAAAGACAGGCAATGAGGTTAGAAACTAAATAACAAAAAATGAAGGTAAGGCATTGTTGAAAGACCGCAGGCCTAGGAAAATGTCTAATCCAGTTCTGAAATGTCGCCTGTGGTCCTAGGGATATCCAGAGCTACTCTAACCCAGGAATGCATGGGTAGTTGAAAGGTTTTCTGGTGCCCATTTGCAGAAAGACTCTGGTTCAGTGGTAGAGCAGACACTTTGCTTGTTGAAGATCCTGGGTTCAACCTCTCCATTTAGGAGAATCTCATGGTGTAGGAAATGGCGCTCTACCCAAGCCCCTGGAGAAATGCCATCAAATTTCTAAGGGACGCGGGTGGTGCAGTGGTCTAAACCACTGAGCCTCTTGGGCTTGCCGATCAGAAGGTCAGCGGTTCGAATCCCCGTGACGGGATGAGCTCCCATTGCTCGGTCCCAGCTGCTGCCAACCTAGCAGTATGAAAGCACGCCAGTGCAAGTAGATAAATGGGTACCGCTCCGGCAGGAAGGTAAACGGCATTTCTGTGCACTGCTCTGGTTTGCCAGAAGCTGCTTAGTCATGCTGGCCACATGACCCGGAAGCTGTCTACGGACAAATGCCGGCTCCCTCGGCTTGAAATAGTTAAATAGGTACCGCTCCGGCGAGAAGGTAAACAGCGTTTCTGTGCGCTGTTCTGGTTCGCCAGAAGCGGCTTAGTCCTGCTGGCCACATGACCAGGGAGCTGTACGCTGGCTCCCTCGGCCAATAAAGCAAGATGAGTGCCGCAACCCCAGAGTCGTCCGTGACTAGACTTAACAGTCATGGGTCCCTTTACCTTTAACTGCTTCTAAAATTTGCATCTTTATGTATAAACTAGCACACGTAATTGTCATGCAAACCAGTGTGCCCTGTTTTGTTTTTTTCAGAAGTTAATCCCTTGAGAGTCTTGGTTCAAAGAAAGGAATGGGAGGGAAGAAACAAGGAAAGGAGGAAATGGATGGAAGAGAGGAAGGACACAAAGTGTAAGAAAGCAAAGTTGAAGACAGAAGCAGCTGATTACTCAAGCCATGCCTGCAAGGGCATTGCTAGCTACTTAAAAGTCCTGGCGTTCAGACTCCAGATTTGCCTGTGGCAAATAACAGGGTGGGTGGGTGCACTTTATAGAGCGCCCAGCCTCCTTGTAAGCAACCCTTTAAAAAATTTAGGAGGCATGGGGCAGAAGATCAGGTCCCCAGTGCAATAGACCTAGAGCCTTGTGGCACTCCATAATAACTCCACCAGTGCCTGGCTGCTGTGTTCTCTTCACATACCTCAGGGGATTCCTGAACACACAGAGACACTTCTGAAACAGTCGAAGGCCTGTGGTTCAGACCTTACAATGAGGGATGTTGAACTCCAGCTCCCATCATCCCCCAGCCAAGATGGCCAATGCTCAGGGATCATGGGTGTTGAAGTCGGGAACATCTGGGCAGCTGCAGGTTCCTTGCCTGCCTTGCAGTTTGCCTTCTAGGTTTTCTCTCTCAAGCAGCTTTTTGTACCTTTTGGAATAGCAGGGATGAGCAAACACACGACTCCGCTCAGGAGAAGCCAAGCGGCCTGGCATTTTTTCCTTCCCATCCACTGGAGGAGGAAGATACAGGAGGCTCGAGATGGTATTTCCACAGCTCCAAACACAAGCTGGGTCATGTAGATGTCCAAGCCAAAATCCCCAACATGAAGGCTCACTCCGTAATACACAAGACTGTCTGCAAACCTGTGAACCAAGCAAGAAATTACTGTTCATTCTGCATTTATTACTATTGTTCATTTTAATATCTGGCTCACACAAGCCCACCACTAAACTTCAGTGCTAGTTAGAATAAGGGCACACCATTGGGAAAAACAAAAGATTGCAATAACTCAGCCTTGGGTGAAGAATTCAGTTTCTTCAGACTCTAATTTTTCATTTTCAATGGGAGAACTCATTCCTAGCCCTCCAGGCCAAGACAGGCAGTGTTTAGAACTGTTGAAACCAACTCTATTTTTGCTGCCTGAGACTAGCCCTGCTGCCCTTCTGGAAACTATAATAAAACAACAACAAACCAAAAGGTCTCATTCAAGATCGATTAAAAACAGCCTAAAAACTCTGCCTGTAGCATATGCCGTTATTTTGTTTTTACATCTGGGACACAGCATACACATTTCGCCCATTCCCAAAAACATTCCTTTGCATATCCTCCCACATGGTTAGGCAAACTAAGGCCCAGGGGCCAGATGCGGCCCAATCGCCTTCTAAATCCGGCCTGCGGACGGTCCAGGAAACAGCGTGTTTTTACATGAGTAGAATGTGTCCTTTTATTTAAAATGCATCTCTGGGTTATTTGTGGGGCATAGGAATTCGTTCATTCCCCCCCCCCCCCAAAAAATATATAGTCCGACCCCACACAAGATCTGAGGGACAGTGGACCGGCCACCTGCTGAAAAAGTTTGCTGACCCTTGCCCTCCAACATTCCTCAGATGAAAATAAGGACATTTCTGACCCCCCCAAAACTGACCCTCCTCAACCTCACCCATTTTTTTTGTCCCCCGACCCCCAAGCATTTCCACCACCACCAATGGGACACAAAACACACACACCCTCCACCATCATGAGAAGACCCCTTAATCCCGGTTTTGTTTTGTTTTATTCTTTGGTAGATTTACAAAAAGAAAAGCACACGCCAATGAACAAATTTTAGAAAGGGGCAAGATTAGACGCATCCACACAAAGCATTGAAATAGAAAGAAAATCGGGACTCTTTGTGCTCCACTCTGCTCCCTGTTTCTTCCGTGCCCTCTACCTTTTGTAATTCCAGGACTGTCCCTGGAAAATCGGGACAATTGGAGGGTATGCGTTTGTTGTATTTGATGGAGATATATGCATGCAAATTCCAATGGCTGCTTTCTATCACATGGTTCTCCCTGAACTTTGCAGACACTGCCAAAGGCCTTCTCCCATCCTTTCCCCATCCAAAGTAAGGTGAGCCGTGAGTTGAAAGAGGTCCACCTTAGGGATACCCTCTTTGCAGAACACGCTCTCCAAGGAGGCCTGCTTGGCACCAACCCTACTGACATATTTGACACGACTTTTTGTCTGTAAAGTTGGGCAAAGTTTTCGTTCCGCACATTCCACTGATTTTCATGCTTCCTTTACAGCTTGCTGCCCTTTCGTTTATTTGACTGTACTTGATATTTAAGAATCGTTTTCTGGAGCACGTGAACTACGCTTTCATTGCCACCCACCCTACAGGTTTTACTAAGAGTGGCCTTGAAATATTTCAACCAACGAAAGTTAATTCTCAGTAAAGCAGCCAAGCCATTCACGGGGCAAGAGAAAAATCTGGCCTTAGACCAAACAGAGCCTCATTGGATAGAAGTCAAAGGTTTTTCTATAAGCCACTGATTACTGTATACCTAGAGAACGACAGCATCCTAAAAAGCAGAGACATCACCTTGCCAACAAAGGCCTGTATAGTCAAAGCTATGGTTTTCCCAGTAGTGATGTATGGAAGTGAGAGCTGGACCATAAAGAAGGCTGATCGCTGAAGAATTGATGCTTTTGAATTATGGTGCTGGAGGAGACTCTTGAGAGTCCCATGGACTGCAAGAAGAACAAACCTCTCCATTCTGAAGGAAATCAGCCCTGAGTGCTCACTGGAAGGACAAATCCTGAAGCTGAGGCTCCAATACTTTGGCCACCTCATGAGAAGAGAAGACTTCCTGGAAAAGACCCTGATGTTGGGAAAGATGGAGGGCACAAGGAGAAGGGGACGACAGAGGACGAGATGGTTGGACAGTGTTCTTGAAGGTACCAGCATGAGTTTGACCAAACTGCGGGAGGCAGTGGAAGACAGGAGTGCCTGGCGTGCTCTGGTCCATGGGGTCACGAAGAGTCAGACACGACTAAACGACTAAACAACAACAGAGAACGAATAACAAGGAAGCTTCAGCTGGTGATGCCTTTCCATGTAGACATTGGATTTTTAAAATAAAATAAAATACTGTACTGAATTGATATAGTTTGGAATACTTACCAGACTATGACCATGATTAAAGTCAAAATCCTTAGATGCGGCTTCTTGAAAATATCCAGGATATTCCCAGATTTCACCTTCTCTTCTGGAGTGAGCTTCAAAATGTGCAAGACAAGACAGACACAGAACATCAGCCAGAATCAAGGATGGCTGCTCCCAAACTGGTTGGACTACAACTCCCATCAGACCCATCTGCCAGGGCAGCTGTGCTGGCTTGGGCCAATGGGAATTTTAGTCCAAAACAGCTGGAGTGCCAGGTGGGTTAGCAAGTTGAGCCGAGACTGGAGAGATTCCACTCAGCCACAAAATTCACAGGATGTACTTGGACTCGTCTCCCACCCCCAGCCCAAATCTCACAGGCCTGTGAGGAATTAGGGAACCATGTAAGCCCGATCGGGGGGACCATTGGCCCCCCAGGTGTTGAAATACAACTCCCATCACCCCAACCCCACCCCATAGCTGAGGCTGATGGGAGTTGTAGTTTCACAACATCTCATGGATGTTCCCCACACTTAATGTAAGCTGTCCTCCATACCTCCTTGAGTGGTATATATACTTTTTGTAGTAAATTAAATAAAATGAGAAGGCAGCGGTGGTTTGGAGGGGCAGGTGGACAGCTAAATAGTAGATACTCAAAGTGGATAAACATTTTTTTTTTAAAGTCAAATGTGTTAGGATATAGTTCTGTTCCACCTTAAAAGGGAACAGGCTGTTGTGTGTCACATGCCTGTTTACTTCCAGCACTTGCTGGGAACATCCGTTTGTATATAGCTTTTGCATCTCTGCTGTTTTACTGGAGACGAAGGGAAGCAGACATGTTTTCCTTTGTTCCTGAACTATGCTGAATAAAATGCTGTACATTATGCTTGCACATCTCTCTGTCCGCCTCTTCTGCTGTGAGATGATTTACACACTCTGCTGACAGAGCGTGCATGGGTCTCTAAACGTATCTGAGGCTCGTGTCGCTGTTTGATGCTGCTCCAAGGGAGACTGGCTGCCGGCTAGAGCCAGCTGGGGGCCTGCCTGATGCCTGCCTGATGCCCCCGTCTTCCTGGCAGTATCCCAACAACATGCAGTTTGATGAGGGACTCAAATATCGCAGGGCAGGGATCTCTCTTTTTTCAATGGTCTTGTTTTCCCTTTCCCCATCACACCGCTTGCTTTTTCCATATCCTCCCCATATCCTTCCTTCAGAAAAGGAGCAATAGAAATCCCAGGTTACCTGGTTGAGTAGTTCTTCTGAGACGGTTCGTTTGTTAATGGAAGCGGCTTTTCGAAGCTCTTTTTTGGCTTCCTCGACCTTCCCTTTTGTCGCAAGCCATCGCGCAGACTTGGGAAGAACCCTGAAGAAGACAAGAGTTTGTGAAGCACAGCAAGTGCATTAACCTGGAAAGGAGCTGAGGTGGGTAGTAGTCTGCTGTGCTCTGGTCCGGTAGAAACAGGGGCAGACTTTGTTTATATGGCACCCTCAGCGAGGCCAAAACTTGGCACCTCCAAAGGGACCTTCTCAATTATGGATCTTCTCCATTTTGCACTCCCTCGGTGCCCTGTGCAGGGGAAACGCCTGCACCACCCTAAATCTGGTGCTAGGAGAGCGCAGAAGGCAGCCTTCCTCAAACTGTACCCTCCAGTTGTTGCTGGATGTTGCTCCTTTCATCCCTGGCCATTGGCCCTGATGGATGGGGATGATGGGGGCTGATGGACACCAGGCTGGGCCAAGGCTGAATCAGAACCCTTGGGACTCCATAGCACTGCAAAGAGAACTTCAGTAAACATTAACAGGCCAGAACAAAATCGCAGTTATAATGATGCGATCAGGTGCCAAAATTAGATTTCGGCCATTAAAAGAGACAAAAAAGCCTTTGAAGAATATGCATGAAGAAGGCTGTTTATTTTATCTAGGTCCCTAAAAGATAAAGGGTAAAGGGACCTCTGACCATTAGGTCCAGTCGTGGCCGACTCTGGGGCTGCGGCGCTCATCTCGCTTTATTGACTGAGGGAGCTGGCGTACAGCTTCCGGGTCATGTGGCCAGCATGACTAAGCCGCTTCTGGCGAACCAGAGCAGCGCACGGAAACGCCATTTACCTTCCTGCCGGAGCGGTACCTATTTATCTACTTGCACTTTGACGTGCTTTCGAACTGCTAGGTTGGTAGGAGCAGGGACCAAGCAAGGGGAGCTCACCCCGTCACGGGGATTCGAACCGCCGACCTTCTGATCGGCAAGCCCTAGGCTCTGTGGTTTAACCCACAGCGCCACCTGCATCCCTATCTAGGCCCCTAGTAGATCTTAAAACACAGGGTAGATAGGAGTTGATGTCACCATTTCACTCAATCGTTGCACGCTGTATATTTTTACATGCAGTCCAACTGTCATGGCCTGGTTGGACGCAGTGTTTGAAACTCCCATTGTTCTAGGCGCATTTTTCGACAAGGAATATCATTAGCACAAGCAGTTTCTGAGCTCTGGGCACAATGCTCTGCCTAAGATTTCAGATTAAAACTGCAGAGGGGAAGGAAAGGAGGACCTTTTTCTGCCTCCACACTTCCAGCTTCTCTCTGGAGAAGTGTCCCTCTTAAGAATATTGGGGGGAGGGCAGGGGAAGGACTAGTCCATGTGAAAAATGAACATAATATTTTAGCTGCAGTTCATTCATTTTCTGCTTTGTATTCTTGTTATAAAAAAGCGCGCCTAGACATTCCGTTGTTGCACCCATAGCCTAGGTTTAAGGTGCCATTTAACTCCTAGTGATTAGAGGGAGAAGAGGGAGGAAACTGGGAGGTGGAGATTTCGGAAGCTGAAAAAGTAACTGGGTTTAGTGAGCAGGAAGAGACTGTGACAGAGAACAGACCAGAAGCAGAGGCAGAAGACAAGGCTGGAGAGGAGGGGGGCCAAGAGGCACAGGTGAGTCTGGCTGGTGAAAAGACATGGGTATCTCCCCTTCCTGTTGTAATAAGATCCCCTCCCCCCTGGTCTCCAAGAACCAAGAGAGGCGTGAAAGGGGCGGAGGAGAGGTTGGCTGCACATGGGCACAGTCTCTGATTGCTTGGGGAAAGCCCCGGAGAGGAAGGGCCTTAAGCAGCTCTGGGAAGGCAGGGACCTTCAGTCTCCACTGCTTCATAGGGGCAAGAACTACTGGAGATGAGTCACTGTGCTCAGTAGACCCAACATTCCTGTGCAGATCCTGTTTTTGCAAATCAGTGGTATCTCTGGTTACGAACAGGATCTGTTCCGGAGCCCCGTTTGCAACATGAGCAGAATGCAACCCACGTCTGCGCGTGCGCAGGTCGCGATTTGCCGCTTCTGCTCATGTGCGTGATGTCATTTGAAGCGTCTATGCATGCATGAGCAGTGAAACCTGGAAGTTCCGTATTTTTTGCTCTATAAGACGCACCAGACCACAAGACGCACCTAGTTTTTGGAGGAGGAAAACAATAAAAAAAATATTCTGAATCTCAGAAGCCAGAACAGCAAGAGGGATTGCTGCGCAGTGAAAGCAGCAATCCCTCTTGCTGTTCTGGCTTCTGGGATAGCTGCGCAGCCTGCATTTGCTCCATGAGACGCACACACATTTACCCTTACTTTTTAGGAGGGAAAAAGTGAGTCTTATAGAGCAAAAAATACAGTAACCCCAGTAACCCTTTCCGGTACTTCCAGGTCGCCGCGGGACGCAATCTGAAAACACTCAACCTGAAGTAAACGCAACACGACGTATGACTGTAAAGAGTTAATTCCAACTTGCTTAGTGTGATTTACAGCCGGCTCGCTCCTGTCTAATTTCTGGTCCTTTTGCACACTCACCATATGTAAAAAAAGAGGGCAAATGCTGGAGCAGAGCCAGCAATCTGGTAGAGTCTCCAGTCACGAATGGCGTACGCCAAGCCAGCCAAGGCCATCTGCCCAAGAGCGTTGCTGCAGTGGCTGATGATCATTGCAAGCGGGCGATAGGAAGGCCCGACCCACTCCGAAGCTAAAAGGGTTCAAGTTACAGTCAGTATCTGAAAATTAAAAGACCCTGCCATTGACAATCGCTTGCATTTTTTAAAACAACCCTGACTTTATTATTGGCTGCTTTTAAATAACCACGTAAATTACAAGAGCAAAGTATATTTTTAGGTGGACAAGGAAGAAAAGTAACCACAGATGTTGATGACAGTTCAGAAATGTAGGGGAAACTTCTTGTCCCCCCGCCTTGTCCCCCCAGCGCCATTCATGCAGCCACACAGAAGAGGCTACATTGGTAGCAAGCAGAGGAGCATTTTGACACATGCAAATTGGGACTGAGTTTTGCATTTCTTCCAGAAACACATCAACTGTGTGGCCATAATTCCTGCAGCATGGACTTGTAAGGTAAAGGTAAAGGGACCCCTGACCATTAGGTCCAGTCGTGGCCGACTCTGGGGTTGCAGCGCTCATCTCGCTTTACTGGCCGAGGGAGCAGGCGTACAGGTTCCAGGTCATGTGGCCAGCATGACTAAGCCGCTTCTGGCGAACCAGAGCAGCGCACGGAAATGCTGTTTACCTTCCCGCCGGAGCGGTACCTATTTATCTACTTGCACTTCATGCTTTCGAACTGCTAGGCTGGCAGGAGCAGGGACCGGGAAGGTAAACAGCGTTTCCGTGTGCTGCTCTGGTTTGCCAGAAGCGACTTAGTCATGCTGGCCACATGACATGGAAGCTGTACGCCGGCTCCCTCGGCCAATAAAGCGAGATGAGCGCCGCAACCCCAGAGTCGGTCACGACTAGACCTAATGGTCAGGGGTCCCTTTACCTTTACGAGACTCCAAGAGAACTCCCTCTGATGCTCAACACCTGAGAGGGTGTTTAACCCACAGCACCACCCGCGTCCCAACATGGACTTGTACTCTGAGGTTATTTCTTCCCTAGCTGAGAGAGCCAGGGTTAGCATGTTGGACTGGGAACTTGGAGACCAGGGTTCAAATCCCCACGCGGCCTTGAAGCTCACTCAGGGCTTATCCACACATTCGTCAGCTGGCGCAACGGGTCAGTGTGTCCAGCTGTTAACCGGAAGATTGGTGGTTCGAGTCCAGCCAAGGACAGCTGTGGGCAAGATTCCTGCCTTACAAATTGGCATTTGCTATCCAGATGTTTTGGACTTCGGCTCACATCACTGTTGTAGTCTAAGGCACCTGGAAGACCCCAATTGGAGAAGGCTGATTTTTAATTTTTTATTTTTGGATGACAGGGCCTGAACTTCCCCAGAGAGGTGTCTTACTTAATGCTGCCATGCTGATACTGATCCCGGCAAAAGCAGCGCCCACGATGAATCTCAAGGCGATGTAGAGGTAGAAATTTGGCGCAAAGCCTGCCCCGACACCAAAGGCGCCCATGAGGAGGAGGGTGAGCAGGATCATCCGTTGGCTTCCGATCCTGGAAGAGGGAAATGAAATGCAGGAGCTCAGAACTTGCACCTCGCAGGAACATAGTAATTTGTCTTATACTGAATCAGACCCCTGGGCCATGTAGCTCAGTGCTGTCAACGCTGACTGCAAGTGGCTCTCCACAGATTTAAAACAGGGTCTCATCCTGCCCTCTTGTGTCGCTGCACATGAAAAGCTTTCCTATCTACTAGGCGAGAAACCCATAAGGTACAGTGGTACCTCAGGTTAAGTACTTAATTCGTTCTGGAGGTCCGTACTTAACCTGAAACTGTTCTTAACCTGAAGCACCACTTTAGCTAATGGGGCCTCCCGCTGCTGCCGTGCCGCTGGAGCACAATTTCTGTTCTCATCCTGAAGCAAAGTTCTTAACCTGAAGCATTATTTCTGGGATAGAGGAGTCTGTAACCTGAAGCATATGTAACCTGAGGTACCACTGTATTTTCATACAAAAGGTATTTTATATCCGTAGTAGCTTATTGCAAGATAGATGCTTTTGCTCATTTTCAGTCGCATCCTCACCTATGATTCGGTACATAACGCACTTAAAAAAGTTTTAGTATGTCTAGAGACAATGGGTAAAACAAACACCATTAGCTGTACTGCTGGGTTAAGTGTTTAATGCTGATTGTATTTGTATTTGTTAAAAAACTGATGAAAATTTGTTTTTTTAAAAAAAATAAAGAAGTTTTATAAATTTTGTTGTCCTTTCTGTTGTTATACACAGTAAAAAGTACCGTATTTTTCGCTCTACAGGACACACTTTTTCGCCTCCAAAAATGAAGGGGAAATGTGTGTGCGTCCTATGGAGCGAATGCAGGCTCCTTGGCTTCAGCGATAGCAACGCGAAGCCTCCAAAGCGCAGTGCGAGTGCTCCCTCCGCACGCCGGAGGCTTTGCGTTGCTTTCGCTGAAGCCTGGAGAGCGAGAGGGGTCGTTACGCAGTGACCCCTCTCGCTCTCCAGGCTTCAGGGATAGCCGGCTGAAGCCTTCGGAGCACAGCGGGAACTCGCGCTGCGTTCCGAAGGCTTCGGGTTCCTTTTGCTGAAGCTGGGAGAGCAAGACTCTCCCGGCTTCAGCAGAGAGGGAGAGCTGCGCAGCGCCCCTTAAGCCAAGCGGGAGGAGAAATGGAAGGGGCTCTGTTTCTCCTGCCGTTTCGCTGAAGGGGCGTTGAGCAGAGAGGGGGAGAATTTTTTTTCTTGTTCTCCCCCTCTAAAACAAGGTACGTCCTATGGTCGGGTGCGTCCTATAGGGCGAAAAATACGGTATATTTTAAAAAGGTTTTGAGGGCCTTTGAACCTGACATAGCTGGGGTGGGGAGCTCAGCACATCTCAATCCAGCTCTGCAAACTCTACCTCATTTAAGGTGTGCCACAAGACCCCCTGAGAGCCTTTCAGATTCAAGGCATATAAATGTGTCATGCAATTGCTTCTTGTGTTAAGATTCTGGGAGAAAACAACAGATAACCCAGCCTTCAAACACAACCTGATTTTAGTGCAGCATAACTAAACAGCGAGAGAAGCTCCATGCAGCAGCTCAAACTGGAAGGAGCAGGCATGCGAGTTTTGGGTACTTCTGCATTCAGGTGGCCTTGGTGTTGCAAAGTGCCTTCCTTCAGCTTCGGCTCGTGGGCCAGCTGCGCCCCTATCTGGACAGGGATAGGCTAACTTCTGTCGCCCATGCTCTGGTAACCTCTGGGTTAGATTACCACAACACATTATATGTGGGACTGCCTCTGAAGATGGTTTGGAAGCTTCACCTGGCGTAGAATTTGGTGGACAGGTTGCTCACTGGGGTAAGATGGCTTGAAACTATAACGCCAATCTTGGCCCAACTGCACTGGCTGCCAATTAGTTTCCAACTCAAAGTGCTTGTTTTGACCTATAAAGCCTTAAATGGCTCAGGAACGCAACACCTGAAGGACTCCCTCTCTGTATATAACCCACCCTTATCCTGGGATCATCATCTGAGGCCCTTCTTCAGGTGCCTCCTTCATAACAATAATAATAATAATAATAATAATAATAATAATAATAATAATAATAAATAAATTTATATCCCGCCCTCCCCAGCCAAAGCCGGGCTCAGAGCGGCTAACAACAGTAAAAATAACACAGTTTACATAAAATCACAATCAATTAATTGAAATACATTCTAAAATCAATTCATTCTAAAATCAATTCATTCTAAAATCAATTCAGAGTCAAATTAATGGCAACCATTGGGCTAGAGTTCTTTGAGGATTACAGAAGGAGAGGGCAAGACTGTGCCTTGGCCAAAGGCCTGGTGGAACAGCTCTGTCTTGCAGGCCCTGCGGAAAGATGTCAAGTCCCTCAGGGCCCTGGTCTCTTGTGACAGAGTGTTCCACCAGATCACGGCCATGGCCAAAAAAAGCCCTGGCTCTGGAGGGCAACAGTTCTGGAGGGCGGCAACACAAGAGCAGGGCCTTTTCTGTGGTGGCTCCCCATTTGCAGAATGCTCTCCCCAGAGAGGCTCGCCTGGCGCCTTCATTATACACCTTTAGGCGCCGGGTGAAAACGTTCCTAGGCAACCAGGCCTTGGGCTAATTGAACCATCTTATTAACTATGGGGGTTATTGTTCTTTGTTTGTTACTGTGTTTCATATTTTTGTGTTTTTATATTGTACACTGCCCTGTGATCCTCAGACAAAGGGCGGTATATAAATTTTAACAACAACAGGAGCCTGATCAGGTGAAACCCACCAGCAAAAAAACATAACCTTTACTATATTTTGAAGTGCAGTGCACTTAGCTGATGGTGCTACCCTGATTGTTGTCCAAAGCTACCTGAGGCAATCTAAGCTAAACTGACGGGCCAGTTCACTAAGGTCATAGTGGATCCATTTCTTCATAAAGTATCAGCATTGGGTTCTGTCTTGCCCTTGCTTCTTCTAGAAATATGTTTTGCCTCTCAGGCACACCCTGAGAATCGCTGCCCACACTCCTCTGACTGGGCGTTCCAGTGTACAACTGGAAGAACAGGAAATGTTTTTTTCTCGCAAAGGCACATAGAAAGTGCAAGGAGCTAAGCAGGGCACTGAAACTCCTTCTCTGCCATCTTTTCTTAAAATTAAATTGGTACACCGTCCTATAGTCCCAGGCCTCAGGGTGGTTACAGCACAAAAACACAAAATAAAAACACAAAACACATAACAAAAACAACCCAATCTTCCACCAGGCAATGCCCATACATTTGAAAAGCCTTGAGGACCAGAAACTTGGTTGCTTTCACTGAAAAGTGAAAGATGGGGAACTGCATTGTCAGCAACCAGCTGGAGATGTCTAGATTTGGGGCCTTCTGCATCCAAAACAAGTGTTCAATAAATATAATAGGTAAACAGCCTCAAAGTTGTGGGCAAATCCCCTCCCCTCTAAATGACTGAAATACCTCCCCTGTTCACCAACTGCAGGTGGAGTGGCCATTTTCTCTCAGCCGCAACATGAAATCTCAAAAGTTATGCTTACCAGTCGCTCAGTGGGCCAAAGACCAAGGCTCCCACAAGAAGACCTGACATGTAAATGGATTGAGAGATGTCTTTTAAGTCCTTTCGGTCGCAAACCAAGTTGAACTAAAGGAAAAGAAGAAGAAAGCGCCTTTTCCTTCCATCTCCCAGCACTGCATGGTGTATATTATACGTCCCCTTTTCTTAATTTGACTGACTTTATGATTCATGAATTACAAGCCGCGCTCCTCAAAATTTGGCCTGTTTTCCTTAAGTCACCTAGATCAGCCTAGCTCAGGAGAAAAATAATACTGGATAGCTCTGTTGGTTAGAGCGAGGTGCTGATAACACCAAGGTTGTAGGTTCGAGGCCCGTATGGGACAACTGCATATTCCTGGATTGTAGGGAATTGGACTAGGTTAGGGCTGCCAAATGTCCAGATTTTCCCAGACACGACCGGGATTCAGGCAGCTCTCGTTATCTTCCGCTTGGACTACTGCAATGTGCTGTATGTGGGGCTACCTTTGAAGGTGACTAGGTAACTGCAAATAATCCAGAATGCGGCAGCTAGACTGGTGACTGGGAGCGGCCAATGAGACCATATAACACCAGTCCTGAAAGTTCTTCATTGGCTCCCAGTACGTTTCCGAGCACAATTCAAAGTGTTGGTGCTGACCTTTAAAGCCCTAAACGGCCTCGTTCCAGTATACCTGAAAGAGTGTCTCCACCCCCATCATCCAACCTGGACACTGAGGTCCAGCACGAGGGCCTGCGAGAAGTGAGGTTACAGGGAACCAGACAGAGGGCCTTCTTGGTAGTGGTGCCTCCCAGCAGATGTCAAGGCAATAAGCAACTATTTTACTTTTAAAAGACAACTGAAGGCGGCCCTGTTTAGGGAAGTTTTTAATGTCTGATGCTGTGTTGTTTTTAATATTCGGTTGGAAGCTGCCCAGAGTGGCTGGGGAAACCCAGCCAGATGGGCGGGGTATAAATAATAATAAATTAGTAGTAGTAGTAGCAGCAGCAGCAGCAGCAGCAGCAGCAGCAACAGCAGAATGGCATTTGGGCAGATTTTGGCCGATTTGCCAAAATGTCCTGGAAAACCCGGATGTATGGCAAGGGGGATGCGCATTGGGATTTCTGAGTGAGTGCTGTGAGCATCACTCCCTCTGGTCACTTCTCTTCCCCAGATCACACCCCCCACTCTGAAAGACAGAAGGCGAGAAAGTATGCAAACACACATCTTGCATTTCCAGAGGAGGAAGGAAAAAAACCCCACTCTTCCTAATTCAGATTTACGTACTTTTCAAGGGAGGAAAAGGTAACACACACACCCCTCACCATCTCATGTGATCTGAAGGATTTCATTATGCCCACGGGCACAATGTGGGTGACTCTTGCTTCAAGGAATTCTGGGCATGTTGTGTGACCCTGAAAATGCACCCTAGAAGTCACCCTACAATTCTGCCATACCCCAAGTGTCCTGTTTTAAGTGGGACATCCCAGATCACAGAAACCAATCCCGGCTTCTCTCTGGTCCTGTTTTTTGGTCCAGCGCTCTGGCACGACCCTGCTGATGATGGCCAGAGTGCATCTTGCCTGATATCCCAGTTTGGGGGAAGGAAAATACTGGAGGGTGGGTGTTTCGAAAGGACCATGGGAGACACGTCAGTGTAGAAAAGATCTCCAAAGGGAAGGAAGTTTGAAAACCATGGATCTCTCTCTCTCTCTCTCTCTCTCTCTCTCTCTCTCTCTCTCTGTGTGTGTGTGTGTGTGTGTGTGTGTGTGTGTGTGTGTGTGTGCGATGTGTGAGAGAGAGGCTGGGGGAGAGCCACTTCACTCCTCAATTTCTTAGGGTCCTGGAGCTCTGACATTTAATCGCTCCATAGTCCAAGACACTCCAGTCCTCAGAAAAATCTGAATACAGACATCCCTAAGGACCCTCTCAGGTGTTGAGCATCAGAGGGAGTTCTCTTGGAGTCTTGTAAAGGTAAAGGGACCCCTGACCATTAGGTCTAGTCGTGACCGACTCTGGGGTTGCGGCGCTCATCTCGCTTTATTGGCCGAGGGAGCCGGCGTACAGCTTCCAGGTCATGTGGCCAGCATGACTAAGCCGCTTCTGGCAAACCAGAGCAGCGCACGGAAATGCTGTTTACCTTCCCACCGGAGGGGTACCTATTTATCTACTTGCACTTTGACGTGCTTACTGCCGACCTTCTGATCGGCAAGTCCTAGGCTCTGTGGTTTAACCCACAGCGCCATGTCTCTACCATCCCCCAAAAGCAAGGGAGCCACAGCCTGGAAGAGGTCATTCTAGGTGGCAGAACTGGGGAACTCCCTCCCCACAGAAGGTGTGTCTCCCATCTTCCCTGTACAGTTCACCTGGCCTTCGATAGCTCAGGTGTTTTGCCTCGGGAGACCTGTCTCTACTCCACTATACTCTGGTATCTCCGGTTACGTACTTAATTCGTTCCGGAGGTCCGTTCTTAACCTGAAACTGTTCTTAACCTGAAGCACTACTTTAACTAATGGGGGCTGCTGCCCTGCCGCCGGAGCACAATTTCTGTTCTCATCCTGAAGCAAAGTTCTTAACCTGAATAAATAAATAAATAAAGTTTACAATTTTATTGTTGTAACCTACCCTGGGAACTCCTGGTTAAGAATCGCAAATCGTAGCCCAGTTAATTAGGCGGAGCTTTTACCACTGTATTATCAAAACCTCTAAGCGGTTTCCATCACATGTAAATTATATATTAAAATTGCCAATAAAAATGAGATGTTAAAAAGAAGTTAGCCTATTTTTCCCGAAAAAAATAAAATCAGCAGTTTAAAAAATTTACCTCTTGAGATAGCTGCATGTCAAAATGCATGTCAAATCAATTATCCCCTTGGCTGGCCACTCATGTCAATAATTATTTTGTATTGTTCTTACTTTTTGTAGTGCTTATATGTACATTGTGGTACACCACCTTGATCTTTTATACAATCTTGCCGCTAAAAGACTTAAAGAAGGTGATTGCCACTAGTCTATCCACAAGTCATTTCCTGTCCTGTCAGTTTCGCTATCCAGATCTTTAACTGTAGGGATAGCAGGTGAATACCAATGTTGAAATCGCTTTAAAGCAGTCTAGTACAAATCGCATGTGACACACACACAAACACATCTACCACAGAAGAGACAGGACCATGTTTTGTTAACAAGGAATATACTATACTCACCTCTGTCAGCAACGACGGCTTTGGATCTGTGGGGTAGATCCAACCATCTCGGCAGGCTTCTGTGGAATTTCGTCCGTCTTTTATGATTGAATCGATATCGCCTTCCACAGGAGTAAACATGGAGCATTCCTCAAAAGAGCCATCTGGTTTCCTGGGAATGGTCAAGTTCAGCTGCTGGTCTTGGGTCAGGTTTTGGGTAATATTAAGGATCCAGTTCGTGTTGCAGTGGTGAGGCACGTCCGTGACAATGAAGACTTGTCCAAACATGTGAAAGGGAGTCAGGAAATTTGGGATGCAAATCAGCAGCACCAGCCATTTCTGAAACCTGCCGAATTCTCCGATCACCTTCAAGATGTCTCCAAATCTGATCATTCTGGGATCTTTGGCAGCAGGTCTGTATCGTTCTCACATCTGGGGACTGAAATTAATCTTTAAACTTAATTGTGGCTATGGATAAGGTGAATAATTAATCAGTCTTTGGCTTCTGATAAACTTGAGGAATCTATCCTATCACAGCAAGCGCCAAGATTAAAAACATACTTTCCTGCAAACGCTTCCTTATTGTTGCCTTTTCCTGATTCAGTGTTGATATTGTTTCGATTTCAGCATAGATCCTAAGAGTACACCGTACTTTTAAAGGACATTTAGAGCATACCCCCTCTCTCACAAAGAACTTGGGAACCTTAGTTTACCCGACAAATCTACAATTCCCAGCACCCTTTTGTTAACTAGAATTCCCAGAATTCTTGTGGGGTGGGGATGTTGGACTGGTCATGTTGTTTGGATGCCTGATCTTACAAAGCAACTTCTCTATTCCAAAGTTAAGAATGGAAAGCGTAATGCCTGTGGACAACAAAAGAAGTTTAAAGATGCTCTCAAGGCAAATCTTTAAAAATGTAGTGTAAACACCAACAACTGGGAGACACTGGCCTGCGAGCGCTCCAATTGGAGAACAGCCTTTACCAAAGGCATCATGGACTTTGAAGACCCTCAAACTCAGGACAAAAGGGAGAAATGAGCTAAGAAGAAGGCATGTTTGGCAAACCCTCACCGTGATCAACTCCTGCCTGGAAACTAATGTCCCCACTGTGGAAGGATGTGTGGATCCAGTCACTTACGGACTCTCTGTTAAGACCATTTTCATGGAAGACAATCTTACTCAGCTACGAGTGATCGCTAAAGAAGAAGAATAGTGATAATTGCAAATTATTGCAGAAATGAAAAACCAGAAAAATGAGAAACTGCAAGAACCAAAATTATCAGATCCTTCCATCCCTGCTCTGGAATAAAAGTCTTCACTGCCCAGAGTCAGGCAACTTTTCTATGAGGATGCTTTAGCACTGAATCTAGGCACCAGCACTATTCCTGAGCTTTGGATGCAGGAAAAAAGCACCCTGTTTCACACCTTTATCTCTACACACACACGCATAAACCTTTGCCAATTCTACTTACTTCTTAACAGCCGTACCTCCTTCCCTTGCACATCATAGCAGGAAAAAAAGAAAAGGAAGTCTAAGGGGGAAAATGTTCCGTGAAGGAAAGCCAGCAACACTGAGGCGGTTGAGACATCAGTAGGAGGTCAACACACCCTGAATTGGGCACCTCCAAGAGAGATTACCATCTTCGCCGGTTAATGTAAACTTGTGCAATATATTGTTGCATTCAAAGCAACATATAGAGGAAGAGGCGAGGCAAACCTGTTTGAATCGCAGAATTCCAGGTGATCTGAAAAGTCAACCAGTGGCGGCTGGTGCTCACTGGAAGCTGGTGCCCAGGGCAAGCCAATCGGATGAGTGGCAGTGATGCTTTTCTAGAAGCAGAAGGTGCTGGAAGTCAGCCTTGTTCTCTTAGAATGGCAATGGCACCCAACGAGTTCCAACAAGTTCCGGCTGAAAAGAAAGCCCTGATGAGCAGGGTACAAATAATAACAAGTTATTCTTATTATTGGCCACATAAGCAGAATTCATCATGCGAAAGGCTGGGCTGGATGAATCCCAAGCCGGAATTAAGATTGCCGGAAGAAATATCAACAACCTCAGATATGCAGATGACACAACCTTGATGGCAGAAAGTGAGGAGGAATTAAAGAACCTTTTAATGAGGGTGAATGAGGAGAGCGCAAAATATGGTCTGAAGCGCAACATCAAAAAACTAAGATCATGGCCACTGGTCCCATCACCTCCTGGCAAATAGAAGGGGAAGAAATGGAGGCAGTGAGAGATTTTACTTTCTTGGGCTCCATGATCACTGCAGATGGTGACAGCAGTCACGAAATTAAAAGACACCTGCTTCTTGGGAGAAAAGCAATGACAAACCTAGACAGCATCTTAAAAAGCAGAGACATCACCCTGCCAACAAAGGTCTGTATAGTTAAAACTATGGTTTTCCCAGTAGTGATGTATGGAAGTGAGAGCTAGACCATAAAGAAGGCTGATCGCCAAAGAATGGATGCTTTTAAATTATGGTGCTGGAGGAGACTCTTGAGAGTCCCATGGACTGCAAGAAGATCAAACCTATCCATTCTTAAAGAAATCAGCCCTGAGTGCTCACTGGAAGGACAGATCATGAAGCTGAGGCTCCAATACTTTGGCCACCTCATGAGAAGAGAAGACTCCCTGGGAAAGACCCTGATGCTGGGAAAGATGGAGGGCACAAGGAGAAGGGGACGACAGAGGACGAGATGGTTGGACAGTGTTCTCGAAGCTACCAGAATGAGTTTGACCAAGCTGTGGGAGGCAGTGGAAGACAGGAGTGCCTGGTGTGCTCTGGTCCATGGGGTCATGAAGAGTTGGACACCACTAAACAACAACAAAGCATTTTGGTGGCTGAAGTTTATGCTGACTAAAAGTTCCGAATGGTTTTTTTAACGGTGGCCCTACAGAAAACACATTACAGTGGTACTTTGGTTGTCGAACTTAATCCGTTCCGGGAGTCCATTCGACTCCTCATATGGTTCAAAGACCAAGGTGCGGCTTCTGATTGGCTGCAGCAGCTTCCTGCACCCAATCAGAAGCCATGGAAGCCGCGTCGGATGTTTGGCTTCCAAAAAACTTCCGCAAACCGCAACACTCACTTCCAGGTTTGTGGCATTTGAGAGCCAAGCCGTTCAACAACCAAGGTACCAGTGCACAGCCATCTAGCCTGGATGTGAACAGGGCCTTATGTAACTTGAAGCCGCTGGGCAGAGAGAGGAAGATGCCTTGGGTGGAGGACATTGGTTGTAAAGAAATGGCAAAAATGGCTAGTTAATTATTTTTGCATCTTTAGCACCAGAGAAGAGGATAGGTGCTTGTGGGATTTTCTGCATCACAGACCAGAAATAACTTGGCATTAGGTCTTGCGCATTTTCGCTTGGGGCAAGGGGTGTGGCAGCAAAAGGTCTTGAAGTAGCTCTGCTTTCCAAGGTTAATGGGAGGCCAAAAAAAAAAAAAAAAAGATTTTATTGAAAGATTCCCATGGATGACAAAGGTACATATAACGTCTCTGTTTTCAGTTCATAAGAGTCTTATCTGCAGGTCAGTTACATCTGGTGTGAGACATTGCTATCAAAGCCATTGTGAGGTTGCCAGGGGTGGGGAGAAAGGTGGGAGAGAGAAGAGGTGCAATCATTTCCCTTCTTTTGCATGGTGTATGGGTGGCGTTTTGTGTCAGCATCATATGGGTAAGTTCTTCATCTGTTCATTTATTAATTTTCGTTGGCTCTGAGATTGGGGAGCCCGGGGCATGATTGGTTGCATTCGGTTGATTGCAATGAGTTTTGTATGTGTGGGGGAATGGACTTTTGGGATGTTGTAAACCACTGAGCCTAGGGCTTGCCGATCAGAAGGTCGACGGTTCGATCCCCGCGACGGGGTGAGCTCCCGTTGCTCGGTCCCTGCTCCTGCCAACCTAGCAGTTCGAATGCACGTCAGAGTGAAAGTAGATAAATAGGTACCGCTCTGGCGGGAAGGTAAACGGCGCTTCCGTGCGCTGCTCTGGTTCGCCAGAAGCGGCTTGGTCATGCTGGCCACATGACCCAGAAAAACTGTCTGCGGACAAACGCCGGCTCCCTCAGCCAGTAAAGCGAGATGAGCGCTGCAACCCCAGAGTCGTTCGCGACTGGACTTAACTGTCAGGGGTCCTTTACCTTTACCTTTTTATGCAGGGCTTTTATTCAGCTGGAACTCAGTTCTGGCACCTCTCGGGTGGGTGCTATTGGCATCCTAAGAGAATGAGGGAGGTGTTTGTGGTGAGTTCCGGCACCTCTTTTTCTAGAAAAAGAGCACTGTAGTAAAGGGAGCCCCACTGGGGTGAAGGATCCTCTGTTGTTTGTCCCCATGCCAGTTCCAGTTTGTTGGCTAGCTTTTCTAGTTAGGGGATGTATCAGTGGCATGCGGTCATTGGACTAAGGGGACTAGGCTAGCCCCTAAATGTTCCCCTGTTGCCTCCTTCCCAAAGCAAGGGAAGCTTCTGCCCGGCTCAGGGAGGGAGGTGTGAGGTTCCAATGGGTCATGGATCCATCCTGCCATCTTCCCAAAGCCCATCTGGCTTTTGGAAGGAGGTAGGACAACTCCATCATCCTGCCCTGGCACCTCCTTCACATAGCCTGAGAAGCTTCTGCCTGGCTTAGGGAGGGAGGCGCGATGCTCACACATACAATGTCAGGGTGTCACAATGTCACATGCATAACACACACACCCCGTCCCCTTGCAAGCTGCTGCCTCTGGCCCTAACTGCTCCCCTATGGAAAAAAATTCACTGCCTGGCCCTGTTAGGATAGAGTTCCATTCCACCTTTAGGACTGGCATGTGGAGCTGCTGTATGTCACATGTCTGTTTACATTCCAGCACAGCTTGCTGGGAACTTCCGTTGTATATAGCTTTTGCTATACTGCTGTTTGCTTAGACACGAAGGGAAGCAGACATGGTTTTCCCTCGTTCCTGATGCTGAATAAACGCCTGTAAATATGCTTACATATGCCTCTGTCCGCCACTTCCGTTGTGAAAAGTTATTCACTGCTGATTAGAGCGTGCTCAGTCTCTGAAGGCTTCTGAGGCTCGAGTCACTGATTGATGCTGTTCCAAGGGGGAACCAGAGTTTGCCCGGCTGCCGGCCTGTGGCTGGAGCCAGCTGGGGGCCTGCCAAATGCCCCCGTCTCCCCGGATGCATCCCAACAGCCCCTGGGCTGTTTCCCATGCGGTTTGGGACCAGTGGTCCATGTTCACTCCTGACAGGTCCCTCCAGTGTCTAGTTATGATGCTCCTAGCTGCTGAGAACGGGTGGCTTATGAATTCTTTGTAGTGTGACTGTGGCAAAGGCATTTGTTCTTCTTTTAAAAAAGTATGTTTAGAACTACCGCTAGGATTTGCCTCTGGCTGCCTGCAACGTCATCCCCACGATCTGGAAGTTCCTTGCTGGAAGGGAGGGAGGGAGGGAGGGAAAGGATTCCACCAACCACTGCTGTGCTGCCAAATATCACCACGGAAACGGGGGCCAATACTTGTCAAAGAGGCCAATCGGGGACCAGATGAGGTTGGTCAACCTAACTGTCATCTGGACACACCCATTCTAGAAGGAGGAGAGACACAGAAGGCACATTTGACAATGCTCTGGAGTGACACTGCAGTGGGGGCATTGTGCCAACCGGGTAAGCCAGAGGAGGCACACCAATGTAAGAAGGGGGCCCAAACAAATGGCACTTTTCCTAAAGATTCCTGAAACCGGCATACAGTCAAGTGCCTGTGTGATTGTCGCAAGGGATAGCCAACAAGCATTTTGCACAGCCTGGAAACCAACACACTGGCCCATCTAGCCAACTTAGGTGGAGTTTTTCCCACCCCGTTCCCTGAGATCTTCAGAAACTGCCTGATACCAAGCCAGATCATCTAATTCAGTATTATCTACAATGACTGAAATATACTCAGAGTCCTGTAGTGATTTCATGCTCTTTATTGCAGCTTGTAAAACAGTGATTGAATTGTCTCCCAAACCTCAGGCTTTTATATACATTATTTACACAATGAGTCCCGTCCGATTGGCTGATTCTGCTTCCCTCCTGGAGCCTGATTGGTCTTTTCCTGCAGGCCAATCAGTTGTTGCATTCTAGGATCCTACTTGCCTATTGTTCTAGGATCCAAGCTTAGTAGATAACAATGACCCTCAAGAGATCCTCAAGGGACTGCCTAGGGATCCTGGCAGGGGACATTCCTAGCCATACTTGGAGTTGCTGGCAATTGAGCCTTCAAAACAGGTATTCTGCCATTGCTAATAAAGTAGCAATAGACTATTTTCTTCTTCTTCTTTGGCGATACCTCGTAGCCGAGTAAGATTGTCTTCCATGAACACAGTTTTAACAATGAGTCTGTAAATGACTGTGGAGGCCAATTCTGGATCCACACGTCCTTCCACAGTGAGGACATTGGTTTCCGGGTGGGAGCTGATCACGGTGTGGATTTGCCAAGCATGCCTTACTCTTAACACGTTTCTCCCTTGTGTCCTGAGTTCGAGTGTCTTCAAAGCCCATGACACCTTTGGTAAAGGCTGTTCTCTGATTGGAGCACTCGCTGATGACGTAAGAGAAGTCACCTCCCTTGAGTGGGGGTTTTTGAAAAGTTCCAAACTGTTTGTAAAAGTGGAGGTTTTTTTTTTCAGGTTTCAGCATTTACAAGACATGGAAGTGAAAACACAGACAGAAAGGGCAGAGCAGGGAAACCAAGATAAGTTCATTTGTAATCTCTTGCTTTCTGTACATCCCAGTCCGTCATCTTTTTGTTTCTGCACCCAAAGCAATCTACACTATTTGCTCATCATGGACCAGAACAGAACAGCCTTGGCCAGATGTATATATCCCTGTTGGACTCTGCCACCTGCTGGTGGGAAGGACAAGGTGCAGTTCCTGCCCAGCTCATCCACAGTTCCTGTCTGTATCATTGGACCACACTCGCCTTCTCAACAGGACCAAATCTTGTTGGAGTTAGCGGTAAGCATTGTTTGAGCAATGGAGACAGGAGGAGTTGCTAAAGTCTTGTGCAATCTGGCAGACCAGGCATTGGATCCTGAAATGCAACAACTGATTGGCTTCCAGTAGCAGCCCAATCAGGCTCCAGGAGGGAAGCAGAATCAGCCAATCAGACGGAGCGTATTGTGTAAATAATGTATATAAAGCCTGAGGTTTGGGAGGAAATTCATTCACTGTTTTATGAGCTGCATTAAAGAGCATGAAATCACTACATGACTTAGAGTACATTTCAGGCACCCTCCTAGCCAATGGTATTGCCGCAAGAAAAAACATCTTAAGTGTCAAAGATTTACAAAGCAAGTGGCCATTGGTTCAAATGGATGTCCCATCAGAACAGTGAGGACCCAATTCAAGCTCCGTGTGGGAAACTAAGGCAGCATCTGGAATGGAAATAGAAGTGAGTGAGAAATAGGAGTGGAATGGAAATAGGAGTGAGAACCACAACCAGCATAACAGGGTATCACCCAACACTATCAGGACGTGTGCAGATAAGAAGAGGAAGAGCTTGCCTGATGGAAACCAGAGCATCTTGTCGGAGCCAGCCGTGACAAAGTGGCGAAGTTTAGCATAAAATTATGACACAGAGAGCCAGCAATATTTTCATGATGGTAGGAGCAGCTCCTCTCGAACTCTCCTCTCCTCCTGCAGCCTCTTTTATTATCCTTTTGTCTCTCTCTCCAGCCGCATGGCTGTTTGCCAGTGTCTCACGTTACCTCATCCGGTCAAGGCTTTTATTGCCCCCAACACCGTATAAGGTCAATCACTGCCCAGAGGAAACACAGCTCCAATACATTCCAATACATTGTAAAGCTCAGAGTGCTGGTCAGCCGAGGTCAGGGGGCACCCTGCAATATTACAAGCCTTTACCGTGGCTTTATGACTCCCACATGCCCTCTTTCTTTATTTTATATCAGAGTCAATACGCGATAAGCGACTCTTGTGACACCGGAAGCGGGCCGCGGACTGGAGAACCATGCAGTACATATAGAGATTATAGAAAGAATACATTGGATACAGCAACACAAAATAATGCAAATAACTACTATAATGATCACTAAAATCAATAACTACTATAATGATCACTAAAATCCGGAAGCCAAGAATATAAGAATTCTGATTCCAAGCTGCATGGTAGGCTTCCTTTTAGTTTATTAGCCATGCACTGGTGTCACTTCTATAGCACTGAGATTTGTCACTGTATATTCCTGTAAGAGAACAAGAGCTATTAAAAGTGAAATTCAATGTATATTGACAGTTTGGATATATGCCCCATGATTCTTTCCCCTCTTTAATTTGAAAACAAATGGGGGAAGGCTCATGGAGGGTCAATTATACTGGAGGCCAAAAAGTTTGCTTAGGGGATATAACATTAGTAAATTGAAAAGATCCATTGACAGGCACACCATGAAGCATTATGCCGGAATGACTGGCAAAGGGCGGCATGTGCATACACAGCCAACACTTAGAAGCATGCAATAAACCGGTAAAAATAATCGTATCTTGTACAAAAATATCATCCCTCCATATCTTATGATAATTTTCTCCCCTAAAAGTCTTATTCAACAACGCTGTTCTTCTAGTTCGAAAATGGCTGAGCCACGGATACTGCCAGCCAGAGTAGGAAGCTGACGACAGCTGCTTGCCAGCCGATGAGGTGAAATATGGTGGTTTCAACTGGACTGGTCGTCTGCTTCTCTTCCTTGTATAACGGTGCAGCAAAGGATGGCAAGGCAATGGTTAGGAAGGCAAACACTGCCAGATGCAGCTCGTGTGCAGCACCTCTAGGTGGCGCATGCGGAAAGGTTTCATTTTTTTTTTTTTTTATAAAATATTTATTGGTTTTACAAAAAAAAATTTCCAAAAAAATACAAAATTACAAAAGTTCAACAAACAAAAAACAACAATAACCATGACAAAAAACAAACAGAAATAACAGTATCCATAACAAAAAGAGAAAGAGGAAAAAAGGAAAAAGAGACAAAGAAATTCAAAGAATATTATACTTTCATATATCCTTCTTATCTTTACCTGGTTCTTTGACTTCCCCGCACCTCCCCGCTTGTATTTCCATTTAAGAACTCCTTTCAGCAAATCCTTACCCTCCTTTCATTATCTTAACTCAGAAAACTTAATCTATTTATATATAAATATTTTTACAACCTTATCAGTCAAATATTCCATACTCTTAATCCCAAGGCTTTTGCCAATACCAGTTATTTTCAATCAGACTTCAATTTAACATTCATTGATTTTATAGTATTTCTGTAGATAGACTTTAAATTTCTTCCAATCTTCTTCCACCGACTCTTCTCCCTGGTCACGGATTCTGCCAGTCATCTCCGCCAGTTCCATATATTCGATTACCTTCATCTGCCATTCTTCCAGAGTGGGTAAGTCTTGTGTCTTCCAATACTTTGCGATGAGTATTCTTGCTGCTGCTGTTGCATACATAAAGAAAGTTCTATCTTTCTTTGGCACCAATTGGCCAACAATGCCCAAGAGGAAGGCCTCTGGTTTCTTTAAGAAGGTATACTTAAATACCTTTTTCAACTCATTATATATCATTTCCCAGAAGGCCTTAATCTTTGGGCACGTCCACCAAAGGTGAAAGAATGTACCTTCAGTTTCCTTACATTTCCAACATTTATTATCGGGCAAATGGTAGATTTTTGCAAGCTTAACTGGGGTCATGTACCACCTGTACACCATTTTCATAATATTCTCTTTTAAAGCATTACATGCTGTGAACTTCGTACCTGTGGTCCATAACCATTCCCAGTCAGCAAACATAATGTTATGTCCAATATCCTGTGCCCATTTAATCATAGCAGATTTTACCGTTTCATCCTGAGTATTCCATTTTAGCAGCAAGTTATACATTCTTGAAAGTGTTTTAGTTTTGGAATCTAGCAGTTCTGTTTCCAACTTTGATTTTTCCACCTGGAAGCCAATTTTTCTATCCAAATTATAAACCTCTCTTATTTGGTAGTAATGCAACCAGTCTCGCACTCTGTCTTTTAATTTTTCAAAACTCTGCAATTTGAATTTATCTCCTTCTTGTTCCAAGATCTCCCAATATTTTGGCCACTTGGCCTCCATATTGGACTTTTTTAGGGCCTTTGCCTCCATTGGTGATAGCCACCTTGGGGTTTTGTTCTCCAATAAGTCTTTGTATCTTATCCAGACATTAAACAATGCTTTCCTGACAATATGGTTTTTAAATATTTTGTGAGCTTTCACCTTGTCATACCACAAATATGCATGCCACCCAAACACATTATTAAATCCTTCTAAGTCCAAAACATCAGTATTTTCCAGAAGTAGCCAATCCTTCAACCAGCAGAAAGCTGCTGATTCATAATAAAGTTTAAGGTCTGGCAGGGCAAATCCCCCTCTTTCTTTAGCATCAGTCAATATTTTAAATTTTATCCTAGGCCTCTTGCCCTGCCAGACAAACTTAGAAATATCTCTCTGCCACTTCTTAAAACAGTCCATTTTGTCTATTATTTGTATCGATTGAAACAAAAACAGCATTCTTGGCAATACATTCATCTTGATGACAGCAATTCGACCTAACAAGGAAAGCTTCAAGTTTGTCCATATTTCTAAATCTTTTTTAATGTCCGACCAACACTTTTCATAATTGTCTTTAAATAAATTCCCATTTTTAGCTGTCATGTGAATCCCCAAATATTTCACTTTTTTACCACTGTTAAACCTGTCTCATTCTGAAACCTCTCTTTTTCTATCGGTGTTAAATTCTTCTCAAGTACTTTAGTTTTAAACTTATTCAGCTTAAAACCTGCCACCTGACCAAACTCTTGAATCAGTTCTAATGCTCTTTTCGTACTAGATTCTGGCTCCTGTAATGTCAGTACAAGGTCATCTGCAAATGCTTTCAGTTTATATTGTTTCGCTCCGACCGTTATGCCCTTAATCAGATGGTCCCTTCTTATCATATTTAACAAAACCTCCAGAACAGAAATAAAAAGTAGTGGGGAAATTGGGCAGCCTTGTCGTGTCCCTTTCTCTATCTTAATTTCCTCTGTTATCACATTATTAACTATTAATTTAGCTTTTTGTTCTGAATAAATTGCATTTATACCATTTTCAAACTCTTGGCCTACCCCCATCCCCTGAAGATTTTTTTCATAAAACTCCAAGAAATATTGTCAAAGGCTTTCTCTGCATTCACAAAAATCAAAACTGCTTTAGTGTTGATCTCCTCTTGCAGCTTCTCCAGAATATCAATTACGTTCCTTGTGTCTATCTGGAAGAAAGCCAGCTTGGTCCTTGTGAATCACTCCTTTTAACACTTTTTTAAGCCTTTTTGCTAAAATATCAGCAAAAATTTTGTAATCCACATTTAACAGGGATATGGGCCGGTAGTTCTTAAGCTGTGTCTTTTCAGTCTCAGCCTTTGGTATAAGTGTAATAAATGCGTCTTTCCACGACTCTGGCGCTCTTTTCCCCTCTAAAATTTCATTACAAACCTCAGTTAAAGGTCGAATTAACCAGTCTTTCAAAGTTCTGTAATATTTTGAGGTTAAACCATCCGGTCCTGGAGATTTTCCCAACTGCATATTCTGAATGGCACCTTCAACCTCCTGTTCTGTAATTTTATAGTTCAACAATATCTTGTTGTCCTGAGCAATTTTTGTAATCCATTGGTTTTCAAAAATTGCTCTATCTCAAATTCTTTCTGAGGCCCTTGTGTGTATAGTCGTTTAAAATATCTCTGGAAGCATTTCCTAATTTCTTCTGGATTCTGGATATTTTTCCCTTCCACTTCCAAATTAGTAATAGTATTAAGTTTTTGTCGCTTCTTCAACTGCCAGGCCAGCAGTTTCCCACATTTATTTGCCGATTCAAAAGTCTTTTGTCTCATTTGCTTAATTTTCCATTCCACTTCTTGATTTATCAATTTCATATATTGCACTTGGTACAATTTTATTTCCCTCAGAATCTCTTGTGAATTGGGCTTCACTCTCAATTTCTTCTCGCCCTCCTTTATTTTTTCCAAAAATTTTTCTTTCTTTACGTTTTGGGCCTTCTTCTTAATTGAATTCTGTTGAATCAGGAAGCCCCTCATAACAGCTTTGCTGCATGCGGAAAGGTTTCAATGCTTCACCCACAAAATGTTGACAAAGTGTAGGGGAGTTCCACATGCCTTGAGGCAGGACAACCCACTGATGTCGCTGGGTGGGCTGCGGATTGTTATATACTGGCAATGTAAAAGCAAACCGTTCCCTGTCTGCTGGAGCCAGTGGGATGAAGATGGTTCAATGTGGCCGAAAGTCAATTGTTCAGAAATAAGCTGTTCAGAGATAGCTGGTCCCGCTGCTGCGGATTTTTCTTTTGGTAGAGGCCACTGTTCTACCCCCCCTGGGGTATCAGTGATCCTGGTTTGCCACCCTGGAAATAAGTTGTATCGGTGGCTACAGGCTGGTTTTCATTTAGCGCTGCTGCCAGCAGATAAGCCTTGTGGCTGGCTGTAACTACAGACTGACAAATGCGAAGCATGGCTGCTGTGTCTGTGGCAGGATTGTGTATTATCAGTCGTAACGCAAGTTTACAATCCTCATTGGCATTTTCAAAGGCCAATTGTTTGATAATTATTTGTTTGGCTTCAGGATTTTCAATTTGGCGACTCACTGCTGTAAGCAGCCTATCCATAAAGGAAGAATATGATTCTCTTGCCTCTTGCCTGATCGAACCCCACCTTGATTGAATACTGGGTTCTGGGATTTTTCTCATTGCTTGTTTAGCAGCAAGAGCAGTGTCCCTCAATAAGATTTGCAGCAGTGTGGCTTGCACTGAAGCTTGAGCGAAGGGACCACGCCCCAACATGGCATCTAAGACGTCTGCGAGGGTAACATTTGGATTATTTCCTCTGACTTGTTGTAACAAGGCTGGAGCATAAGCACGGCAGGCAGTTTCCCATTCGTGGGCAAACAAAACACCAGCTGATGGGGGTAACACTGTATGGGCCAAAAGCTTTATGTCCTCTGGAACCAAGAGCTGGGCTAATGTGGCTTCTAAAAGCGCCTGCGTATATGGGGCTTGGAGTCCATTGGCCTTTACTGACTGTTGCAGCTCTCTCAGAATCTTAAAGTCAAAAGGTTGGTGTTGGGCTTGGGTGCCTGCCGGGGCACCAGCAGGGGGCACAATAACAGGGAATGCCATAGTATCCTGAATTAAGGAAGAGGCAAGGACTGCACGTTGAAAAGGAGTAGCTGGTTCTGCCACTGAAAGAGCAGGATCATTGCCAGCCAGACCACGGTATTTTTGCAGGATTGGGTCCTCTGGTGAGGAACTGTAGTCTGGAGGTTTGGGGTCTGGAGCTGCTGCTGGCAAAGCAAGTATTGGAATAGACTCTAACACAGCAGGCTGAATTAAAGAAGCTGAAGGTTGTGTTGGCAATGCAGCCATGGAGATATTTTTTGGTGATAAAGAGTCCATGGCGTAACGAACCTTGCACTATGCATTTAGAATCCGAACACCTATGCTGGGGTGCCCATGAAAATGTGCCCCAATCTTGTCCCAAAGTTTTAATTCCCAAGTCCCATCTGCAGGAAACCAGGGGGAATGCTCTTCGATAGCCAGAATGAGCTGTATTAAATCACCATCCGGAACTTCCAATTTGTTGGAGGAGAGGAGAAATTTTAAGTCTTTTAAAAATTTCTGTTGGGGAGCAGACAAAGAGCTGCCCATTTTTCTAAAATCAATATATAAAATAAGGGATCGGAACTCACCGGGATCTTTTTAAGATGATTAGCGCTTGAAGCCCTTTCCGGGCGTAGTGAGCCGATGATATCCTTTGCTAGGATCGATAAACCTCACACGGTTTCCTTTTAAAAGCCTCAGTCTGCCTCAGACTGTTTTCTTTAAGTTGCCTCACACGGTTTTCTTTTAGAATCCTCTTAGTCCTCAGACGTATTCTTTTATTCAGCCTCACACGGGGCACCACTTGTCGGAGCCAGCCGTGACAAAGTGGCGAAGTTTAGCATAAAATTATGACACAGAGAGCCAGCAATATTTTCATGATGGTAGGAGCAGCTCCTCTCGAACTCTCCTCTCCTCCTGCAGCCTCTTTTATTATCCTTTAGTCTCTCTCTCCAGCCGCATGGCTGTTTGCCAGTGTCTCACGTTACCTCATCCGGTCAAGGCTTTTATTGCCCCCAACACCGTATAAGGTCAATCACTGCCCAGAGGAAACACAGCTCCAATACATTCCAATACATTGTAAAGCTCAGAGTGCTGGTCAGCCGAGGTCAGGGGGCACCCTGCAATATTACAAGCCTTTACCGTGGCTTTATGACTCCCACAGCATCTAGTTAACAGTACTCCTGAATGTTTAATAATAATAATAATAATAATTTATTATTTATACCCCGCCCATCTGGCTGGGCTTCCCCAGCCACTCTGGGCGGCTTCCAAGAAAATATTAAAATACTGTAATACATCAAACATTAAAAGCTTCCCTAAACAGGGCTGCCTTCAGATGTGTTCTAAAAGACATTTTGCCTTCCAGAGTTCTGTAACCTTAGAAAACCATAATAGATTATCTGATACCCTCTGCACCCGGCTTCCCTTTGCCTCCACCACCTCCTCATTACAACGACCCCCAAGCCTGCTAACAAATTGGAGGGAACAACCAATTTGGGATGCTCCCAATTGTCTTACTCTGAGAAGAAAAATCCTTAATGAGCATCGCTCTGCGAAAAGGAAATTGCTCTCTCTAACCCCCGGTGGGAGGAGGCAGAAAATTCGTTTCCTCCTCTCTCTCTCTCTGCCTAAAATGAAACATCGCAAGGTGGGAGGGGGTGAAGATTAATTATATTTCCCTTGCCCAGGATTGCATCTCAAGGAACCAGTAACAACAAAAGGCAGAGAACATGTTTTTGGTACCGTGTTAGCCATCCTTTTTGTATGCAAAGGAGCAGCATTTTCTTCTCATGTTTCCTCAAGACTGGGGAAGTTTCGTTGGGGAGACCACAACCGCGGAGCCTTGTTGTGTCAGCAAAGCAACGACATGTTTCCTTAGAAATGAAACACTTCGTGAAGTATGGCTTCCCTAAAGATTTGCGGATCTTCGTTTTAATTTTGCACTGAGTGAGAAAATTTGTATGTCGTCCCTGTGCTCCCAGGTTGGGTTGTACTGTACTGTATGATAACTCAATAAACAAATGATGTTGGTTGAATTTGCCTCCAGACAAATTGGGCCTGTCTGGAGGTTTAGCCTTCCTCGTGGCAAATGTCACAACTTTTGGCGGATAGAGCATTGGGTGGGCTCCTTAGTCCAATACTGGGATTGGGCTGAATTGGTGCATCATCCCAAACTCTAGAAGGTGCAGTCTCAGGACACCCTGTTAGAGGGGTCTAAGTGCCCAGAAGCCAAGTGTAGGCATATGGACCACACAGCTACCAGCAGCAGCCAGGGAAGGCCAACTCAGTTGACTTGCATCTTGGCGTGGTCCATACCCCAGGCATGACCTTTATGCTTCTGCCTGTTAGAATATTCCGTTCCACCTTAAGAACAGATGTGTGGGTTGTTGTATGTCATATGTCTGTTTACACTCCAGCACAGCACAGCTTGCTGGGAACTTCCGTCTGTGTATAGCTTTTGCTTAAGCTGCTTGCTTGGACATGAAAGGGAGAAGACATGTCAGGAGTGCTCTGATGGTGTTTCCTGCTTGGCAGGGGGTTGGACTCGATGGCCCTTGTGGTCTCTTCCAACTCTATGATTCTTTTTTTTTTTTTTTTTAAATTGATATTTATTAAATTTTCAAAAAGTAACAAGTAACAACAAAAATTTCCAAAAAAATTTGAGAATACAAATAAAACAAAAATAATACAGAAATAGTAAAGAAGAAAAAACCCAGCCGCAAAAAGAAGAAAAAAGAAAAACAGAAAAACAGAAATATAAAATCCTTTACGATCTCCATTAACTTCCTTTCTAGAGTTCCTCCTCCTTCCGTCTCTTGTTTCTTAGTATTTAATTTTTACAGCAAATCCTTTCTGATTTTCATAACAATCTATCATTGCGTTTCCTTATTCTATTTTCCCTCTTGTCATATAAAAACTTTAAAACTCAAAGCTTATATTCAATATTTAACAAATTCTTACATCATTACCTTTTTTCAAATCATTTACCAATCCTTACTTAAGTCATATAATTTCATTCAACATCCTTCAAACATTTATAAACATTCCCAATATTAGAAAATAAGAAAGCAAAAACAATAAGTCAGATTCAATCCAGTCAACTTCCAGCCTCCCCTCCCTGGACCCGGGATTGTCAGTCCTTTTAACCTCAATAATCCGGCTCCTTAACCTGGTTGTCTCATATCCGAGGCCCTCAAGTCTCTTTCTTGCCCCTTTCGCCACTCTTGTTGATATTTCCCTTTCAGTCGTGGATACTCCAGCAAGAAGATGCTTTTGACTCTTTGCAGCAAGTCCATCCCAAACCCATTGCCCAAGCCAGACAACAGATAATACCACTTCCAATTTCCACGAAACTTGGAGACTTCGACTACTCCATTCCTCTGATGGCCCATCACTAGACTCGGAAAGTCCAAATAACCATATAGAGGGGTGTCAATCCATCCCCCCATTTCCAAATCTGACCACATTTCATCTTTCCGAATCAGGTTTGTCCCAAGTTCATTTATCAAGTTCACAAAATGAAAGGAAAGAAAAAATTCTGGAAAAAATAAAAGAAGGCGAAAAGAAATTGAGGTCTAAACCAAAGTCCCATGAGATTTTGAGAGAAATAAAGCACTATCAGGTGCAATATATGGAATTGATGAATCAAGAGATAGAGTGGAAAATAAAGCAAATGAGACAAAAGACATTTGAATCAGCAGATAAATGTGGAAACTTCTGTCATGGCAATTGAAAAAGAGGCAAAAATTGAACACTGTGACAAGTTTAGAAGTGGATGGAAAGATTATCCACAAACCAAACGAGATAAGTAATTGTTTTCAAAGTTACTTCAGGAAATTATATGCACAAGGGCCAGTCAACGAACAGGAAATAGAAGAATTTGTTAAGAAACATGGATTACCAAAAATTTCAGAGCAAAGCAGAAGGATTTTGAATGAGAAAATAACAGGACAAGAAATAGAGGGTGCCATTCAGAAGATGCAATTGGGAAAATCTCCAGGACCAGATGGTTTGACTGCCAGATATTATAAAGCGTTGAAGGGATGGTTAGTACAACCACTGAAGGAAGTATGTAATGAAATTTTGGAGGGGAAAAAGGCACCAGAGTCGT